TCCCTTGTCTATCTTCTTAGCCTTCAGACGAAGTATGATCAGCTTCGTTTCACCAACAGACAACAACCAGTGACCGGCCACCCGTTTCAACTATACCTGTGGCTGAATAGGAGCACGATCGACGTGGCAAAGGGATGAAAGTCGCGCGGAAGATCATATTTTGCCCCTAACATTGACATCGACATCGTCTCACAACCGCGACAACTCAGCGCCTGGACCTTGACTTCGACGTGATGTCGTTTTCCAGCTTGTTTGTATACATGTACACATGTGTCTCCATTACCCCCTTGTATCGAAGTTGTAAATCTTTTGTTTTATTTTTGCCTATGCGGTGAAATTGGTGGAATCTATAGCGTTTTGATATTTGAAACATTCACCCCAAACTGCGCCGTGAAAGTGAACAGACTCAAGAATAAACACGAAATAGACGAGGACTCCAAAGGGTGAACAGGTGACGGTAAATGCCGTACAGCGAGACAAACCTTCCTCACACCTCCTCACACCTCTCCACACCCTCCTCACAACGATGTCGTTCCAACGTAGCGCCTCACGCTTAGTCCTCGTCCCAGTTCGGGTTAGGACCGGGCGGCTTCGGGCCGCCGGCTTGCCGGGCCACAATGATCTGGTCCACCGACAGCACAGTCCGCGCCGCTTCCGTCGCCAGCTTGATCGCCCAGCTCTTGCTCGCCAGAAGGTCCAGGATGCCCTCGTCCTTGGCATCCAGCGTGCCCGTGCCGTCGTCGTTCTCCACGTCCACGCCGTACGTCCACTCGTCCTTCTTGTGCGCCGACGCGTACAGGTGGCTCAGCACCTCCGTCGCGTCCAGACCGGCGCTCTCCGCCAGCGTCCGTGGCACAACCTCAAACGCCTCGCCGTACTTCTTGATTGCGTACTGCGCTAGGCCCGGTGTCTTCTCGCCAAACGCCTGCAGGCGCTCCACCAGCTGGGTCTCGGTCGAGCCCGCGCCCGGCACCAGCCGGGCGTCCTTGGTAATCGCCTTGACCACGTTGACGCCATCGTCGACCGCACGCTCCACGTCGTCCAGATGGTTCTGCGTCGCGCCCCGCAGCACCAGCGTCGCGGTGCGCGTCACGCCGTCGCTCTCCTGGCGGAACACCGTCACGCGGTCGCCGCCCACCTCGAGCGTCTCCACCACGTCGATGGAGCCCATCTCGTCCGGCATTGGCGCGCCTAGGCGCGCCAGCGGCGTCGCGCCGACCACCCGGCATATCCGACGCAGCTCAAACTTGCTGAGAATCTTAATCACCAGGATGCCGTAGCGGTTGAGGTAGTGCAGCGCCAGCTCGCCCACCGTCGACCCGGCCACCACCACGCGCAGCCCGACGTCGTGCAGCTGCTTGATCACGGCCTCCAGCTGCGCCTCCTCGCCCTTGGTGAAGTCCACCATCTCCTTGGCGTTGTGCAGCAGCACCGTGCCCTTGGTCTCCGTCTGGCTGATGTCGATCGGGCACGAGAACACGCCCACCTTGGCCTTGCTCGCCTTCTTCACCGTGCCGTCCGGCGCCTTGGGGAACACCATGCCGCGCACCACCCGGCTCTGCTCCAGGCTGCCGCCCATGATCTTGACCACGCGGATGTTGTCCACGTTGAACAGCGCCGGGTTCTTGGGCAGCACCGCCAGCACCGCCTCGGCCACCAGGTCCGCCAAGAAATCCTCGCTGCCGCTCTGCTTGCTGGCCACCACCGTGCGGATCGCCTTGCTGAGCTCCTCCTGCGACCGCACGTCCCCGACCTTGTCCACCACGAGCTCCTCGAGCGTCTCCAGCGCAAACTTCTGGGCCCGCTCGTAGCCCGTCACAATGTCGGCCGTCTTGAGGCCCATCCGCAGCAGATCCTCGGCCTTGCGCAGCAGCTCGCCCGCCAGCACAATCACCAGGTTGGTCGCGTCGCCCATCTCCGCCTCCTGCTGCTGGCTGGCCATCACCAACAGCTTGGCCGCCGGGTGCACCACATCGAGCTCGCGCAAGATCGTCGCCGCGTCCGACGTCAGGATCATCTTCTGCAGGTGGTTGATCACCACCTTGTTGCGGCCGAACGGCCCGAGGGACGTTTGCACCGTCGACGAGATTGCCCGGCACGCGTCGATGTTGCGGAGCACGGCGCCATCTTCCGAGTCGTAGCTGAAAAAAAAAGGAGGATATTAGCACTGGGGAGCACGCACTTCCAAGGCAGCGCCTGACTTTGTAGACTGCAGAGATTTGGACACGTTTGTCGACCGAAAAAGGGGCACCGTAAACTAAACGTACTTGTTGTAGCCCGACTTGAAGAGGTTCGCATTGGGCGCGTTGGGAATATTGAGAGACATGGCTGCTAGTTTTCGACTGATAAGAACGCCCACAGAGGAAAAAAAAAGACCGTGTCGAGGGTTCTGGGGAGGTGTCGTCCTTATGATGATGAAAGCAACAAAAACGATGCAATTAGTATGCGGTGGGAGGGGAGCTTCTCTGCTACAATTCGCCTGTTGGTGGGGTGGGCAGTTGGACGGCGGCCAAAAAAAAATAGTTCTGGAGCTTTCCTCCGCTGTGGAATAGGCAGGCGTAATCAGGGGCAGGAGCGAATGCTGAAGCCTTGGGTAAGAGCGGTGGGAGCATGGAAAAGGTGGAGCAGGCACGACCGCCCTCTCAAAGGAGACAGGGAAAGAGGCGACTTGAACAATGTTAATCCGCCGCCCGGCGCCGACCAACAGGCCAGGGATGGTAGTAGGCCAGTCGCCACTGCCAATTGCTGCCAAACGCTACCAATCGCCTACTGTCTGGCGTCTGGCGTCTGGCGCGTCGCTCTGGGGGAAGCTCAGCTAAATCGGCAGGAACGACGCAAAAGTTTCCTGTCGTGTAAATTGCTTGACATACCACGACCTTTCCCTCAATTCAATGCAATCGCCCCATCGCGATTTATTACCACGATCTTGACAGCATACCGACTCCGACAAACCTGTCCCGACCTCTCCATCTATCCTCTGTTTGGCGCCGACTTGACTGCCACTTGATACATTCGAGCGAAGCGTGCCGCTCTCTCCACAATGGCGCCCTGTAAGAGATACCAGTACTCCCAGACGCTCAAAGCATCGCTCGATTGCCATGGCTGCGCCTTGCCGCGTGGATACGACTCTACTCGTGCGGATAATACATGCCCGTGTCTTGCCTGCCGTCCTAACATTGTCTAGCCACATCTCCCGGTGTCCCCACGCTGCCGCCGTCCGTCGAGGAGGCCTACCGCCGGAAATGCGTCTTTCTCAAGCAGCGCATGGCCGATGTCGAGGAGGCAAACGATGCCGTCCGCGTACGTCTGGCACGCCTGAAGCGCCAGGTCGAGAAACAGCGCCTCGAGCGCGCATTCCTCCTCGAGCAGCTGGCCAAGCGCACCAGCACCAACGTCGAAGACTCTGACGGCAGCCCGAGCCCACCAGCCACTGTTCGTCCTCTCTGACCCTCTGCTTGATTTTGCTTTCGTCTTTCGTCACATACGCGGCGACTAACTCGCAAACAGCCCAAGGACAAGCCGCTGCGTACCAAGCGTGGCCACAGGAAGTCGTCTGTGGCCGACGGCAGTGGCGCCCCCGGCTCGACGTTTATCAGCCAAAACCTCGACCCCTTGTCACCCAGCTCCGACGTGTTTGGCAAGGGCGACAGCCAGACCCAGCCGACACAAAGCACGCCGGGCGCCTCGCAGCGGCGCGGCGGCCGCAGACCCAAGGCCACCAAGGAGGCCGACGATGGCGCGAGCGTCAGCGGCAAGGGCAAGGGCGGCGACGACAAGGAGGACAGGGCAGCAGGCAGCGGCTCTGCAGCAGGCCTGAAGCGCCCGGGCAACGCCTTTGAGCTCTACTGCGACGAGATGCGGCCGACGCTCGTTGAGAAGCGCAAGACCAACAAGCAAAACAAAAAGAAGTCTGGCGAGGATGGCGACGACGTGGACATGGAGGACGCCGATGCCGAAGAGGAGGAGGAGGAGGAAGACGAGGCGGCCGCTGAGTCCGCCATTGACGCCGAGCTGGCGCGCGGCTGGACCGAGATGGAGCAGGCGGAGAAGGACGAGTTCGAGACCCGCGCCGCCGAGGAGCAGGCCAAGTACAAGAAGGCCAAGGAGGAGGCACGGCAGCTGAAAGAGAAGACCAAGGAGGACAAGGACGAGAAAGATGGCAAAGAAGCCGGAGACGAGGTGGACGTGGGAGACAAGGACGGTGGCAAGGAGGCTGCCGAGAAGGCGACGGCCAATGACGACAAGGTTGATCAGGAGGTTGGCGACGACACCGGCGACAAGGCAGAGGACAAGGACACCAAATCGGCCGCCAAGGAGGGTGAGGATACAGAGATGGCCGACCCAGACAGCGTCGCGGTCGCTACATCGAGTGCTGACAAAGACGAGTAAGGGAAGCTGGAGGCAGTTTTGTGCATATGGGGGAATATGGGTGGGTATAGCCGACGCGCCCGCTCGTGAATGGTTTGCATTTGGGGTTCATTGATAGGTTGTTTTGTGCTTTTGCTGCTTTTTTTTGCCTTGGGACAAAGGGAAGGGAACTTTATCTGCCTTTTCGTTTGGCGTGTGCGGAGACTACCTGCTTTCTGGTTTCTTGACTTGCTTTTGATTTCCTTTTATACTAATGTTTACAAGGCTCATTCGATGTCTTTCTGTTTGTTTTCTGTTCCGTCTGATAATTAGAGGCCAAGGCAAAGTGCAATGCGACTTGGCGTTTTGACTCCATTCTACGATAGAGCATTATATCGTCGTTAAGTCGACGCTGGCAAAATAATGTACGTTGACTACCCGATCGTGCCTTCCGTGATGGGAAGGCTGTGTCCTCGTGAGCTCCTGCCTCTTTTACATTGAGGCACTTCCATGCGCTCTGTTCTGATTCTGTCTCCTTTCACTTTCCAGTGACTCGTCTATCTCGTTCTTGAACTTCGCAACACATACGACCACCATCTACCAACATCTGCCAACATTGCGTCCTGCCTTCTGCGACGCCACCTCGGTCCAAAATGGGCTGCAAGACCGTGCCTCTAGCCCGGTTCTGGAGAGAACTGGTCACAATCCTGCCGGAGATTGCAAAGTCTGAGTATGTGGCCATCGACTTTGAAATGACCGGCATCGAACCTCGTCGCGCGTCAAAGCTTCACAAGCCGACAAAGGACGAGATCTACCAGCGGGCCAAGCAGGCAACCGAGACGTTCAACGTGGTGCAGTTTGGCATCACCTGCATTGTTTTTGACGACGAAGAGAAAGACACAGTTCATCTCAAGTCGTACAACTTCAACGTGTCGCCCATGTTTGACACCGCCTTCAGTGGTGTGGACACCATCGCACGCACGCTGGACCGCACACTGACGCTCTCGTACAAGACGCTGATGTTTCTGAGGCGCAGCCGCATCCGCATCGAAGATGCCTATGACGGTGGAATCTATTACCTCAGTCGGGCGGAGGAGGCGGAGCTGCTGCCCGAGCTGTTTGCCACGTCAACGCATGGTCGGAGCGACGACATTCTGCTGGATGAACAGAAGCCGGAGACAATGCAATTCTACCACGATACGGTGGACCAAATTCGGAGCTGGGCGGAAAAGGAGGAAGAACCGGATCGAGTATGCTACCGGAACAAGCTTGACCAAGCACGAACTTGACAAAGCCAGTTATCTACTAACAAAGAGATAGCTGTCCTACCTCAACATAGTCAACCCGCACCAAGGCCCGTTGACGCGTTTCCAGCGTCGTCTGGTCTACCAGATGCTCGATACCGAGTTTGGTGGCAGGTACAGGGCGACTGTCAACGGTAACTTCTTTATGCAAATCACGGAAAAGGATACTGAAAACGAGACCAAGGTAGGTGCGCGTGCGCGCTGGGCTGTCTTTCTCATTGTTCTTCTGTTTCTTTTACAAAACGTTTGATCACCGAGTATCGATGACCTAACTGCGACGGTATGCACCCTTTCAAGGAACAACTTGAAAAGACTAGCAATTTAAAGAGGGCTGTTGCTTTTCAGCGCGGTCTTCGGTACATTGCCGAAGCCGTAAGTATTTTTCATCCAAGATGGAGTTGGCTGCTCGTCGACCGTGTTAGTCTCGCTGACGTTGTCTTCTGCAGCTTGTTGGCGGCGATTTTGCGAACGACGTCTGGAGCATGTACAAGCAGGACAGCGCAATGGTCGAGCCTGGCTGTGAGGCACGTCTCCGAGAAAGTGAGACCAAATTAAAGGAAAAGAGGCCTGTTCTCGTCGGTCACAACATGTTTCACGACCTGTGCTTTTTGCATGCCACATTTTTCAGTCCGTTGCCCGACACACTCGACGAGTTTGACCGCATCGTGCATGAATTGTTCCCGCGTATCATAGACACGAAGCACATACTCAAGCGCGACGACAACGAAATGATGCCGTCGAAAAGCCTCGAGGAGGCGTTTGTTGACATTGAGGGGGTTAGTTCGCCTTTCAAAATTGCCGGCGAGAGAGCCGGCCACACAGACAGGCTGCATCATGTGAACGAGCACCAGGCCGGCCATGACAGCTATAAAACGTCAATGGTCTTTCTCAAAGAGATGTGGAGACGGGTCGACTCGACGAAGAAAGGCACCTATGCACACAAGTTGCTGCTGTGGGAGAACAGCCTCGTCAAAGGGTTTGCGAACAAGGTGCGGCTGGGCAACGCCGGGCTCTGGCCTGTTGGGCAAATGGGAGAGTGTGACACAATGGCGAAATAGAGGCCTTGTTCCCAGCAGCAGGTTTTTCACCATGGCAATAGCAAGGACAGACAGCGGGGGTTTTCAGAAAAGTAAGGATATCGCTTGATTTTACATCGTACATGCACTTGTATACAAGAAGGAGGGCGGGCCTAGCTTGCCCTCATTTCTCCCATGCCTTTTACCCCAGGTTCCCTTTATAGGTCGTTTTGTGTTTGTGTTACGTTTCTGCTTGCATTACCGCTGCGGAATGGCATTCTTCACGCCGGCGTAGTAATATTTGGGCAGATGCGAAGCCAGCTCCTCCTTTGTCAGCCATTGGAACGCGTCGACACCAAGTGTGTTATTCTCCAGGTTGGCCTGGCCCGCCAAGATGCGGCCCTTGATCAGGAAGGTCTTCTCGCTGGTAAAGGCCGCCTCGGCAGTTGTGGTCGTTTCCCGCACAATGTGTGCCACTGGCACGCGGCCAACTATCCACGTGTTCATATCGACACCCGCCGCCGACTCGAGCGCGCGCGCCGCAGTCTATACAATACGGTTAGCCTTCTGCAGTCACCCAAGCGGGCACATTGGTACGAAGCAGAGCAAAAAGACTCACTTCATGAAGGTTTTCGTTCGTCTGCACGTCGGCCGTGGGGAAGCTCCACGTGCCGTCCGCCGCCTTCACCACCAAGTACAACGTGCGGTCCAGCTTGCGGTCGAGCCGCTGTGTGTCGTTGGTCTCGTCGGCCGCCGTGGTCCGCTTCTGCGGCCGCTCCACGCGGATACGATCCGCGTCGGCCAGGCGCTCACCGTCGTCGCTGACGCGCAAGTCGGCGTCCGACACAATCCGCTCGCGCAGACTGTCCGGGTTCGTCAGCATGTTGGCCTCTGGGTCGTTTAGCGTGTACTCGTCGTCCCAAGCCGTGGCGCCGCCGAAGCCGTTGCCGCCCTTGCCACCCCGGTAGTGGCCAATGTCGCGAGCAGGCGTGCCCTTGCGGTCGCGCATCTGCAGGCGCCAGTCGAGCGCCAGCGTCGTGTCGGGCTTGAAGTAGACATTGCGACGGAACGAGGTTGTCAGGCGCTCATTGAGGCGCTTTTGGTAGAGATAGAAGGCGGCTTCAAAGGGGGTGGGGTCGCGCATTAGGAGTGGCGGCCGGCTGAGCAACAATCCAGCTCGGATGCGGTAGTCGGGCGCCGTGGCGGGTGGCGGTGCTGCTGCCGGTGTAGAGGATTTTTGTTGTGGTGACGATGCCGTGGCCTCGGCAGAGTATGTGCGGTGTTGTGGGGGTAGGATCGCTGCCGGCAGGAACGGGGTGCGTGTCTTGGCACACTGCGTGCAGGCCACTGTGGTTTGCACTGGAAAGGAGGAGGGCCCGGTTCAGCAAGTGCATCGCCCTCTCATGATTGCATTCAAACGCCATCACGAGATCACCATAGAGAATGGGGAAACAAACCTTTGAACAAGGACGACATCGCCTGGCCGCCCCGTCTGGAGGCCGCCATGGTGCAACAAATTCAATTGGTGAGCCAGCCAGCCGGACGTGATATGCCGGACAACAAAAACGGTCGCGAAAACAGTAGGGCGTCGCTGGTGGTCGTCTGTCTCGTCGTCGAATTGATGTTGCACGAGAGCTTTTGGTTGGAAACTTTTTTTAGGCCTGTCGGGCATGTCTAGCGAGTTGTGGGTCCACGACCAATGGGAAGCTCGGGTCACCTAGTTTCTTCTCTTCTGGTCAAACGGAGCACGAGTCGGTCGTTCCTGGTGTCCTTGCCAAAATCCCCGGCGCCGGATCATCTTTAGTGCCGAAATGCGGGAGAATGAAGCAGTGGGCGACTTTTAAAATTTCAGACCACCGCCTTCTCACTTGTCTCTTCTTCTTCTTCTTCCTCATCCAAGGCATTTATCCTTATCAGGAAGACTCGCACTCCTATGAATTGTTTTCTACGTTTCGCCCCAAGTGTGTCCTCCCCATTTACAAGGTGCCGAGAATAAACACCAGAGCGTCCGATTTCGCTAGCGGCTCCTCATGGCGAAGAAATGTTTTATTTCTTCGATAAAATCCCCACCTGGAAGCTGTTAGATAGAAGACATTCACATCCCTTGAGACCGCATGCCGGTTTCTGCTCCTTTTTGCTGCTGGTCGCTCTTTATAGACGGTGATGATGGACGGTGGGTATGGTATTCGATGCCCACCAGTTTCATGCTGCTCATTTAGGGTTCTCCGCCTCGCGACCTACGAACGGTCTATTCGATCGGCCAAGCCCCGACGCGGACGAGACATCAACATGGTGACAACAGACGAGGTAAATGTGTCGCTGGAACGTATCTTATTCAAAACACTGCGGCCGAAACGAGCTGGACAGCTGCCGAGTGGGGTAAATTGCGCCTATATAATAAGAACAAACGTTCGCATCCCGACATATGAGAAGAGATGTCTCTGCAACGAAAGCTACCAAGCGGAAGTTAAACAAAAAGGCAAGGAAAGAAAACAAACGCATACGTCGTACAAAATGCAACAGAGACATGTCCTGTGTCCCACCCATATGTCATCGAGTCGTCATCCGTGCATGAAAAACAAACGCAGGAACAAGAAAACATAACAAAACCAGATAAATGCGCACAAAATGAAGGCTTGAACTCAGAAAGAACAGAAAAAGCACAAGGAAAGCGAGAGAACAACCAAAAGAAGATTGGTAAAGAGATCATGGCCACATTGGCGTTTGGCACACACAAAAATCGCTTTCCCAGGGTATCTATACCGCTATTTCCCGATGCTCTCACTTGGACAAAAGAAACAAAACGCCATTTGAAGAGAACCCAAACGAAAAAGGCAGGGAAAGCCAATGACACCAAGGCCGAGTAATACTGATCAAGGCAAACGGCATGGTGGTGGTTGCGAGAATAATGTGTATCTTGGACCCAGTCGGTGTGAGTCGTGTGTGCCTTGTTCGAAACGTTTGCATGGTTGGTTGTTTCCTTCCCTGTCCTTCTGTTGTCACACCATGCTTGCATGGATTCTCTCACGCCTGCAGGTCAGCTACTGCGCGAGCGACTTCTCTGTTCGCCTTGTGCTCCCACAGCTTCCGTGCCTCGCCATCGACAACGGCAGGATCGGTGACTTCTTCATAGAGCTTGCGAGAGACGTCGCGGTTGATGGCTGCATACTGATCGGCTGTCAGGTGGCTCGATTTCCAGTGCGGCTTCAACGCCGACCGGACGATGCTGCTGATGCTTTCCTTCATCTCCAGTGGAAGCGCATGGCGTGTTGGAGAGGAGTCCAACGACCGTGAAATCGCTGCAGCGGACGACATGCGGCGCGGCCGGGGTTGTCGGATTTCGACAGCTTCAGCAGCAGGCGGCGACCGATGTTGATGGCTACCGCCGTTTGTGCTTGTATTTATGTTTGGACTGGCGGCATTGCTGTGTCCGCTTCCATTTCGGGTTACACGTGGACGCGTTGTGTGGATGTGCCCACTACCTTCTGAGTCGCTGTTGTCGCCGCCGCTGCCAACACCTGCACTTGCCGAGCTCGCGGTCGGCCGCGTGGGCGAGTAGTTCGCGGGCGGGTAGACTGGCAAGATGTGTGAGCTCAGCAATGTCGGAGAGCTAGGCCGCAAAGTTCGCTGTGGTGGTGGGGTGGTCGACATGGCCCGCGGGCTGTTGTGCGCCGATCCAGCCGGCGACGAGGCGACCGGCGAGGCAGGGTCGACAGCGTGCGACGGAGGGTCGCCGAACAAACTGCGGATATTGTCGTCGTCGGATGACGTGCTCATCTCGACCTCTTTAAGGAGCGACGAAAGAAACGAGGGGGGTTCATCATTCGTGTTCGTCGACGTTCCGGCGGGGGACTGGGCTGCCAAGGCTGGCGACGCCGAGGAGTGGCCCGCTCTTGCCGCCACAGGTGCTTGCAGAGACAGACCCAGTCGGGAAGCGGGCCGAGACGGAGGTCTCGGTGTGGAAGAAAGTAGAGATGCGGAGGGCCGACTAGGCAGGCTCCGCTCGGTAGGTGTTCTCGGCGTTGCAGTCGAGGTGGGTTGTTTGGACGAGGATGCGGCGCCTTCGCTAGGTGCTCCTATCCGGCGTGTGCGTGGCCGTTTCAACTTGCGCTCCTGCTCCTGAGGCTGTTGGACAGGCGACGCAGTGTGCGAACGTGACTTGCGCTTCCGAGGGTTCGTTGTGTTCGTCCCCGCCGCTGCTTCGCACTCAAGTGCACGATCGAAGTCACCCCACGCACGCCGCTCTTGCTGCGATTGTTGGACAGCGGCGACAATGGCACGGGGGTTTGATGAAGCTGGCTGCGAGGAGCCCCCATGGCGTGCAGCGTGGTTCAAAATGGCGTCCGGAATGTTGCGCTCGAAAACGTCTTGCGCACCGAGCCGGCGTGCAATGTCCAAACGCTCTTGCCACCGTTCGAATTCGCGGCGCTCCTGGTCGCGCAACCGCTCGACCCGACGGAACTCTTCCAGCGCCTCGTCTTCGTCGTGGTCCAGGTCGATGCGAATGGCGTCCCAGACATGGCCCGTGATCTGACTCCAGGCACCCTGCCACTCGTCGGACCGTGCACGGCGCCGGGCACGGCGCATGGTATGTCTGGTCCGGGGAAAGAAGTTGCGATTGCGGCCAGCGCCCGATCTCCGGCCAGCGGTCTGGCGGACCGAATCGCTGCCTCCAAGAGACGCGCTTTGCATAGGCGCCGCGATGGCATCGCCCAATGAATCCACACATTCCATGCAAAACCAGGCGCCCTCAGGAACACCCTCCAGACCGATGCAGTGTGTGTGGTAAGGTGTGTCGCAACCGTCGCAAAGCAGGAGAACCTCCTCATGATCGGCAAGGTTGCAAACGGGGCAGGGCGTAGACACCTCGTCATCCAAAACCTCGGTCTCTTCGAGCCATGGCTGAGGGTCGAACTCGGCGACTTGCTTCTTGTCTTCGACGGTGTACGTAGAGATCAGTTTGCCTATTGAAAGGAGAGTGTCGGTCAGCAAGGATTCACACGAGCACCATGACTCGGTTGAGACAGGACCGTAAAAATCAAAGGCAAACTGGACTGCACGGCCAGGTAAATCTGACACGAAAGAGCCAAGCCGCCAGAGGAAAATAAAGACAAAAGCAGTGCAAAGCAGAACGAAGTCAGAGCTAAATCAGAGCCACATACCTCCTATTTGGTCGTATACATGGACGAGATGGAATGATTGCCGGCAGATAGGACAGCTGTTGGCCTTGGTGGTCCATTCTCGCAGACATGTGTCATGCAGCGTATGCTTGCAGATTTGGATGACGGCGACCAGATCGTCCTCGAGAGGCTCTACTTTGCCGACCTGTTCACTGCCGTGGCCGTTGCTAAGGGCCTTGGAATTTCCAGTATCGCTGCCTTGAGCATCGCGAGCAGATTCGTCGGACTCATCGCTGCCGCGGTTTTGGCCATTTGGGCCGGACAAGGCTGGCCCTGCGGCGGTGAACGGTTCGCTGGTGTCATTGTTTTTGGGGGCGGTGACGGCGTCTGTTGGGTCGGGATGCGTGCTAGTGCTGGCGTTGGGGGTAGGGGCACGGCCACTGTCATCATCGCCTGGTAGTGGCTTTGGTAGTGGTGGCAGTGGTGGGGGGGTCTACAGCGCGGAGCTGCTCCAGGCAGACAATGCACTGTTCTGCCATGGCTAGCGGAGGGTTGGTGGCCACAGCGCCCTTTTTCTTCGCATAGACACCGACTTGGAAGTTGGTGGAAGGAAAGACGTTGTGAAGGAGAAAATGCGGGAAAAAGAATGATGGAAGATTAAATAAGGAAGATGCAGCAATGGGGTGGGGGAAAATGAGAAGAAATGACAACTGTAAAAGTTTCGAGATGCAACGGGGTGGAAAAGGAAAGAGGTGATGTGAAGCGAAAAGGTAAAAGAGAGAAGGTGCTCGCTGCTGGGAGGCGAAAAGGAAGTCACAGGAAAGAGCAATGGTAGCTGTGCCTCAGCCTGTCGTTGCAGTTGGTCGCTGCTGCTCCCTAATTCTGGGGCGATGAAATTTGGCGTGTTTGGCGTGGTTTGCCACTTAACAGGCAGGGGGGAAGACAAGGAGTAAGATGGGTGGAAGGCAAAGGGGAAAAGTAGCAAAGGAGGGAAGTTACAAGAGGCACAGGGCAGGAGACTATGACCTGAGAAAGCCAGTTCGGCGAGGGGAAAAATGTAAAGGCGAGCCAGCGAGCCTTTTGGTTTTGTTACGGCGAAGAACGGGCCTGGCAGGCGCGGCCAACGGGTGAGGACGAGAAGAGAAAGAGCGACAGGGCTGCAGGCGAATCAGCGTCGAGGGCCATACACAAGCAGGCACGTTTGGCTGCCACAGTCACCACCACAAGGGAGGAGCGGGGCGGCACCATGAACAGATGAAAGGAACACGAGTGGCCCGTGCGGCAGGAACCTCTCGAGTCCCTTCGTCTCCATCGTTCATCGTCTCGATTCTCCTCGCTCAACCAGCGTCTGTTGTTCTGCGAAATGAGGTCTTGTTTCCACACGCTCGCTCTGTCCCTTACTATATGGTCTTGGGTAAAATGTAATGTGACGCACGAATACAGAGAAGCCAGAGGGAGTGTGGCTGCACGTCGAACCTTCCCGCATATGCGGCAAGTGTGCTGCCCTTTTGTCTCCACTCGTGAAGCCAGGTGGAAGGAACGACGTGCATGTGCTGGCTGTCCAGTGTGGCCTAGTACCCACCATGATTGTTGGTCCTTCCCTTCTTGGAGGTGAACATCTTCACACGGGTCGCCATGTCAGACCAGCACACGCTTTAGTATGGCTCATCTCCTGATTCTCTCATCGGTATTTTTGCTGCGGGCGGTGAGCCTATCCGATGTAGCCAAGCGTACACACCATTCCACGCCTATACACACATGAATACATGTACTTTGGAAAGCAGGCAGGCAGGCTACCTGTAACTCTTTCCCTCTACTTTTTGCCCCTAGAAACGCGGACATGGCCGCGCTTTCCCCGATAAACCAGAGCCACCGCCGAAGTCATTTCCTTGACCGCTGAAAGTAGTAGTGACGTTAACACGCTTTCCCAGTTGGGCAATCGTATCAAACAACGAGAAAGAGCTGGACACATCGTCTGGGCTTATTAAGCATTTGAGTCAAAGTGGTGATTGCGAAAGCCGATTCTCTGTCCTCCTTCTGTGAACATATTACGACCGTGATACGAAGGTCATGGACAAGATACAGCACTTGTAAATGCACCTCTGCAATGTAAAATCGTGTTGTTCACAACATACAGATCGGTGACGTGCCTCACGTTTGGAAGTCACGTGAGATTCAAGTGTAAATTTCACATCATCAATAGTTCCTTCCAAGACGGGCCTTTTCAGGGGATGATACCGACGACGAATTTTGGCGTTTATTTGTGCTTCATCTTGCGTCTCTCATATTTATCTGGAAGTTTTCCCGAACATTTCTCTTTAAAATACCTCCAGTGGCTCGACGCTACGCACCTCAAAGCAAAATCGCGTCAAACTTTGAACCCAGCGACGAGAATGCCCAACTTTGTCTATGAACTCGGATGTGAAGGACGGTGCAGAGTCGGGGTGGGCGGAGCGGAGGGCTCTATCCTCTGTCGTTGACCCCCCGGTGCGGCCAGACTACCGGCCTACATTTGATCCGCACGTCTCTAGTTCCTCGACAACGTCACTTACTGCCAAGGCCGATGCCGATGTGCTCGCCGCAGTCTACGCCAAATCCGCTGCGGCTATTGCACCGCGCATAGCTGCTTCAGAGGTCCGCACGTCTCGTGCTTCGTCCCCAGCTTCGCCTGCCCCAGTCAGCTCTGCTGTCTCGTCTGCAACAGCTGCCAGTTCTGACGTACACACCGCTACCTTTCATCACGAACATGTTCTTCCGGTGCCCTTGGAACAATCAGTAAACCCACCTCATTACAAAGCTCGAAAGCATCGAAAGCAGAACCCGACTGAAGCAAACCGGCACGGCGTTTTATTTCCGCATGAAACCGAGCATGAGGTATCTAGGAAAAATGACTCTTCCTTCCTCAGTAGGGCTGTTGCTGACTTTTCTTGCACATGCCAGATCCGCACGCAGAGCCTGTTCAATTTGCCCGCTGGTTGAAAGATACTCTCAAGGACCTACTTGCAAGGGATCACCCAGTGGTCACGGGGCATATCCGTCATCTATTTTCTATCATGGATTTTGACCAGTACGCCAACTTTGCGTTGCGGCCAACCATGACTTACGTCAACTTGAAGCGAGCGTGCAATATCGAGGCTGTGATGATTACGATTTGCGGCAAGGAGGCCGAACTCCCGTGTTCGTCGTGCCGTTCAAAGTGCGGTCCGTTTACAAAGTGCATGGTTATTTCCATTATAGGCAACGGAAACTGCTCAAATTGCCGCTATAACGGCCAGGGCAGCCGCTGCAGCCTGTACGAAATGCGCCTCTAAATCTCCAACCTGTATTTAACAACACGCATGCATGGCTAAATATTGTATCTGTTTGGGCAGGTTTGGGCGGTATACTTCTTTTGAAAACCAGCGTCAAGCAAATCCCAAGTAGCCGCCAAAGCCACCACGTGTTGATGGCTGGCCTATAGTCCTTTGAAAAGCTATATATATATTTTACAGTATGGAACGTTTCTCGCACATACAATTCGCACCTCCGTTGCAAGATACGTTGGGGGAGTACTAAACAAAGAACAAAGGCGGCTAGGGTGAAATATATTAAAGATACGCGTGTCGTTCTGCTGCGTATGTCGTGTAAGGTAAAACAGCATTGCTGGCCATACGCATCTTTTTGGAACGTTCATGAATGCTGCTGCGATACGAAGGCGGGGAAAACATCTGCCCACAAATTACACTTTTGTAGTAAGTCACACACAGCTCACGTTTGGTTTTCTTTTTTAAATTTATTGTGATTTTTTTCATGTCTTTTGTTCTTTTTTGTGGTGCCTTCGTCAGCGCTCTGTCCGAGTGTCGTTATGATTCAGACAGCCGGATATAGCAGAGAGAGGCCAGAATAAACCAGGTACACCATTTTTGCGTGAGATTTGTTTAGTACCAAAAACGTTGGACGAAATGCGCGCTTCAGCCCGACCTGTCCCTTGCTCCCCTTTAAGACGTCATCCCAAAGAAAATCACATAGTCTACCGCATCCTCTGAACCACGTCGAACTCTTCACCACTCTATACCTCGGCGATCTCGCGCAATCTCCGGAGGGTCGACCGGGTGGCAGCAGCAGCGGGGGTCCTGGAAGGCGTTAGCAAAACGAATCTGCATGCGGTAGGTAGAGCTGCGAGCAGCTTTCGCCCCGCTCGGGAAGTCGACAAAATACGTACGAGACAAGGTAGGCACCGCCAGCAATGGTCTTCTTGCAGGCCTTGCACTGCCAGATACCGACGTTGGTGCGCTTGACGGTGTTCTTGGCGCAGAATGTGCAGGTGTACTTGGCGTGCTGGGTGATTTCGGCCTTCTTGATCTGCTTGCTTTGTGGTTGTTAGACAAAACTATGTCCGTCGAGGGCGAATCAAGAAAGAGTCGGGGGAAAGGGGGAAAGGCCCTAGGGCCAATTTCGCTGGCGGGATTGAGCGTGGCGTCAAACCAGCCCGACGTCGATTGTAAACGAAGTCTGTTCCTCCGCGTGACTGTCAAAACTTACCGCAGAGAAGCACCGTATCTGTAAAGAGTTAGAGTTAGCAAGCTGTTGCCTTGGCTGAAGTTGCCCGAGCCACTATCGCCACGGTCGACGCTTGGATTGAGATATGCTGCGGATAAGAAGTCGTCGTGCCAGTCGTCGCCGCTGGTCCAGTTGCGCTGACTTTGAAGTAGTACTTTGGGATATATAGATGTCTTCCCAGCGTTGTCTTCTCCTCCGTCCATCTCCATCTCGGACTGGTCAACTTCGTGTTGGGTTGTCCATACGCATCCCATCGTCCGCTGTACATGTTCTTCCCATCGTTTGTCGGCAGCATCGTCTCATTCCAAGCGTCGTGTACTGTATGGCTGTCGGTCGGGAGCTCTGAGGGTTCGCGTGTTCTTACCTAGTACCGTAGCGACCGGTGACGCCGACCTTCTTGGTGCTGTAGGAAAAAAGGAAATGGTCAGCATTTCATTGTCCATCCAAGAACAACAGATCCATGCCACGCCACACGGCGGCTCCTCGCAATCGACGAGAAAAACAGGAAGCCCGGGTTCCGAGATGCTGTCCTCCGGCACCATGTCGTCTTCTGTCGTTCGTTGGTCGGTCTTCCTGTCTTTGTCGTCGAGAGCGAGTCGGGCTGCCGTGCGTTGCGGCAATGGGAAATAATCAATCAGTCGGACAACATGAGCGCGCGTACTGCTTCGTCATTATGAATGTTGTCGAGAAATATTGTTGCTGTCTATAAACAGATTTTCTCTTCGTGAAGCGGGATGGTGTTCGTGGTGGGTTTGCGTTTCGCTCTTACGATTTTCGTTAGTAGAAAGGGAGCGCCCAAAGATTTTTTCCGTCTAATCTGGCACTGAGGGCGGCCCACGAATTTTCCGCCCTAAAGCATTTAGCTGGCGGGCAACAAATGCGCAAATGGCCGCACAAAAGGAGAAAATCCGTGTTGAGCCGGATTAACTTGTGCTCCGAGATCATGTGACAGTACAAACCTAATGCTCTCGCTCTGGATTAGTCATCCCTACTTGGCATATTTCGGCCGCATCCGTGTAAGTACTGCCACGCAGGAACATCTTGAAGGATGTCAAAATGTGCAATGATTCTTTCTACTTTGCCCATGCAGACTGGTCAAGTTTGTGCTGTGTACGGAGTATTTCTGAGAGCAATTGAATAGACGGGAATGATGTATTAAGACCAAATACCGTCCAGCACAAACCATACTTGGAGAGCCATATCTTGACGACATTGCCTAGGAAAGGCAGCTGTTGCATCTGCTTGGATATGTTTGTCTCGTCCTCTGGCAGAGAAGGGCCTCTGCCTTGTTTCGACATCTACGAATAGGTCCCTCTCATTTTCACGCCTACTCTGTCTGTCCATACTGGTCCACTTCTATTTCCTTAAATTGAACCGACGCCGACGGAGCATCACGTGTCTGTCTAACTCTATTTGGACATTGTATTTTCGACCTCGGTCTGGCTGTGGCGATCAACTGTCCATTGGCAAGCTAACGCCATTCTAGACCACTAGCAACAGGGCCAACTTTCGATCCGATTTCTTGCTTCAGCTAGATTAGATGGAGTACCTCGAGTCGCCCTTACTTCGCTCTTATTGATGACGAATTCCATCTCTTTGCTAAGGTTGGAGGTTTTGAAATCTAACGTGCGAGGTGATAGTGGCAAGACGGGGGGAGGACGATGCAAGTCGTAGTGTATTTTGTAAAAGTAGGCGTTGGCAGCTGAGCTCAGGGAGAAGCTCGATAGCGGTCAACCCTCGAGCCTAAGTATATGATGTCGTGGCTTCCTTCACCCTGTTCGCGTTCCCCTTTTGGTTGTCTTTTGTACCAAGTCGAAGCTCCCTTATTACTGATCAAACTTTGGGTAAAGAGCGAACCTCCTTTTCCTCGTACAAGATAGAGCGCGCGCCCAGTTGATCTCCATCAGCGATCCAGCCCCTCATCTCTCATTCCTCATTTTCTACTTCGTACTTGTTCTAAATGCCGCCTTTTTCGACGCTCGGATAACGACAAGCCAACAAAATGCCTTTCAAGAAGCACGGGCGCACCTACGACCTGGTGTTGTTTGGCGCTACGGGTGAGCATACCTTTTACAGTGTTTTGATGCTTCCGGCGGCTGTTTCCACGTGTTGCTTGCTGACATCTGGTGCTTAGGTTACACTGGTGCTTACACCGCCGAGTATGTTTCCAAGAACCTGCCAACGGACCTAAAATGGGCCATTGCTGGCCGTTCGCCGGAGAAGCTGGCCAAGCTCGCCGCCGATCTCAAGGAACTGAACCCCGACCGCCTGCAGCCCGGCCTCGAGATCTGCAGCGTCAACGACGATGAGCTCGCCCAGTTGGCCAAGAAAACGGCTGTGCTCATCTCGACGGTCGGACCGTATGGTGCCCATGGCGAGCCGGCCTTCAAGGCCTGCGCCGAGAACGGCACGCACTACGTTGATGTCACGGGCGAGGTGCCATTTGTGGCCCGGATGATTCGCAAGTACGATGCGGCTGCCAAGGCGTCTGGTGCGCTCATGTTTCCGCAGAGCGGCATCGAGTCGGCACCGGCCGACATTGCTGCCGCCGAGGTCGCCCGCGTAATCCGCACCGAACTGGGTGCCAAGACCGCCGACGTGACCGCGTCCCTCCGCCTCAAGGCCCTGCCGTCCGGGGGCACACTCGATACAGTGCTATCTGCGGTTGACAACTTTTCGATACGCGAGCTGCGTTCGACCATGGCACCCTATGCGCTATCGCCTGTGCCGCGGCCCGACGGCCATCGTGGCAACCCATCGTTGCTGTCGTATCTCACCGGCGTCGTTAGTGTCCGTCACCTGGGCACACTTACGACGTCCTTGTTCGGGTCTACCAATGCGGCGCAGGTGGAACGCACGTGGGGTCTGCTGTCGAGCCTGCCGGGCCGCGGCGCCGAGGCCTACGGCCCCAATTTTTCCTTTGCCGAGTACGCGCGCGCGCGCAACTGGCTCAAGGCCGTACAGATGCACTGGTCCCTGGCCATTGGCGGCTTCTTGCTGGTCACGTTCCCTCCCTTCCGTTGGCTGGCCAAGCGCTATGTATTTGCGCCCGGTACCGGTCCGACCCGTGAAAATGCCCGCAAAGACGTGACCGAGTACCGTGCCGTCGGCAAGCCTGACACGGAGAACCCGACCCAAGTCGCCTTCACCACCGCTACGTTCCGCGGTAGCATGTACGATCGTAAGTCCAGTCTTATGTCGCCCCACGGTTTCCTTTTCTCTTCTAACGATACAGTGACTGGTATTCTCGCGTCGGAGGCTGCCCTGGCCATTCTTTTGGACGATCTCAAGCTGGAGGGCGGCGTCTATACTCCGTCGCTCCTGGGCCCCAAGTACATCGAGCGTCTTGGCGAGGCCGGGTTCAAGTACGAGACGAAGCTCATCGATGCATGATTTTGTGGTTTTTCTTCTCGTAGTGACGAGTCTTGCGCTTCTGTTGTTGCATATTTAAATTTGTATGGACTCTTCATTTGTACTTAGACGAGCTCATGAGGGCCAGCTGCACCGAAAACCCGGGAAAGAAACGGTTACCGGATTGCATGCCGTCACACAGCGGCGGCACAGACTTGTTAATTGACTGGCTTTTCTCCTCGATCGGCATTCGTTCCAGCAGATCTCCCAATGCTCGGCATGACATATTCCGGAATTTCGTTGTCCAATTGAGGATGCTCATCATCCACTTTTTGATAGCGCTGCATTACAGGCACTTAAACGCAGCGAGCTCACCAACCTGTGCGCTGAATTCGTGCTGCCCATTCGCTGAGCAAAAGCGGAGACTGGCCCATGTGGCTAGTCAAATGGATCTGGAGTTGGGGAAATTTGGCGCTGCATCAAGTCAAGTGCGGCAGGTCATCACTGGTCTCGTCGCTGCTCTGTCAGCTGTCGGGTCCTTGCGCCTGCTGTGGGGAATGTCAAAACGTCATGCACCTTCCTTCCTGCTAAAAAAACCCACAAGTCATGCACTACAGGAGCGAACTGCTGCAGCTTCCCATTGTTGCTAACGAAACCACCTAACAAAGAATAAAGTTCGTACACACCAGACAAAAGTCTGCTCTACCCATTCCACATCAAAATCCGACTGAGTCGACCTCTGCGAGTGTGCTTGTTGCTGCTTTGCAAACCTGATTGAGTTGCATAGCCATTGCGACACCTGCCAGCAGACTATTTTTTTCGACTTCAGTCTGTCTTGTAGTATCTCTCTTTCTGGGGTCGATCTCGACGGCTTGTTTTTTGCCACTTGGTTGACGGCGAGCTGTTTTCCTCTCTTCTGATCAATTTTCATTGTTGACGATCTTGACGGCAATAAAACGACATCGAAATACGGATAGACGGAGTGTAGAGATTGAAACACAGAGGTACGATTACACCTACGCACCTGGCGCCATAATCTGCCACCGGCGCCATCTCCAGTGTTACACGGCTCTCACCGTCTTGTCCGACAATGGAGTCACCAGCGGCCCAGGACGCGGCTGAGAGCTCGCCCTTGTTGCAGCCTGCGTCGTCTACTCCCTCGCCGTCCTCGTTATCGAACGCATCACTCTCCCAGCCGCCACCGCCGCCTCACCCTGCACATGCCTTGCCTGCGCTTTCGACACCGACGAAGCAGCAGCTACGAGAAACGGTGCCGGTGCCTGTATCGCCGTCTGCTCTGGCGCGGCCCAGTTCTGCCGGGCGACCCAAGACTGCGCGCACTGTCACCTTCGATCCCAACCCCGTTACGCGCACGATCGAGCCTCCCCCATCGACGTCGCCGCCCGTCCATGCCATCGCCCCGTTATCGTCCCGCCTCCGCGGCAGTGCTCCGCCTGCTACAGTCACAACACCGGCCCTCAGTGCGACAGCACCCTTGTCTTATGGCACAACATCGTCCGCATCGAGTACACGGCCAGGAACAGCCGGCAGTGGTGGCCCGCCGGTTCTCTCCGCGATCAACAACCGGCTCCGGCGACGGAATAGCTATGGCTCAGGACCGCTGGGAATGACGCAGCCGCCCATGCAGCTGCCCAAGATTGGCCCGCAGCGGAGCACAAAAAATGCGCAGAAGCTCAAGCTGCTTCCCAACCCTGAATTTGGCGATGAGGGCCCGGACGAGGAGAGTGGACGCGATGTATACAGCCAGTACACCCGCATCAAGGACCCTACAGCGAGGCGTGACGCGGCCCTGCTCGGCAAGGCAGACCGCGCACGTCTTCCACGTGTCACGGCCTACTGCACGGCCAACCGTTACGACATGGACGGCCTGGTGCGCTTCCTCAAGGGCCGCGGAAAGACGCGAGGTGGCAATCCCAAACTGATCGACGAGTGTATTTACACGCCGTACGACTATGATTTCAGCAAGAACGGGGGTGGATCTGATGGCTTTGGCGGTGGTGGCAGCAACCGGAGAAACCGTATCAGCCACCACAGCTACATTGGCGGCGGCAGCGGACACGTTCGCCACAGAGGGGTGGACGAGGATGCAGAACGTCACGAGCAGCAACGCCAGCAGCAGCAGCAGCAGCAGCAGCAGGAACGGGACGAGCTTCAACGTCAACAACAAGAGCAGCAACAGGACCAGCCGTACCGAGACATGGATAGACAGCACGACTCGCAACTACTGCCGTCTGCGTCTTATTATCAAGAGCGGCGGCACTCAGCAGGCGAGGCTGATGCTGGCCATACGATACAGCGGCGTGACGACCTGATCGACTTGGACGGAGGAAGCCAGGATGAGAGAAACCGACAGAGCGAGCAAGCAATTGCGGACGACGACGAAATCATGCCTCGCTCTTCGCAGCAGACGGACGACGGAGGCTACAACAACGGCCACGAAGACGGCAGCTACTTTGACGACAATCTCCACGAGCAACACGGTGACCGGCACAACCAGAGTCAGCGGGGTCAGCTAGACCAAGAGCAGCACCACCACATGATCCACCGGCATCAGCGCCAAGCGGAAGAGGCTGTTTTGGACCTGTTGAGCGGCGACGAATTGGACCGGCAAGCCGCTGGTAACGACCACAACCAGCTGCGAGACGAATTCGAGCAGCAGCTGCGCGGCGAGCGGCCGGTCGACTTTGACATCCACGTGCACACGCCGGAGCTGTTCCTCTTCGACTACGGCGTGGTGGTGATCTGGGGCATGTCGGAGGCGCAGGAGCAGCGGTTCTTGAAGGAGCTGGCCAAGTTTGAGCTGGAGAAACTGGCCGCCGACGACATGGAGGTTGAGTTCTTCAACTTTTACTACACGCGCGAGTACCAGGCGCGCATTTACAACGACTTTATCGCGCTGCGCGACAAGAACAATTACATGACGAAGCTGGCCATTTCGCACGCGCTTGCACAGAGCGTCAAGACGTCGCTGTTTGAAGAGCTCATTGCGTCGACTATCGACACGTGCAAGGACATACCAACGCAGATTGCGCTGACCGGCACGATCGCGCTGAACCGCACCGAAATCAACATGCAGATTGGCGAGCTGTTTATTCTTCGCATCAACATCCACCTCAACGGATCCGTGCTCGACACGCCGGAGCTCTTCTGGGTGGAACCGCAGTTGGAGCCCGTGTACCAGGCCGTACGCAGCTACCTGGAGATGGACCAGCGCGTCGGCCTGCTGACACAGCGACTCGACGTGATTGCTGACCTGTTGGCCGTGCTCAAAGAGCAGCTGAGCCACGGCCACGGCGAGAAGCTAGAGTGGATTGGTGCGTTCCCCATCTCCTATACGCTATACGTCTGTGGTTTTTCTTTGAAATTGTAAAGTACGTATATGCTAACTGTTCTAGTCATTATTCTTATTGCAGCCGAGATCCTGGTGGCGGCCATCAACATTGTGGTCGACCTGTACGCGGGAGTGTAGAGCGGTCCCCAGATGATGCATGCTGGCGCTGGAGCTTTGTCCGTTTTTACTATATACAACAGCGATGTACATTCCCTTTGTCTCATAGAATTTCAGTTCGACATTTACTTTGTCTACTTGTTATTTTTTCTTCTTGCGCGTCCTTACTTTTGGTCTTTGTTTGGTTTATTCACGTTGGTTTATTGCGACCAGCATGTTCTCTAGAGAAAACTATGGATTGCTTCACAGCATGAGACAATGACGATACCAATGCTCTTGGGTGCAGCACTCGTCACTTCGTTTAACTATCTTGCTTTCGTATCCATTCAGAAGTGCCCTTGTATGCAAAGTTCGTGATTTCATTTCCAGGTATGCCGCCATACAATACACTGCTCTGTCTATATACTCATACAGCAATATGTGCACCCGCACCCGCCTCCCTCTGCCGCCTACACCTTCATGCCGTGGCCGTGGTATGGCGACCAGACGCCACGCACACTCTCGTTGATACTGCTCACAGGCTTGCTAAACTTCTTGTTCTTCTCGCCAGTCGCGTCGCGCAGCATCTCGGCTTTCTTCAGGATCTGGTTCGCGTCCAGGTTGCGCACGCAAATCGCGCGCTCCTGGCCGGTGATGTAGGTACCGACAATGACGGGATGGCGCGACGGTCGCGGCGACACGGTAAACTCGATCTGGGGGTTCTGGGCGGCGAACTTCTGGAGCTTCTGCTTGATAAAGAGGCTGGGCACTGTTAGCGGGAGTCTCCTTCGTCGTACACATTGGGTGTCCCGTGTCTGGGTACGACCTACTTCATTCCCCGGGAGCTGCCGGCCCAGTCGCAGTAGTGAAAGTCCAGCTTGCGGCACTGGAGGATGAATGCACCGAGGCCGTTCTGGAGACAAGAAAGACATAGGGTTAGCAAGGCTGCTCGTGGGCAATGGCGGTAAGATATTGCGTATCAGGAGAGAACAACGCAGACGTACCCGGCCGACGGAGACCTGTGGTATTGCTCGTATTGTCATGCTGTGCGTGTGTGGCCCGGCAACAAGAGCATCGTCGAAGTGCAGTGAACGTCGGATGCCAGCGAAATTTCGGCCGTCGTCAGTTCACTGGTAGTTCTTGGTAGCTCGGAATTTTCTGGTCACGTGCGCTGCGTTCCATCTCTTTTGTGAGAGGACCCACTTTTTGAATGCCCCTAGTCCGTTCTGGGTCACAACACGCTTTTCTCCATCGCTCCTGCCCTGGCCGTGTCTCCTTCATCTCTAGGCTGGCAAAACTGTTTTTGAGCTTCTCGGACTCGTCGCCTGTTTGCGTCGGTTCCTTCAGCTTCACCTCGTCCACTTCGAAGCGGCCATCGACGGCCCAACCGACAGAGCGCCGCAGCCGATCGCCAACTTCCCTCTCAGATGCACGAATCACTTTTCGCACGCCACCGACGATGACCGACAAACTCCCCCATCAGCTGCTCGCGCTCTTCGCGCCACGGCCGCCTCTGCGCTGGGTGCCGCCTGTCGACCACGCGCCTGAAGAGCGTCGCACGGCTCCCGTGTCTGGCCTGGCCCAGTTCCTCCCGGCACTGAAGGAATACAAGGACAACGATGGCTTTGTGCCGACAGAGAGCTGGCTGCAGCGGCGCGACCGCAAGGTGGCCGATCACAAGGCAGAGGTGGAAAAGCGCCTGATCGAAGGTCCTAAAGCTTGTGAGTGTTTCCTCCCCCCCCGTTTACCCAAACACATTGTGTTTGTGCATCTTGTGCATCGACTAACACACGTTTAGTCAAACCGTCTGAAGACCCCAACATTCGTGGCGACGCGTTCAAGACGTTGATCGTTGCACGGCTGAGCTACGAGGCCGACGAGCAGGACCTGGAGCGCGAGTTTTCCCGCTATGGACCCATTGAACGGGTGAGCACTTCCAACCACACTTGTCCACTTCTTGCACATGAATGGCAACTGACAGCTCTCTAGATTCGCATTGTAAAGGATACCCATGCCGACGAAAAGGGCAACAAGAAGCGTAAACCCCACCGTGGTTACGCATTCGTCGTATTCGAGCGCGAAAAAGACATGAGAGGTAACAACCATCCCTGAATGCTCTCCTAACCGTTGGTAGAAGCTTTTCCCTTCTTCTTTCCCGTTTCCCCTTCCTTCCCCGAGAAAGGTACGTTCCATGGTAAGGCAGGACTGACATGGCGCGTTCTTCCTACGCGCACGCAACACAACAGGAGCCCTCGACGCCTGTGACGGTATTCGCATTAAAGACCGCCGCATCAAGGTTGACGTCGAGCGTGGCCGCACCATGAAGGAGTGGAAACCACGGCGTCTCGGCGGCGGCTTGGGCGGGCGTGGCTACACAAAGGCAGCTGCCTCAGGCCCGCCCACCGGCCGTGGAGGATTCCCAGGCCGTGACGGCGGCGGTGGGTTCCGTGGTGGCGGATTCCGCGGCGGTGGAGGATTTGGTGGTGGCCGGGACCGTGATCGCAACGGTGGCGGGTTCAGAGGTGGTGACGGGGGCCGAAGCGGCCGTGGCTTTGACCGTGGGTTTGGCGGCTCTCGTGGTGGTGACCGTGCCTTTGGTGATGGCCCAGGCGGCGGCCGGCCCGAGCGCCGCGGCCTCGGAGCCAACGGTGGTGGGTATGATTCGCGGGACGGCGGAAGCCGCTCTTCCTTCGACGACCGGCCCAGCGGCTACCGCGAGCGCGACTACGACCGAGGCGACCGAGAACGCGATCGGGATCGTGACCGGCGTGGCGGCGACCGCGATCGCGATGGAGGACGGCGCACTGGCAGCAACATGGAGCCGGTACGACCTAGGGACCGGGATCGGGATCGGGATCGGGACCGTGGTGATCGTGCCGATCGGAGCGATCGAGACCGTGACCGTGGCGACCGGGATCGTGAGTCTGGTGGGTATCGTGACCACGGCAGCCGCGACTACGACCGGCAACCGCGCGGCGACGACGACTCGCGGAAACGCGGCTTCGACGGACCCTCACACGAAGAAACAAGGAAACTGCGCCGGTACCAGTAATCGGCACGTGCGACAAAAATCATGCAAACAGAAAGGTAGCCAACAGGTTGTGTCTTTCCTTTTGTCTCTGCTCTGCGCATTTCATTGTTGTATTATGATTATTCCTTTTTTCGCCAAAGGGTAAGACTCTACGACGGGGTGTTCGACAAACAATGTCGCGCCTTCTACATGGCCAAAACGACATCACGAAAGGTGAAGGTTTGAAAATCAAAAGGGGGTATCACACTGCCTTTGACTTTGCTACCACAGTCTACGTCTTGTACCACTTTGGACAGTCACGACCCGTGTCATCCATGTCGGCCGGCACTAGAAGCCACTCTGGGTCATTCGCCGGCATGCTCGTCCTGAACACGCAAAATTTGCGTTATTGAGCTCTCATCCGGCACGCGACCATGCGGACCTTCATCTACGACTACGTCCTCTCGACGCAGCATTCCATTCCTCGTCTCTCCCTGTCTTATTTCGTCAACGGTGGCCTTGCCTCCAGCTTTTTTGCTACGTCATCTTCTCGGATTCGCGATCATTTCATTTTTCATTTTCATTTTTTTTTTCGATCATTTCCGTTTTCCTTCATTTCTCACTTGTTTTATTCATCCAATTGACGACAATAGGTAGACAGAGGTAAGGAACTGTCGTGCCAGTGTCGATTTCAGAATGAGGCTGTTGCCTCATATTATCTCTGCCAAAAAAATAGGTAATCCGACATAAAGCCCAAGTCAACGGCGGCAGCCGTAAGCGCAAGGGAGCGTTCAGCGTTATTTATACTATAAGATTGTATTTGCACTATGCGCATTGTGAATTTGCATTGCCAATGTTTTGCTACTAGTACTCTGAGATCATGATAACTTGCATTGCCCTGTAACTTTTGATCCTGTAACCAGAACGCCCATAAAACAATGAGGGAAATTGAAACAACAGAGAATTGAACCGGTCGAAACAAAAAAAATCAAAATCAAAATCAAATGTGAGGAAAATGCCATCTGGAAATTAGCAGCCAACGTCATGTCCTTTACGCCTCCACAGCGTCTTCTATCGCCACGTCCTCGTCGTCCTCGGTCTCGGGGGCACTGCTAGTGGCAGCGCCGGCGCCGTTTCCGCTGGCGCCCTTGACGGACACCGGCAGCGGCGGCTGCAGCTCCGTGACCTCACCCGTCGCAGCACTCCAGTACGCGAGCGTCTCGATACGGAACTCGCTGAGGCAGATGCCAAACAGGCGCAGCAGGCGCGTCTGCCGGCTGTCCAGCGTCTGGCCCTCACGGCACACAACGTAGCCCTCGGCAGCATCGTCGGCGTGGCCCTCCTCGCTCTCGGGGGCCTCCTCTAGCACAACCTTGCCGCGCAGCAGACGCACGGGCATGCCGAGACGGCGCAGCTCGGGCTCGAGGGCAATGGCCATGGGCACGTCGTCGGCCTCGGCGACAACGCCGCCAGTGCTGTAGAGCATGCCGCGGGGAATGACAACGTCACGGGTGGCGACGGTGCCGGCGCGGGCGAAATCGACGGGGCTGAGGCTCTCGAGGTAGGACGTGACGTCGTCGGGCTTGCGGTTGGAGAAGATCAGGCCAACGGCGCCGCGGAGGTAGCGGGAGGCCAGGCGGTCGATGCCGGGGGCCATGGCGTCCTCGGGACTGGTTCCGAGGGCGCGGGCCATGAGTTTTGTCTTGCCAAGGAAGATGCTGCAGAAACCAGAGACGACAGAATTGTTAGTGGAAGGCCATGACGGCGAAGCAAATGGCAGGCCGGGGCCACATACCGTCCATCGGTCATCTCCTGGCGCACGTCCTTGACGTACTGATTGCGCATGTTGTCGACGCGCACGACGAAGCAGTGCTCAAACTCGGGGACGGCATCGCGGATGTTGTTGAAAAGACGGTCCTTGTGCTCACGGGTCTTCTTGGCGACCTGCGACATGTGCAGCACCTTTTCGCGCTTGGACTTGGGCATTGTGGTGGTATGAAGGTTAAGAATAGAGGGTGTTGTCTTTCGTGAAGTTGAAGTCGTGGATATCTCGAACTATTGTAATTTTGTATTTTGTATTTTGTATTTGTATTTTCGTTATTTTTTTGTTTTCTCATTCGTTCTTGCTTTTCGCGGGCTCCTTCCCATACTAATTGTTCCGCCGCTTTTTTGGCTGGTCAACTTTTTTTTTCTTATCTTATCGGGAGGTACACTGATGAACGCTAAATTTCTCGTCACTCCGCATGCATCAATCCAGTTAGTGTGAAATCGTTTATATGAATGACATAAACCTCGTTAAGTACATAGTACAAATGCGAAATGTACCAGAGGAACACATCACCTCTGCTTCTCTGCGACACGCAAGATCTAGATGCTGACATGTATACCACGTATGGCCCCTCCTCTGATATATAATTTACGCGAGGTACACATAATTGCCGCCTTCCCGCTCCAGGTAGTCCTTTTCAATGAGTCTTGCGGTTGTTAGCAGACAGATCAGATAGTGTTTTGGAAAATACATCATATGCCAGAGGCAAACACGGGTGGACTCACTTCTCAATGTTCTGCTTGATGTCGGCTGGGTCGAGGGAGCCCCGGCTCTTTGTCTGGCTGATCACCTCGGCCACCAGCTGCGCGTGCGGCAGTGACTTGCGGCTCTTCATGATGCGCACAATGGCGGCCTGCGTTTCAAACTGGCGGTCGGCCGACACGCGCTCGTACGTGGCCTTGTTCTCCTCCTTGGTCTCCTTGAGCTGAATCTGGTTGATCTTGATGCGGAACTTGGGGTCCGTAAACGCCTTGTTCACGGTAAACGTGTCTGTCTCGCCGACGTCGCGGCCCTTGGGGTGCTTCGTCAGCACGCGCACCTTGCCGCACGCCAGCGACTGCAGCGTGCGCTTGAGGTCGGGGCCTTCGAGCGCCGTGGCCTCGCCGATCTGTGCATAGCTGAGCACGCCGCCACCGCCGTCCTCGTCGGCCTCAGCTTGGTTGAACAGCAGCAGCACGGCCGCCTGGAAGCTGCTAACGAGCAGCTCCTTGGTGCCGCGGTTGAAGCGGGCTTTGACGAGGCAGTGGCCGAGGGTGTGCGTCCATGTCAGTTGGCGGCCCGTGTGCTTGTTCTTGTAGTACTTGTCAAACTGGTTGACCTGCTCGAGCACTTCGGGCGGCAGGTTAAGCGCAACCTCCTTGTACGACGGCCAAGCCGCCGCCGAAAGCACGCTGACCTGCAAATCGACACCTTTGCTGGAGGCTGTGGTGGGGGGCGCCGATGTTGTGTCGTCCGTCCGACCCGTGCCGGCCAGCCACTGCTTGTACGCGGCCATCTCGTCGCGCGACAGCTCCTGGTCGCGGAACATTTGCTCGAGGTTGTGCGTCAGCGATGAGCCGCACTCGGTCTTGAGCTTGCTCAGCATGTTGCGCTCGGCGTCCTGCGACGCGCTGCGGCCCATCAGCAGGCGGCGCGCAAGGTCCTTCTTGTAGAACGCCTCAAAGACGTCCTTGCCCTGGATGAAGCGGAACAGCTCCAGGGCCTGGTCCAGCTGCCGGTCCAGCTCGGCGTCCTCGTCGCCCGTGCTCGCCTGCCCGCTGCGCTCGGCGTCGATGCGGTCCTTGTTGTCCGACAGCAGCGTGGGCGGCAGCGTCTTGAGGCCGCCGCGCAGCAGCATGTCAATGTGCTTCGCGACCATCTCGCCCACCTTGGACGCGCCCGAAGCCCACGCCTTTGTCACGGCGCGGTCGTTGATGAAGCGGCCAAAGGCGTCGCGCAGGCCGTGCGTGAAGTAGTCGTCGCGCGTAAACGCATCGCGGATCATCACGTCCAAGTTGCGCCGCAGCAGCAGCAGGCGCACCACCATCTCGTCGCCCCGCGCCACGTCCGTGACGATGGTCGTGCCTGTGGCCTCGATGTACGCCTCCCAAGGCGTGCGCAGCCGTCGCTGCAGGCCGGGCAGCTGCAGCAGCAAATACAGAGAGCGCATCGTGTCGACGTCGTTGGCGTCGAGCAGCTTGGCCACACTCTCCTGGTCAAGCAGCTTGGCGTCGCGGTCGACAATCAGCAGCCGCTCGACCGTATTGAGGAGCTGCTTCTTCGTGGAGCTGTCAAAGTTGAAGGCGTTGCAGCGGTCGGACTCGCGCACCAGCAGCGCCGCACATGCCTTGATGTACTGCCGCAGGTCGGCGGCCGTCTCGCGCTCTTGGACAAAGTCGCGCACAAATGCCTCGGACTCCTTAAAGAACAGCGGCTCAAAGAGCGTACCGTAGATGTTGAAAATGTGCAGCATGCTGACGGCGTTGCGCAGGAGGGCTGCATCAAAAGCTGCGTCGCTGCGTCGGTCCTGCTCGACCAGTTGGCACATGCCCGCCAGCACCTTGTTGCCAGGGCCCTCTGGGGCAGCGCAGCCGGCTGTTGCATTGGCGTCGCTGCTCTTCTTGGCGCTGTCAAAGACCATGCGGCGGAACCGCGCAATCAGCATGTCGTTGATCTGCGGCAACGACCGCTCGTTGACCAGAAACGCCCGGTCGAGGTAGCTGAACACGGACCGAATCACAGACGACTGCTTCACCCACACGAGCCACTGCGTATGCACCGCCCGCAGCGTGGTAATGTCGGACGCGCCGAGCGTCTCGGCCCGGATGTCAGCCAGCACGGCCCCCGTCAAGTGTGCGTCGCACTGCGCTCGTAGCCGCTTGTAGAGGTGCTCGGCCTGGCCGTGCGTGCAGAGATCCTCGACGCCGCGGTACAGCCGCTCCAGCGGCACACGTGGTGTCTCGTTGGCGAAGATGGATGCCAGCGCCGCGTCAATGTCGGCGCCTGTGCGGTCGTAGTAGCTCTGCACCTGCTCCACCCGTGCTGGCGCCGACACCCGCAGGTTCTTAATCACCAGCTTCCGCGCACCCGTGTGTGGCTGGAACGCCGTCGGTGCTGTTGCCGAGGCCATGGACTTGCGAGCCGCCGCAGCCGTGTTGGTCGTGCCCCACTGCGCTCCAGGCCCTGTCAAGTCCACCACCTCGGGCCGCTTGCCCTGTGTCTTGGCATTCATCGTCTCTGTGTTGGACTCCGCACCCGATTGTGTCTTATACCGCTTCGTGTTGAGTGCCGATGCCGAAAAGGCCAGCGGTAGTGAGGGGATCGAGTCGACACGCTTCCTACGGCGGGACGCAGATCCAGTCAGCAAGGTATCGGGTGTCGGACAAGCACTGGCACTGGCACCGGCACTGGCACTGCCCGAGTACGGAGGGGGAGATGCTCCGGGACGCGTCGGATGCATCGACTGCTGGAGAACTGCGGTCGCGCCCAGCAGATCGCTCTGACCGAACCGCTGACTATGTGGCTATTTGGCGTTCGATTTATCGCAGGATGATCTGTGTACTATGCGTGTGGACGTGTGAGTCTGACGATTGTTGTGTCGGGAAACGGTCGAGTTCAAATGGCGAAGCCAGGAAGAAGCCAACTGCTAGGCGAACTGTTGGTTCTAGCAAGGATGTCACGGTACACCGTAGACCGATAACGGAACACTCGTCCAAAACGATTCGTAGGCCGGTATTAGGTGGCGGGTGAGGACGACACAGTACGGGAGGAAAGCGAGAATTGACAGTGCTTCAAACGTCGTTTGTGTGGAGGAGTTTCGGAGCTGTGATGTGATGCGTCCGAGCCGTGTAATCAGCTATCATGATGGGGCCAGAGCGGGTAGGAGCGATTAACTCCGGGCGGCGACTTTAATAGCCCCGCTATAGACAAGCTGCGATAGATGCAATCAGTCTTATACCCGTGCTTTATTCCTTTAAGCGTGCCGAACCGCCATGTTTACACCCCTTGAAATCCATTCATTGTTTAATTTTTTTTATTTTTTATTTTTATTCTTCTTCTGTTTCTTCTGTTTCACGTTCCCATGTCTTGAATTTTGATTTGCTCCTCTTCTGTATTTTGTACGCTTACTAGCATTTCCAAGCTTGATTATCCAACATGGCCATATCCCAAAATACACCACCCACTATGCATATGCCGCCCAGCCTATTTCTCAGTTAGAATCACATAGTCATAATCAAGACAGGAAAGGATGCGCAGCTTACCCGAATACAAAACGGCTAAATTCCGCTCGTCCGTGGCCTGATTAATCAGGTCGTTGACGGTCGCCGCCACGCTCAGCGTCTTCGACAGCTTCTTGCGCACAACCTCCAGCGCCCGGTCGGCCTCCGACGGCTCGTTGAGGACAGCTCGGTTGCGAGTGTCGGTGTCGGGGTCGTCTGCACCGCCGCCTCCACCTTCAGCCGCTGCCGCCGCTGCCGCTGCCGCTGCCGCTGCCTCATCCGTCCGCGAGCGCGCATCCTGCAGCTTGGCCAGACGCACCGGCGAGATCGACCACGAGTACAGTGGATCGTACCGAAGCACGTCGAGGATCGTCATGATCGAGTACGTCTCTTCGCGCATCGCGTCCAGCGTAAATTCACAGCACCGTCGGAACACGCCCTCGGTCCCTGTGATGCCCATGCCGTCCACAATGTCACGCGTCAGCCGGAATGGCACCAGCTCCGGCACCGGCAGCACGCGGCCCATCTCAAACGCCACACCCAAGTCGATGTGCACCACCTCCCCCGTTTTCGAGTCCAGCAAAATGTTGTGTCCGTGCCGGTCGCCGAGGCCGAGCACGTGGCCGAGCATCGAGATGGCTGCCGTCGCGCGTGTATAGGCGAGGCGGCGCACAAACCACTCGTCCGGGTCGGGGAAGTACTCGAGGAAGAAGTACCGCATCACCGGATGGAAACGCTCCGTCACCTTGCGGTATGTGCTGATGCGTGTTTCGACCGGCCGCGTCTGCACATTCGAAATCTCCTTGCGGCACTGCGAGCCCTTGAGGTCGCGCGGGTAGTAGCGCTCGTGTGCTGGCATCAGGTATTCGTGCAGCGGGATCGTGTTAGGCACAAACTCAATCAACCCCGACGACGCCGTCAGCGGCAGTACCTTGTACGTGCGGATGCCCAGATTGCGCTGCCGACTCGTCCGATGCAGCTTGAGGAGCGCCGACACCGCCGCAAACACCTGCTCCATGATGGCGTCCTGCCGCAAGTCATCATTGCCGCCCTTGACCAGCTGCTTGTAACGCACACCATTGCTGCCGACAACCGTTAGGATCTTGGGTGCGCTCACGCCCAGCGCAATCGACATCGTCGGTTCCAGACGCACAATCGTAGGCACCCTGCCGACGTACACCTTGTCCGCTTCTAGCGGGATCTCCATGGTCGGTGGCGGGATCGTGTACCGTGCCAGCCCTTGCACGAGGCCGTTGCCCGCCTGTGAATCCTTGAGCGCCAGGCGGTGCCCGGCCTTGAAGTTGCTGTCCCGCTCCACCGCCAGCATGTGGTAGCATTTGCTGGTACGGTCAATTGCCTGCCAGATGGCCGCCACGTTGGACTCGGGCAACATGAGCCGCTTGGCCACCCGCTCTGTCGCTTTTTGCCGCAGCACGGCCACGCCGTCCTTTTGGTTTGGTCGCGTCCGCACGCCCGACCATATCTGGTACATGCCGTGGTAAGGGTGGTCGCTGCAGATGCGGTACACGAGATCGAACAGCAGCTTCTGGAACAGCCCCGTCTGGCCCTGCAGCCGCGACGTGAGCTGGTTCATCAGCGGCGCAAACTTGCGCGTCGGCACTTTGCGCAAGTACTTCTCCACCGCCTCATTGGTGCTGTCCTCGCTCGATCTCTCTAGCCAGAGTGCCGTAAATCGCAGCGCGTCGTTGTTGTGCTCGTCGGACGCGGCGAGGGACAGCAGGTAGTTCTCTAGACACAGCTTCACAAATTCGTTGCGCGTCTGCTCTACCCGGTGAAGCTCCTGCTCATCGAGGTCTAGCCACAGTTTCGCCTTGTTAAGGTGGCTTGTGTATCTGTGCCGCACCTGCGAGTCCTTGGCATCGCCGATCAACTCCCGTAGCTGCTTGACTTCGTTGCTCTTGCCCTCTCGCAGGCTCTGCAGACGGGCCAAGTCTTCAAGGCTGTCTGGGTTTTGCAGCTGCTGGTCACAGAACATGGCAAACTGGTGGAACACGCGCCCGGCTTCCTTGCCCTCGTTACGCCCCTTGAGCTCGCGGAGCGCCGGCTCAAGGTATTTTTTCTGGATCGAGTCGGCGCTCTCAAGGCGTGCCACCGACACTTGGTAGCCGATCTTAGACAAGAGATCCGAACGGCTGACGGGCACCATCTGCTTCTTGAGGGACGAGTCTCGATCAATGCTTTGCAGCACGCGGATCGAAGCCAGCATTTCGCCGTGGTCCCAGAGCGAGCTGGACGTCTCCACCTTAATGGCGGCGTCCACATTGAGGCCCAGTGCCTCGCTCGGGTCAATGAGGTCTGAGAGGGCCGTCGTCACATTGAGCGACTCTTGCATGGCGTGGTGGAAGCGGTAAATGCTGGACGAGAGAAGGAGCCCCTTGATCTCAACTAGGCGCGCCTCTGCCGGCGACACTTTCATACTTCCTCTAACATAACTCTGCTCGCTGATTGTACTCAGAGTTGTTTCGCGGTAAGACAACAGCTGGCTGACGTCGTCATATCTAAAATATTGTTAGAACACACCAGTGGGATAACAAACCCGGAGAGGAAAAAAAAAGGAGAAAAAAAAAAAGAAGGAGCAGGAGAAAAACCGACGTACTGTTTGCTCATCATCCACTTAGAACGGTCCTCAAACTTATCTAGCATGTTCTGGAGCTCTGTTGCATCTCTCACGTTCAAAATGTCGTCAAGCTCAGTCAAGGCGGCCAGTGCGCCTAGCTGATGTCGGAGACTGGACACTGTCAGGCTTTGGCTGGTCACTTGCTTCATCGTGTTGCCGAGGCCCTCATAGACGGCCTGCTGTGCTGCCGTGAGGTCGGTCGCCTGGTGCACGGCCTGAAACGCCTTGTAGACAGTGACAGATGGGTTATCGGTGACTGCAGGAACCGGCAGATTCCACATGCCCAGTCGCCGTGCCGTGGTAAAAGTGCTGTCCAGGGACGCCGAGGTGCCATCCACACTGTGCTGCGTCTGGAGAAGGGAGTGAGACAGCCCAGACAGACCAATGTTGCTGAGCGCCTGTACGAGCGCCTGTCCATCTTTGGCTGCGACGGCGTTGTGCCGGCGTAGGTGGCTGTCGTATTGCGCACCACGGAAGGCAAGGGTCTTGCTGCCGTCCTTTTCGTATTCGAGACGGGCCAGAACACTAGAGAGACTGGGGCTTTGGGGTAGCCCATAATAAGCGTCGGGGTCGTCGATGTTTTCGTAAATGTCCAGCAAGAGGTCTGTGTGTTCGGTTGCTTCCAGATCCTTTAAGTTGACAACGCCCGAAGACCTCCGTGATGGCTTGGCAACCTCTGTGAGCGCGAGCTCGGCAAGGAGAAGCGCAATTTTGAACATGCCACATCGGGATGCCGCTTCTGCTGCCACGGACAGGTCAATATCCAGCCATTTGTGTCGCTCAGCTATGGAGTTCTCGTTGGGCATAGCCTGAGTCCGCAGGTAGACGATCGTGTTGATGAGAAGCTTAACGTTTTCCTGTGCGGTCGGTGAGGTGCAGGCCAGCCACACTTTAGCGGCCTCGGAGAGGCTGCGCTTGGCGGTTTGCTGCTTCTCGAGCTGGAACAGTAGGACCAGATGCACGATAAAGGGGAACACCTGCTCTGCAAAACCCTTGGCGTTAGTCAGGATGGGAGGGAGCACGCGAAGCACGACGTCGTCCGGTATGCAATGGGCCAGGTAGACGGCCAGGTCTTGTGCCCAATTGACGTGTTCAATGTTGCTCATTTTAAAAGGTTCGAATGCAGCGCCTTCTGGGGCCGAAAGAGTATCGTCAAAGTCAGAGGGAGGTGTCCGGTACTGTCCCCACGACGAGGAAATCAACAAAGGCTCTGACAGGCTGTCCTGGCACGCCAGTTGTAGAGTATTGTCGCCCAAGATGGCGGCCCGTGACACAATTGTCCGCAGCGCTGATTCAGCAAGACCTGCCGTCGTCGACTCCGCATTCATAGTCAGGGTCTCAAGAAGCCGAAGAAGACCCTGTTCGGAGCTCGTAGTAGTTGCGGCACCTCCTTGGTACTGGTCGAGGCGGGACTCGCGGAGGAGGTCGTCATGGATGGTCCCGGATGCGGCAAACGACCGTCCAACGACGCGGCCAGCCCATATGAGATACTCTCTACTCAAGGCCGTTGCACCACAGCTCTTCCAAACGACTGCGCCGTGATCTCGTGCGTCTTGGTCTGTCTCGATAATGTCGGCGCGAATGGACGCTGGGACGTGGAAATCGCTGCAAAGCATCCCCAGGACCAGATCACGGGACGAGTCGTTGAGCAGACGGGCTTCTTGCTCTCCGTCTTTGAAAATTTCGAGCAAAAGGGTGCTTTCCGGCGTGCCCCTTTCGGCGTTTCCAGATGCCCGGATCTGTGTAGCGGACTGCGTAATGGACTTGAATGCTGTACGCTGGACATCGTCTTGGAAGGCAGGCGAGTCATACTCACGCAAGTGTTTGGCAAACCAGCCATGGAAATGCTGCGCCTTGCTCATGGTTGCTTTGAACTGGCTCTCTTGCGTTGTGCTAGCCTGGCTAGACTCCAGGAACATGCGCAAGGAGGCTAGCATGGACACTGCGTAGCCGGCGTAAAAGGAGGGGAACTGGGTAAGATGGCCCGTGCCGCGAGTAATGAGATACTTTGTGATGCCGAGCGCGTCGTCTGCACATTCTGCATCCTGCACATACGGCCGGACCGAATGCAAAAGCATCTCCAGCGGATACGAGCTGGTCGCCTGCTCTCCAGCCAGACAAATGAGTACGCGAACCTTTCGGATCACGGAACAGGCATGTAGTGATCCTAGCGCTGGCCGGATGGTGTTAAAGAGTTTACGGGCCACAGACACAACCAGTGCCGGGGTCCAGAGGGTGCTCAAGTCATACTCCGTGCGGCTGCAGATGTATGCCAGTTCGCGGGTCAAGAATTTGGCCTTGAACATGGGTTGCTGGTTGGGCGGGAGAATCACGGGCGAGTGGTTGAAGGCCTTGATCTCGGCCATGATATCGGCCGCGTACTGGAGGATTGGATCCTTGCTGAAGTATTTTTCGATGGGATCTTCTTGGTCAATAATGTCGAACAGAGTGGCGATAATGTCTGCGAGGTGGTAGTACATGGCGTCGACAAAGCGGTCCCGGCCCAGTACTTTCCGTATGCGGCTCTCGGAGGTTGGCTGTGTCTTGTCCTTGGTCATCGCTACGTCGTGGGCCACGCTGTAGGCCATGGCCTTGGCAAACGTCTGCTGAATGAGGTCCGCATTGCTCAAGTCGAGCCGTTTTGCAATCGCAAACGCTTCAGTCTCCTGGCCGCGCATCAACATGAGCGCGGTGGCCTCGGTCTTAGCCTGGCCGATCATGTCGTCGAGACTGCTGAAACCAAAGATGCTATAGGGAATCTCCTCGATCAGGTCATGCTCTAGCCAGGTGTACAGAAGCTGCGGGGCGAAGAGCTTGAAGAGGTCCCGCGGCGAGTCGAGTGCGAGCGCCGTTGCGACTTTGGCAAGGCATCGAGTGGCAAAGTCAGAGCACTGCTTCAAGCGGCCAGGTGTCTCGAAGATGTGGTAGATACAGCGGCGGAGAAGCGTCGGCCAAGAGCGCGCAAGCTCAGCCAGAGCAAGCAGGCGGAGCGAGATGCCTTCGGGCCAGGTTGGGTCCGAAGGGAGGCTCTCCAGGATGTCGACAAAGAGATCATCGTGCACCTTGAGCACATATAAGGCGAAGATCTTCGGGAGGTTCATGCCAACAAAGTATTTTACGGGGATGACACTCGTTTGTAAGATGGACAGCAGGGTAGACCGGCACGAAGGCAGGCCGAGGTCGCTGCCGTAGGCCGAGTTCACCTCGAGCAAGCGGTAGAGAAGTTTGGCGAGGCCCATTTGTGCATTTGCAGATAGGGAGTTCTTTGGCAACGACTGTTGCACCAGGTATGCGTACAAGTCGCCAATACGCGCAGATACTTCAAGCTTCTCGTCAGGCCAGACAGAAACAAAGCCCTGCATAACATCCATACAAGTTGTCAGCGCGATCTCGCAGCAAGAGTACTCCCCTTGGCCGATAATGTCGCCAATCACTTCGACGACCTTGAGCGCGTCTTCGGGAACGACAACCAGGTCGGAGCCGAACAAGTCGCGCATGAAGTCGCTGCACAGGAGCAGGTCTTCGTTGGACAAGGCAAGGAACTGGTCCAGGAAGACCTCTGGCAATACGCCGACGTTGTTTGCATTTTCGTTGACGAAATACAAGAGATGCAGCCGTTGCGTAGTATTGAGGTAGAAGGCTGTAGAACTGGTCGACAAGGAGGAGGCCCGTCGGGGAAGTGTAATGGTCTTTGTGGTAACACTGCCCTGGCTAATCGCTGACTCAAAGCCGTCGTCGATTTCCATGAAAGCGTCGTTTGAGAGGGAGGACTGCTTGGCGTTTTCTTCGTCAATGGCTTGCGAGAGCTGGGCCACGAGTTTTAACAAGACGGGGTGCTCTTTGGCAAACCGCTCCGTGTCAGCAGCCGAGATTCGCGGCAGGTGCGCGTAGACGGCCGACAGCCAAACCTCAAAGAATGCCTGGTTCTGCTCGGCCTCGTGTAGAGCCTTGAAGGTCGCGTCAACCAGATTGAGCAGTCCTGGCTCCAAGTCTCTCGCAAGACTGGAATTGACAGAACTCAGTTGCGGGGCGAGTGCGGCACAAACGACACAAAAGTCTGCCAGGCTCTGCATTCGCTGCGCAGAGATCTGAGAGATGTTCTCGCCACCTTTCCGGGTCCACGCCTCGGCCATTTGGACGAATTCATCCAAGTTGGGCTGCAGCAACTCGAGAACAGCCTTTCTGGCGGTGTTGGAGCTGGCTGGGTCACGGAACTGGGACGTGGCGTTGGTCGTCGTGCCGGACGAATACTGGCAGGTAGCATGCTTGGAGCGCTTGAACGGTTTTGGCGGAAGCAGCAATAGATACCTCATCATGTCGTCGCTCTCCTCCTGGTCCTGCCAGGTCTGCTTGACGGGGCCGCCGAATATCTCAACGGGGCGCTGGATTTCTTGGACAGGTGAGCCTATGCAGATGTTGATCAGGTTGATAATGTCGTAGGACGGGGTGAGGGCGGAATATAGAGACGCAAAGCCATGCTCAGCTAGACGCAAAGATGAAATTAGACAAAACGATCACAAGGGATTTCCCGGGTCGTCACAACATATCAAAGGGCACCAATGTCGACTTACCGGGCTTCCATCGCGAAAAGAGCCACCTGGTGATGTTATTCGACGTTGTCTCGCTGGCACTGGGAAGCGTCGTATTGCGGACATGAAATAAGTGCATCATCAAGACCAGGGACGAGTCGACAAGAAGAGCCGGTCCACTAACTTCGGCGGCCGTAACCAGATTGTTGACGTCGTCCCCGATCGCATGGTACGGGATCAACTCCGTTTCCAGAATGGTGTGGACTAGGGCGCAGGCAGCACGACAGGTCGCCGTGAGACTGACAGAGCGCACAGCAATCTGCCAGACCTGGCCCCAGAGCCCAGCAAGCGCCGCGTCTCTTGCGTGGGTCTGGAAGGCACAGCTAGGGGTTGTGAGACACAGCACATAACACAAATTGTGTCGATATACGGCCTGGTGCGGACTTACCTCGAACAGGCGGTCATGGCCCATGAGCAAACAACCGCTTGTTTGTCGCTTATATACTGGCCAAGGCGTTGGAGAATATCCGCCAGATCGTCCACTGGTAGTTCGGTCATTTGGAAGTAGAAAGGCAGGACTTGGAGTGCAGCCAATTTTGTTCCCGGATCTGGAGAGGCCAGATGACTCCGGATGCGGCTCGGCGGTTCGTGCACGCGCCGTCGTTTTCGGGGCTGGTCGTCTGCACCGCCGTCACCATGATCGGCTGGCTGCCTTGTATGGCGAGCATAGATGGCCTCCAGAAGGGCAATGACCTCCACGACGGCCCAGCGTCGTTCTGCGGACACGTCGTGTGTGCCGAGTCCAAAGACACGAGCGTCAAAACAGCTTGTCGGTGTGTACGAAAACGCAATTTCAACAACTTGTAGCCGCGTGCGATCGTCACGCTTCGAATACTCCATCCAGAGGCTGTCCAAGACGTCCTTGATATGGTCAAGAATGCCGCTGGTTGGCGACTGGATGGCCAGAGCTTCGATATGTAGCTGCAACGTGTATATCGTCCGCAGAATTTCCTCGCGGATGGAGTTGACAGACTCGCTCTGGTTGGCCGACGAGCGCGGATGCCACCAATGGCCCAAAAGAGGCATGATGTCACGGACGATGCCCTGCACCAAAGCAACGTCGTCGCCCTGGAGGTGCTGTACAATGCACCGAACGGACGCACAGGCTGTCTGCTGCAGCGTTCCAACGCCCAGTTGCCGCATTTGCAGAACACGGAGGGCCATATTGGCGAGCTGCGAAGCTCTGGACTTGAGCGGAGCGTTCGAGGCACTGACAAGGTGGTACATACCCTGGACGAGCGTCTCCAGAATTTTGCTAGACGCCTGGGACGAGGGCCGCGCTTTGGATAGAGTGCCAGAACGGCCCTGACCCGCCGAAAGCGGAAGTGTGCCCGGCGCCGGCGAGGCACGAGACAGCACAACGTAGGCCACGGCATCACGATCGGGCACCTCGGCAAAGCGGTCAATGGCGTCCACGAAGAAATCCGCACACGCCAGCCAGCCCTCGCCATCGATGGCACCGAGCTGCTCCACATTGGCCGGGTGGCTCAGGAGAGACACCAATGCCTTGGTGTAGTCCTGCAGGATCGGCTCGACAAACTCGTGGTCACGGCCGGGGAGCGTCTGTGTAATGTGGTCCACGATGGCCCGGGCGACCTTCCGCTTCAGACCAGAAGCACCATAGTTGACGGCCAGCCGCAGAGCCTCGGCACTTGCTACGAGGCGAGACTCAGCCGTGCTCTTTGTCGTCCTCTTGTTGCTCAGGTAGCTCTTCTTTTCAGAGAGCGAACACTGGAACAGGGCCTCGACCAGGCTGTGATATGCTTTGGCATCGAGCGGCAGCCTGTTGGTCAGCAGTTTTCGGAACGGGCCAGGCCAGAATGCCAGAATAGGACAGTGTAATAGTATGAATGCACCTACTGTGTCGAGCCTTGAAGCTTTCTCGTGAACAGAGAAATCAAATCTGAGTTGACGTCAGTCAATACAGCCGAAGATGGACGAAGGCATCACACATCACACTCGTTACTCACCCTGCAACGCTTTCAATCGCTCTGTGGAGTTTCCTCCAACAATCGAAACTGTAGAAACAGTGTTAGTCTCTGTATCACATCATGAAATACTCGATTTCAAGCTTGGTCTTACCTCGGATGGTCTCAGCATCGTCGCTTGCGGGAGCTTTGGAGCGCGACCGCGCCATGGTGCTGCACAGCTCGAAGACGGGACGAAAACAAACACAAATCACCTAGCCGGAGATCGAGTGTGGATTCATGACCTATGCCGCCAAAGGTAGCTGTCGAGAGCTCACTGTTCGAGCTAAGCTGGCTGTCCCGATGTCGTCCCTTTTGTTTATGTGCGAGAGCGTGCACCTGTATAGAGAGGCTCTGGGCTGGTTTCAGGGCAAGCTGATACGTATTCGCACCACCAAAAGTGAGACAGTACGTCGCTATGGTAAAAGAGACCGCTCGCGCTGTGGAATGGCGTCAAAATACGGAAAAATGCAGTCGAATAAAAGTGTATATACAGGACCAAAAAGAGGCTTCAGCTTGCGATGCTGTGAAAACAAGCATGAAAGTGTCTGTGGTGCAGGCGCAGTGGACGAGGCTCCATCGCGCCTGCTCCCATTGCCTGGCTGAAGCGCGTTAGGCAGTCTAGCTGGCTAGCTGGTTTACCAGGCTGGTCGTTCCTGCCGATTCATTGCAAACAAAACAGGCACAGCGGCAGAATGCTTCACCGCCCTGACACACGCAGCTTGTGATTGGCGTCCGAAGGCAGGAACGGTCCACCAAGGGAGCTTGGGGTGCAGGAAGAAAGCTGCCATTAAAAAAACGACCATCAACACTAACATCGAAAGCTACGCGCGATCCGCACCACACAAAAAAGCGACCTTCACATTCTCGGCGCCCAACCACCCCCGGTACATTGAACATTATACGACTCACCCACGCATGCACGCGTCGACACGAATTCGGACATTGTCGTTGTCTAATTGAGACGCCGAAGCACACAACCACAGGCCATCTTCCTCTCTCTCGCGACAAATCGACTTTGATCTTGACGTCGACCTCCATCTCGACCGTCTGCCGCTGGGACCACTATGGTCGCGTCTGCGTCCGTGCCCTCGCCTTGAGTTGCCCCCGAGTTGCCCGCGATGGCCGACGTCAGCACGCTGGAGGCACTCCAGGCCCTGCACCGGGAGTTGGTGGCCGTCTCCGAGCACAGATACGAGGGCCTCGAAGCCCTGGACGCGGGTCTGCAAGACCACGCTGGCCAGTTCAAGAAACTCATCGACAAAAAGCCACGAAGCGCCGAGAGCCGCAAGGCCGTCGAGTCGGGCAAGATCAGCATTGGCGGCGAGGAATACAGCATCAACCGCGAGTTCCAGGAGAACGCCCTGCAGCTCGCCGACGAGCTCGACCTCGACGAGATCGAAACGGCAGGCATCCTGCTCGAGGCCGAGGACGACACAGTGACGCTCGGCCGCCCATTGCTGGCGTGTGGCCTCATTCGCTTCCACCAGCGGCGCAAATTCTTGCTGGACTGTGCACGGCTGTGCATCCGCCTCGCCGACGACCAGGAACTCGAGCCAGCGCTGCAGGCCGTGCTGGCCGACTATGTTTCCGAAAACATCTTCTGCGTGCCCGGCCCGGGCGTTCCCAAGGGCAGTGATGCGAGCAGGATTGTGCCGCGGTGCATGGCCGCCATGCAAGGGATCCGCACGTGGCTACAGCGGCTGGGCGACCGCGCCACCGCGGCGTCTGTGCTGCAAGAATCGCTGTCGCCCGAGATCAAAGAGATGTTTGATTTCTCGCGCCTCAGTCTGGTGCAGCAGCACGAGGGCGTGGCCATGATTCTGTACGGCGCGGCCGAGAAGCGGCACGTCGAGGCCAAGGACTTTACCGAGTTTTTGTCGTTTCTGCAGCGCTGGGACCGCTACGACACGCTGCTTGTCCACCTCTTCCCGACACTGGCGCTCTACATCCGCCTCTTCGGCTCCCCCGACGGCGTCAGCGACCTGAAACAGGCACGGCAGTTGAACGAGGTCGTCAGCAAGCGTGAGGACGACGGCGTCTGGCAGATCCCGTCCCTGCGGGCCGCCATTATCGCATGGTGGGTCGCCGAGTACAGCGGCTGGTACATGGACGACCTGGACATTCCACTCGACGACATCGACCTCGACAAGGAAGACGGCGAGCGGTCGGACGCCTTTTCCGCGTGCTTGAAGGAGGGCGCCCTCGATTTCATCCTGTCCGTGTCCTCGGACGTCGAGGTGCGCCACTGGCAGGACCCCACGCCGAGCGGTGTCCAGCTGTGGATCCAGCGCAGCTGTCCGCCGCTGGCCGCCGATTCCGTCGGCTTCTCCGACTTCTTCCGCGTCTGCGTGCTCGAGCAGCTCGAGAACTTTGTCGATGCCTTCATCTCCAACCTGCCCGACGTCATCCGCCAGCTGCGCGTCGACGAGGACGAGCAGCGTCAGCTGAGCCAGGCGCACGAGCAGAGCCTCGAGCTCGAGCGCTTCCTGCTCATCATCTCACACGCCTACGAAGGACGGCCCGACGCTGGCGAGGCCTTCTGGGCCGACCCCGAGAGCAACCTGGCCGGATTCATGCAGTGGGCCAGTCACCGCGCGTCGACGCCGCTGGTCAGCGCCTTTTGCGAGATGCTGCGCTCCATCTCGAGCAACGAGGTATCCGCCAACGCCGCGCACAACTTCCTCCTCGACGAGATCAACAGCACCACGAGCATCGGCCGGATGCGTAGGTCGCAGGCCCTGACGTGGATCCAGATCGTCAAGGAGCTCGAGTTCTTTACGGGGCGCATCCGCGCGCACACCAACCCTGTGCCTGCCCTCACCTACCGGAACGGCAAGCCCAACGACGACCAGGAAGAGGCCGAGCCCGAGTCGGCCATCATGTTGCAGTGCTACCTGCGCCTCATTGCGCGCATCTCCGTCAACAGCCCGGCTGCGCGCGTGTGGCTGCTCAGCAACAAAGAGTTCTCACTCTCCGGTATCCTTTTCCAGCTCGCCAGCCTCCCCGTGCCGGCACCCCTGCGCGCCTGCATCTTCACGGCTCTGCGGGCCCTTTTGTCAGACAAGACACTGGAAATCAGCTACATAATGTGGGTTTGTCTGGACGAGTACATGACGGGTGTTTATGCGGTGCCCGACAACATGTCTCTGTCTGTAACGAATCCTGCCAGCTACATGGAGGGCCTCCTGGCCGAAGTCGGCCAGGGCTTTGAGCAGCCCTACGCCCTTGTTCAGTTCCTCTTGGCGCTCGTCGGGCCCTCCATCGACCAGTCCGCCCTCAACGACGCGCTCCCCTTTCCCGAGGCCATCGGCAGCGCCACCCGCATGCCCGGCATCGAGCCCTACGTTGACTTTGCCCTCGAGACCGTCCTCGGCAAGCTGTCCAAGGACAGCAGCAATAAGCAGCAGCAGTACACGCTGCGCCTCAGCGCGCTCGACTTTGCCCTGACCTGCCTCGACGCCTTCAACGAGGACCTCATCCTGATTGCCAACGAGACCGCCATTCCCGTCGACAGCATCATCGCCACCACCGACCTCGCCGCCTACGTCAAGCTGCACCCCTTTGCCCGCGTCATGGAGTGGGTATACAATCACAGTGTCGTGGAGGCCATCTTCAGTGCCATCCACGAGGATCCGGGCGAGATCGGCAATGCGGCGCCCGACTCGCCGTTGATTCTCGGTGTCATCCGCGCCGTCGAGCTCATCTCCAAGATTTTGGAGCTGCAGGACACCTACCTCGATCTCGTGCGCCAAGTCATCCGGCTGAAGCTCGGCGAGCGCCGGAAACCCGTCAGCGCCACCTACAGCTTCTTCGAGGAGGCCATTGCGAACCACCTCGACCTGATTGTCGACCTGGGCAACTGCTGTGGCCTCGGCCACCCGTCCCTGACGCTGGCGTGCTTAAAACTGCTCGAAAAGATATCCGTGTCGCCCAAGGTCATCTCCGCATGGAACCCTGGTCCCGGGCACCACGCGCACCGCAACAAGGCCATTGTCGCGCTGGAAAAGGACGACGAGGCCGGTGTCATTTCGGGCGTGTTCGTCTCGGAGATGATCACGCCACTGGACCTCGGACTGGAGGCCGATTCGCCAAACTACAGCATCAAGACGTACATTCTCGACTTCCTGTACTCGTGCCTACAGGCCTCGCCAGACCGGCCCACCATTGCCCACCTGCTGCTGGGCTTCAAGTGCGGCGTCGACAGCCTGAGCGTCGAGTCCGGCGGCGCCTTTGACAGCCGCACCTCGCTGTTTCACAACCTCCTGCGCGTCCTCCTCGAGGCCCCCTTTGGTGACGACAACCTCGGCATGCGCCAGTGGCTAATCCTGCTCAAGCACAAGGTCATGCGCATCTTCCAGGTCCTCTGGCACTCGTCGCTGTCGTCCGCCATTGTTCTGGCCGATCTGCGCGAGAACGACTTCGCCTTCCACCTCCTCATCCGCGAGGTCGTGCTGAACCAGGAGATGCCCTGGGATGGCATAGCCTCTATGGCGCCCGAGTTCCCCACAACACAGGCGTCCGTCGGGTTTATCGAGTTCTGGGCACTGCGCGCTATGACGCTGGAGTACGTTGGCATCGAGCTCTGCAGCGTATCGCAGAATCGGCTGCCGAGCCTGAAGCGGCGCATCTTTGACGCCCTCAACGGCAAGGTCGTTGACGACAACAATGAGCCCATTGACATTCCTACCGTCTTTGACTTGTATGACTTCTTGTCCAGCAACAGCGGCATCTCCCACTGGGACGTCTCGGCGCCGCAGTTCAAGCGACTGCACGAGCTCGATCTCCGCGCATCCATGGACGAGACAGCGACGGGCGAGACGCTCTACGACCTCGACAAGGCTCGCGAGATTGCCCTGCTCAAAGAATCCGAGATCATCAAGGCATCGGGCTTGACCGAGAAGGCGCTTGGGGCTCTGCGCGAGGAGCTGCAGTTTGAAGAGGCCGTGCTGCTCGAGTACCTGGCCTTCCTCAACCGCCAAAAGCAGCTGGGTGACAACCTGCAGGTGGTTCTGCACGCCTGGGCCAAGCTGCTGCTCGTCATGTTTGAGGCCAACGAGTTTACCGGCGCCGCACAAGTATCGTTCCTGCTGCAAGCCCTGCAGGCCATCCTACCGGGTCTTGAGGCGTCGAGTGCCGACAACCCGGTGCAGGCGCTCGAGCTGGCGCGGCTGGCCGAGGTCCTCTTGTTCAAACTCTACGCCGACAAGATCCTCGCCAACGGCAACAACAAGAGCAGCACCAGCGAAAACGGCGACGACAAGGAGGGCCGCCAGATGAGCAGCCTGGTCAGTGACAAGCTGTTCCAGCTGTTCCAGATCTGCCTCTTTGCCACGTCCAAATGGGTGGGCAAGGCCGAGCTGCGGTCCGTCTACTACAACATCTGCTACCGGTACATTGCCGGCATCCTCGACGCAGACAACCGTGGCTTCCAGCCGACTGGCTGGCAAAAGGCCAACAAGACCGTCAGCGTCTGCGGCGAGCGCGTCCTCAACGTGGTCTGCGACGACACCTATGGAAGCGACTCGTCCACATGCCAGACGTCGGCGCTGGTGCTGCTGGGTGCCCTCGTGCGCCTCGGTGAACATGAGCACGATACGCACGTCGTCGAGTCGCTAAACCGCCTCAACTTTATCGGCGTGCTCGTCGACTCCCTCAAGTCGGTGCTGCTGGACGGCCTTGCCGTGATCCAGTCTGGGCGCGCCGACCAGCGCCTGGCCCTCGACGCCAAGCTGGCGCTGCTGCTGCAGCTGTGCCAAACGCGCGACGGCGCCAAGTTCACGCTGCATGCCAACCTGTTCCGCGCCATTGAGCTGTCCAGTCTCTTCTCGGCCGACCCCGAACTGCAGGTCGATCCCACCGACACGGCTGCGCTGACGCAGCACTACGGCCTGCTGGTGCAGGTGGCCCGCATCATCGGCGCCGCCGTCGTCAGCCGCGGCTCGCACAACATCCTACAGGGCCGGCGGTTCCTGTCCGAGCACCGGATGTTGGTCATGCACGTGTTCAAACGGTCAGCCGGCATCGGTCCGGCATCGTCACGGGCACTCGACGAACGGGTAGAGGACTTGGCTGAGGCGTTTATGGTGCTGATCGTGGCGACTGACTTCCTCGAGGTAAGCTTTTGTGTGTGGTCAGGATGCAAGTCGAAAGCTGTGTATAACTCCTACTAACATACCTTCCATGTAGTTTGAGGACGAGGCGCCGGTACAGCCACAAAGTAACCCAACACGGATATTGTTTCACTAGGGGCAAAATAGAAGAGGACCCTGCGAGACGTGGATGATGTCATTGAAGCGTTTGGTTGCTTTTTACCTGTTTTCTTTCCTTGTTTTTAGTTTTGGTTTTCATCTCACTGTTTGTTTTGCACGCTACCTGTACGTCTGGAAGGCGAGGCGAGCGTCAGGGGAAAATATCGGATGACGGTTGCAACTGTTTTGATCTCTGTTTCTTGATAGTCGTGGATGTTTGTTTTATTTTAATTTACTTTTTTTTTTTTTTACTTTTTCTTATATGTATAAGGGCGTGATAATCAAATGCTTTGTTCTCTACTAACACAAAATAATAGTAAAAGCAAAACACCCGACTTGTCTCGCTCAGACATACACGATAATGCATTATTAGAAAAAGTTGGATGGTTACAAATATTCTGTCTACTCTATAGACACAAACCAGCGCAATAGGCAATACACAAAAGACTAATGTACTTAATGCAAGAAACAAGGCAGCCGCCCTCGAACCAAGAGCCAGATTAAAACATACAACCGTATTCGCCGTGGCCATGCAGATTAACCAATCCGTTAGAACATGCTCCCGAGAAACGCAACAATATGGAACACAGTACACAGATAAATCCCGACAATTCGCACCCCAACACCATCCCCAATTGAACGAGCCATCGAAGGGACGTTACGCCGGTTTTCGCGGCCGCAACTTCAGCTGGAGTGGATAATACGTGCGCGCCATCTTAGCGGTCGACATGTGTGGTGCCCGCATCTCAATTTTCGAGCGGCAGATGGGACATATGCGCTGCTCGGTTGAATGAAGAGAGGAGAAGAGACACTCGCCGCAGAAGAGGTGCCCTGGACTATGTTAGAGACAGGCTGGCAAACGAAGGAATGCAGGAAACCACCACACTAGGAATGAAAAAAGAAAAAGAAAAAACGTACCACAGTGTGTGACCGTCATGTCGGTCATGTCGTCCATGCAGATGACGCACTGCAGACCCGACAGCTTTATGAGGTTCTTCTTCTCCGGCTGGGCCTCGCCCAAGCGCCCTGCGGCCCCCTCGGTCTCCTGCCCTTCCGTTGCCTCCACAATTTCGTCTTTTACGCCGACCGTTTGTGGCCGGTCGATATCGACTAGGTTGACCATCTCCACACCACCGTTGTCGTCGTCGTCAGAGCCAAATAGGTCATCGTCGAGTATGATCGGTTCGTTGACTCGTGGCCGTTTGGGCGAAATGCGTGACCGGGTGGACTGGCCGGTGGTGTTGTTACCGGTACTGCTGCTACTGCTGCTGGCTTGACTGTCGCCGTTTGCACTGCCACTGCTGGTCCCAACCGACGCCAGGATCATGGCCATTGGGGGCAAACCGGTGCTGGACGACCCTACCCCGGGGTCATTGCTTCGTCGTCTCTTCGCTGACGAGCGGGGCGCGGACGATGTTGTCGTAACGGCGGTAGGCGAGGGCAGGGCGTTAAATCCGGCCCTAGTTCGTGACCACGAGGGCGTGGGCGTCGCTGTTGAGGGTACAATCGGGTCCCCTGGTAACGGCAGAGGGAACGGGGCCGCTGCAGCAACAGCCTGTGACGCGGCCCGGCTTCTTGTCTGTGGCATGGTGTCGTCGTCGGGGCTGAGATTTATTCGTTCGGATACGCGCAAAGGTGTTCCTTGTAGCGGTGTGTCATTGAGGATGGACGGAGAAGAGAAGTCGCCTTGTCCTAAGAGGTGGAGGTCGTCGTCGTCGTCGTCTTCAATGTGAATGGCTGAGTCAGCGTGATTGAACGACTGAGGAGTCAGATGTGGCAAAGCGGCCGCAGATGTGCCGATATTTCGTCGTCGATCGAGGACGTGTTTGTCGCCTCTTGGCTGATTCCTTTGGCTGCTGAAGGAGAGCTGAGGCCTGCTCGCTCTGGGTACTGGTTGCGAGGCAGGCTGTGCTAGCTGCCCACTGCTCACCGGTTGGCGACGGGCGGGAGGATGCCGTGAGAGGATATCTTCGTCGTCGTCCTCGTCGCCAAGGACGTCGTTACTGTAAGCGTTGGCGGTCTCTATGTTGGCAACACGGTCGACGTCAAAGAAGTCGGAGAAGTAGTCGCTGTTGACGGAGTCGTCAACGGGGAGGAGGTCGTCGGACTGGTCATTCGTAGGCACCGTGTCTTGGTCGATTGAGCGGCTGCGGTCGAGTGCGAAGATGTCTGGGTGGTGAGGCGATGTTAACAACTCGGTCAAAATGGACGGCATAGAGATATCGGGCGCCGGTGGGCACGCGCGACGAGCGGGGAAAGAACAAAGGACAAAGCAAAGACAACGGGCAAGAAAACAGGGGCCAGGACGCGAGGCAGGAGCGTGAGGCAACGGGGGACTGAATAGGACCCGCCGTGAAACACGCCGTGAATTTGCAAGATGTTCCTGCGAGGGTGATCACAGGGAAGTCACGGCTCGTGTGCGCCCCGCCGACTTGGCAGCCTTTTGCACCAGTAAATTCGGTTCAAACGTACCTTCGGTCGAATCAGCGGCAAGAACACGTCTCGCCATATCCAGCGGACACCGTAGGACGCATGGGAATGACGAGGAAAGAGCAAAGGGCTTGCGAAGCACGAAATGAGTGCGATGGCGGAAGGAGGCAGAGTAGCGAAAGCCAGGAGAGAGGAAGAGCGATGCCGCGCGACAAAATAGGCGACTGCGTCTCCGGAGCCTCTTATTGCCCTTGTTTTTGCCCCAGAAGTCGTCGGAAGTGGCGACTGGCCCTCGACCGCTAAACAATATGTGATAGCGCGCGCTTCGCGTGTTCCAGCGCCAATTGGCGCCGGGGTTAGGGTTCTGAATCCGGTGGCCAACACTACCACTCAACCATCGGATTTGTAATGTATTTAACGGGGCTTGTCACGACAGAGGCGACTGCGAGCTTTGGCAAAGCCACGGTAAGATGGAGAAGAGAATGTTGGTCTTGACACCAACGTGTGAATACAATGCGTGACTGAACCTACATATGACAACCTTGCTTTAAGGCAGGCCGGAATACAGAGTTCAAGTTGTCACTCATATTTGCCTTACAATGGAAATCTACCAGCTGTCACTACCCCCAGCCGATTACAATGATTTGTGAATACTAAGGCCAGTGTATTTTGATTTCCCGGACAAGATTGCTTTGTAGTTATGAGACGAAACGGTTTTTCGCGTCGCTGTCATAACGTTGTGATTAGAGGTATGCTAATTTGCAGTATACCTGTATATGTATATGAATATGCATATAAGCGATTTCTCGTGCATATACGAAAATGGTCAGGACGATCAATGTATTTTGGTCAAGAAACTCGGGTTTTTTTGATTTTTTTTAAAATAAATGGAAGTGATTCTATCTCCAAGTCTTGACCAAGATATGAGTCCCGTCCCCGTGCCATCGGGACGTGCTTCTTTTGTCTATCATACTAACAAGGGCGTGCGGGCCGCGGACTCTCCAGATTCTTCCTCTACAGACGGCAGTTCACAATGTCGACGACTAGTACGGCGCGTTAGTAGAGAACAATGGGGTAAAGATGGACCAGGACGAAATCCATGGGGACAAAACGGATGGGGATGAACATACAGGCAGGCTTCAGGCTGGCACCGCCAACCAGGAAACCGTCAATGTCGGCCTGCTTGGCCAGGTCCTTGCAGTTCTTCTCGTTGACACTGCCGCCGTACAGAATCCGGGTGGCCTCGGCGACGGCGGGACTGACGTTGTCCTTCAGCCAGCCGCGGATGGCAGCGTGCACGTCCTGGGCCTGTTCGGTGGTGGCCACCTTGCCAGTGCCAATGGCCCAGATAGGCTCGTAGGCAACGACGATCTTGGCCCAGGCCGCAGCGTCAGTGCCAAGGGCCTCCTTGAGGGCGGCCAGCTGGCCCGTGACGACAGAGACGGTCTGGTTGGACTCGCGCTGCTCAAGCGACTCGCCACAGCACCAGATGACACCCAGGCCGTTGTCAATGGCGTACTTGGTCTTGGACGACACAAGGGCGTCCGACTCGCCGAGCAGGGTGCGGCGCTCCGAGTGACCGAGGATGGTCCACGTAATGTTGCTGTCGCTCAGCTGGTGGGCCGAGATCTCACCAGTAAAGGCGCCGTCCGGCTTGTCGAAGACGTTCTGGGCAGCGACCTCGATCTGAGCCTTGAGGTGGTCGCGGACTAGCAGCAGGTACAGGGAAGGCGGGGCAACGACGACCTCTACAAGAGAAGAAGCAGTGTCAGAGTAATGGGTCGAGACGCAAGTACCAGGACGAAGCCTACCAGACACTAAAAAAAAAGCCCGACTACGTACCGACATTCTGGTCCAGGTTCGACTGGTTCAGGTTGTCAACGATGGCCTTGATGGACTTGATCGTCCCGTTCCTAGAGTACACAAAAGACAATCGTCAGTGCTGGCCTAGCTCTAGGTGCCATAGAGCAACACATGGCGCTGTGTCGAGCAGCTGTCCTGTCGAAGGGTGAAGCTTTTCGGACATGCGGGGTTTCTTTTCCGTGCTGGCAGACAGCCATGACAGGTTGGACAAGCTTAAACCCCGGGGCAGAAGCATGGGCGGCACGTACATCTTGAAGTTACCACCGACAAAGAACTTGCGAGGAGACATGATGGGCAATTGGGTTTGGTAGTGCTTTGGGTTTCAAAATGGTGAGTGCCTGGAAAGGTCAAAGGTTGGTGATGAGGCAGGAAAGAAAAAGAATGGGTCGGCGTATTAAGACGAAAAGAAAGCTGGTGAGCTTTTTTCGGTAGGAACGAGCCAAAACGACCGACGCTAACAACCGCCTCTTCCCGACTGAGCAACACAGCACTAGTGGTCTTCCAGCTCAGGCCATGTCTGTAAACAGTAATTGCCAACCATGTGAAATTCAGAACGGGCAGCCACGATCGGACAACCGATGTGTTTGGTGCTTGGCGGTTGTATCGCCTTCTACGGAGGACAATTGCACCCAGTAACATGTCTTACAAGGCGGGGTAGCTTTCGTAGGTTCATGCTGTGAATGGGCGATATTACCATGAGAGTATCTGTCCCGCGCCGAGCGGTGAGGAATCGCGAGTGCTGCAACCAGAGTATTACAGAGCTCAAGAGACGCTGGAATTTCCTTTGCGTTATGTAGTCTCATTGTGCGCTTTATTGGGAAAGGGCGAGGGGCTTGATTCGCCGCGATAACACATGCAAGGAAAGGACGATGCATCACGCGTCCAGGCTTACACGGCAGGTGCTATTTGGGTCATCCGTATCTTACTCTGTCGTACTTTAGTCACTGCGCTGTGAATTGCGACTGCCTCCAATTTGCGCCCTGCGCGCTAAAATGCGCCACGGTTTTTAGGCTGTTTTTACGCGTTCTTTGATGCAAGGGCGACTGGTTCGCTCCTCCTTGCAGTCTACATGGTCCGTGCGGCAGGCGCAAAAGACGTTGGCAAAACCACATCCAAAGCACAAAGACATCCCATCACCACCATAAGTTTGCCACAATACACAGCGACAACACAACGGCACCGACAGCGATTCCCATTGACACCGGCTAGGCTTCTGGTATTTCTCTATCATAAGCACGTACTTTCAAACCCCACGTTACCCAGAACTGCTGTGACGAGGTGTTTCTGATCTTTGCCATTGCATCGACCCCGGAAGGGTCCTCGTGATGCCAATTGGCGGGCTTTTGACGCACAAACCGGCCTCGTCGGCAGCGGCCTCACCATGATGCGCCCTCTGGGCGGAAACTCCGCTCGAGGCAGCTGGACGGTGGCATCTTTTGTGCGGCTAGCGAAGCACCGTGCGCGCGACCCGCAGCGGACGGTTCCGATATTCGTCCGATGGCAGTCGACACAAACCGAAGAGCGCAAGACGCTCGCATGTAAGCAGACGACGGGGCGCCGATCTTGCTGATGGAAAACACGGACAGACCACTAACGGCGAGCAGTACCTTCACAGGCGCGGCACAACGAGATTGGGATCCAGCATGTCAGCGACCACATCTTTCGCCAAGTCTTTCCCCAGGGCAGCAAACCTCCTTCGCCTGAACTGGTCGAGCTGGCAAGGGACCATTTGCGACGCCAAGACCTGCTGGGCAAAAACACCGACAACACCGAACCCATTGCCTTTGACGTTCCCCCGCTGCATGGCCAGACGCTCGACGAGCATTTTTTCAAGTTGGGCACCGACGCCGCCGAGCCCTTTTTGGGATATGCGAAACAGTTTGCCTGTGTCAACACACAACCGAAGCCCCGGAAATGGATACGGCGCAGCGGATGGACCAAGTACTACCCAGACGGGCGGACCGAGGCGGTCGATGCACCAGACGAGGCGATGCTCGTGTTCGACACAGAAGTTATGTGGAAGGAAAGCCCATTTGCTGTCATGGCATGTGCCGCTAGCCCGACGGCATGGTACGCCTGGCTGTCGCCGTGGCTGCTCGGCGAGACGGAGAACGACTGCAATTTGATCCCGCTGGGCGACCCGACAAAGGACCGCATCGTGGTCGGCCACAATGTCGGCTACGACCGTGCGCGTGTACTTGAGGAATACGATCTGAAGCAGTCTCGAAACGCCTTCTTGGACACCATGTCGCTGCACGTGGCCGTCAACGGCATGTGTTCGCAGCAGCGGCCGACGTGGATGAAGCACAAGAAGAACCGGGAGCTGCGCGACCGCATTGCCAAGGAGACGGACAATTTCGAGCTGTCGCAGTTGCTGCAAAACAATGCATTGCACGCGGAGGAAGAGGAGCTGTGGGTCGACCGCAGCTCGGTGAATTCGCTGCGCGACGTAGCCAAGTTCCACCTTCACATTGCCATGGACAAGACTGCGCGCGACGAGTTTGGTGAGCAGGACCGCGAGGGCGTGCTTAGCAAGCTGGACGAGCTGCTCGACTACTGTGCGGCCGACGTGGCCGTCACGCACCGCGTCTTCCAGATTGTGTTTCCCAACTTTCTCGAGGTGTGCCCGCACCCTGTCAGCTTTGCCGCGTTGCGTCACCTCGCGTCCGTCATCCTTCCCGTGAACAAGTCGTGGGAGTCGTACATTGCCAACGCCGAAGCGACATACCGCCGCCTCTCCGATGCCGTCCAGGAGCGGCTCGTGACGCTGGCTGAGAAGGCGCTGGAGATCCGTGGCGACAGCGACAAATGGAGCCAGGACCCGTGGATGCAGCAGCTGGACTGGTCTGGCCAAGAGATCCGCATGGTCAAGGGCAAGAAGAAGAACGACCCGCCACGGCCAGCAGCACGCCAAAAGAAGCCCGGCATGCCGCAATGGTACAAGGATCTCTTTGCCAAAAACGACTCGCCCATCAACATTTCGGTTCGGACGCGCATTGCTCCACTGCTCCTCCGCCTGGCCTGGGACGGCCACCCGCTCTTTTGGTCAGACAAGTACGGGTGGACGTTTCGTGTGACGCGAGAGGAGGCCGCTGAGTACGACGAGAAGCAGATGCTACGATGCGACATGGCCGACGAGCCCGTGGAGCTTCTCAGGAACGACCGGCGCTATGTGTACTTTAAGCTGCCGCACAAGGACGGCCCCACAGCGCGCTGCGCCAGCCCCATGGCCAAGAGTTACTTGGCGTACTTTGAAAAGGGCACGCTGTCGTCCGAGTATGCGTATGCAAAAGAAGCGCTCGAGATGAACGCGTCGTGCTCGTACTGGATCAGCGCACGCGACCGCATCATGTCGCAGCTTGTCGTGTACAACGAACAGCTGCCCGCCAGCGCAGCATCGCCACCCGATGATGGATCTGGGTTCATCTTGCCCCAGGTCATCCCCATGGGCACCATTACGCGGCGTGCCGTCGAAAACACATGGTTGACGGCCAGCAACGCCAAGAAGAACCGTGTCGGGTCGGAACTGAAGGCCATGGTGCAAGCACCGGACGGCTACTCGTTTGTGGGTGCCGATGTCGACTCGGAGGAGCTGTGGATTGCGAGCGTGGTGGGCGACGCGACGTTTGGCCTGCATGGCGGCAACGCGATTGGATTCATGACGCTCGAGGGGACCAAGGCGGCTGGCACGGACCTGCACTCGCGAACGGCGGACATTTTGGGCATTACACGCAACGACGCCAAGGTGTTCAACTACGGGCGCATTTATGGCGCAGGACTCCGGTTTGCGGCACAGCTGCTCCGGCAATTCAACCCGTCGCTGTCCGAGGCCGAGACGATTGCGATCGCGACGAAGCTGTACTCGGCAACCAAGGGCACACGCACGACCCGCCGCGCCCTGTACAAGCGGTCGTTCTGGCGCGGCGGCACGGAGTCGTTTGTGTTCAACCGCCTGGAAGAGTTTGCCGAGCAGGAACGCCCACGCACGCCGGTGCTGGGTGCAGGCATCACAGAGGCCCTCATGGGCCGGTTTATCAGCAAGGGTGGCTACCTGACGTCGCGCATCAACTGGGCGATCCAGTCGTCTGGGCAGGACTACCTGCACCTGCTGATTGTGTCTATGGACTACCTGATTCGGCGGTTCAACATCCAGGCACGTCTGGCGATTACGGTGCACGACGAGATCCGGTATCTTGTGCGCAACGAAGACAAGTACCGCGCGGCCATGGCGCTGCAGGTGGCCAACCTGTGGACACGGGCCATGTTTGCGGAGCAGGTGGGGATCCGTGACCTGCCGCAGGCCTGTGCGTTCTTCTCGGCCGTGGACATTGACCACGTGCTGCGCAAGGAGGTGGACATGGACTGCGTGACGCCGAGCCACCAGACTGCCATTCCGCCGGGCGAGAGCTTGGACATGCAGACATTGCTGGACCGCGGTGCCGAAGCGTTCTTGGACCCGGCCATAGTGCCAGACGCGCAGCACGCGCCGCAGCTCGAGGGCATTGTGTACACGCCGCGCAAGCCGGTGATGGAGACGCTGCGAGAGCAAGACAACAGCACGACGGACGTGGCGTTCATCCGGGCTCAGATCACGGCCGACGAAAAGGAGTTGAAGGACATTCTGGTCGCGAAGCGCAAAGAACTCGCACCGCCGTCTACGAGCAAGTCGTCGAAATCCAAGACGACGGCGGCGGCGGGGACGGCGGCAACGACGAAACGGTCTTACTCGAAGCGGTCTGTGCTCCCGTACTATGCCAGCCCACAGCTTATGCCGATGGAAGAACCCATCTCGGTGACCGAGGCGCTGTCCTATGGCGGCAGCAGCGGCGGTGGCCACGACGGCAACAGCAGCCGGTTCGCACAGGTGGTCGACAGCAGCTACGACGACTTTAATCTCGGCGCTCGCAACAGCTCGCCCAGCAACGGCAGCGGCAACAGGTGGGCGTGGACAGCCAACAGCGCCGGTGGCGGCCATGGCAACGCCCACGGCAAGTACGGCAAGGTGTCGACACGCGGCTCGCGCATCTAATGGTCTCCTTCTTCTTTGCTTGTGTATATCATCTACCTGTGTACATTGTAATTGTGTATGATTACGAGTGTTACGTTTCTCTGTTGTCGATTTCCTGATACCTGTATGTTGTATAATTCTAATCATTGTCATTGGGTCTGCTGCTGGGGTCTGTGTTGTATGCAGGGGGTATTGAGGGTCTTCTTTGCTAGTGTTGTTGGTGTTGGAATATACCCCGTGTTTCGCAGCTTGCATTGTCCCATCTTGGCCATGTGCGCTTCGTGGACCCAAATTTGTGTACTCAGAAAACAATAAAGAACAATGACGTGAAGAAAGTTCATGGCAAAGTCGGCAACACGGCAGGGACGGTATGTCAACGCAGCACGGACCGTATTTAAGGTGTATATCGTACAAAGAGTAAGGAAACATATCGAATTAAAAAAATCATATGTACAAAAAAAAATAAAAATAAATAAAAATAAATCCTTGATACCAGAGGATGGCCATAGCGCACTAAAGCACGTTATGGCGGATGTCGATGCGTCAAAATGTCAAAGAGTGAAGGAATCTAGAGCTACCTGCTCGTCTACACTGAAATAAGCTGTTGTAAATGCGCTACGAGATGATTGTCCTCTGGGGTGGACCTCGAAGTGAGTTACCTTGTTGCTTTCCTTCGCTCTTTTTAGCTATGATATACACAATTTGGAGATATATGCTATGACAGCGCAAATCCGAACCGTGTGTCTGTGCGTAAAACCTGGGGTTGATTTCCTTATGTATGGAGTCCGTCGTAGTTTGCATCTCGTGATCCATAACTTCTGTATCTTTTTGTATTTGCCTTTTTTTTCTCTCTTTTTTTGGTCCGTGTCTGCAGCACTTACGCTATGACCAGCGAATCAATGCGGAGTTCTCGGCATTTACCTAGAGTGGAAGACAGTACGACGTTGGAGTTATGTAACACGGCGTCCTCGGTATGTCCTCTTTATTTGAGTTGTTGCCAACAGGAAAATTAAACTATTCCCATCAGCAGCTGAATACGAGATACTTTTAGAAATATAATGGAAAATAAAGAAGAATGACAGAACGGAATGCAACCGAAGAGATGTGAATAGACAAGAAGATGTATGGCAGACCACGAGCAGGGCCAAGACCGTTATGCAAAGGTGAACCGAAGACGAGCAACTGCCAATATATGTCGCCATCTGGGTTGTCCTCCAGGATTGTGACAGCTTGTCGTCCGTTGTTTTGTCTGGGCATAGCCTCGAGCCAGTGTCATAGCACATGGCAAGTTCGTGCATCTGCTCCTTGCGCTTTGACGAGCTTCGTTTCTCTAAGCGGTCTAAATGGCTCCGGATATCAATTGCGTTGTCTTTGCGTAGCCAATGCAAGGCTCTAGTTCTGCACGCTGCCAATATTCGAGCCTGTCATCCTCTTTCTCCTCGAAGACCAGAATTTGCCAAATCTCTCACTGGCTTTATTCTGTATTTGCGATTATTTCCTGCGACTCCAACGTCCTCAGACTGATCAGCAAACCAGACAGGTCTAGACCCCATGCCGACCACCGACTGCAAGGATAGCGTAGCATTTTAGTCGCACTTCGACCAGCACAGGCACCCTGCCAAGCAGTCGGTTTCGATGCCCCATGCCCTGTGAACCTAGTTTGCTTGCTCCGGCGATGCTTGTCTTGAGCGGCCTCTCAAGTTGAATTCCTTTTGCATTGACTGCGAATTCATATCTCGCCGTCCGTTCCTTCCTCAATTCGCGGGTGCACCTGCCCGCTGTCGGACTTTGTTCTTGCCTCTTGCGCCGGATCTGCCAGTGCTTTCCCGTTTGAGACATGCAGCGCACCAAAAAGAGGAAACACCGGCCCAGTCCGATCTGTGGCCCTGCCAAGACTGGTCGATGTGCAAGCTGCCTCCCACACGCAAAAGAGGGTCAGGGCACGGGTGTCTCCAAGTGCTTCTGGGTTTATACATTTGCGCGGCGCCCACCTTGACAGACTACGACTTTCATGGCAGAGCGTGCAGTGTTTCGAAACGCTCGGGTCGCGTTCCGCTATGGGGCGCCGCCCAGGCACAGGAACGGAAACTGCAACCCTTTCACGGCAATACGGTTGGACTTGCTGCGGGACGGTTTAGAGTAAAAGGCAAAACTGCAATAGGGAAAGAGCGCACGTTTCGTCAAAACGTGGCCGCCACATATTTGATTCACACAGAGTAGGAGCGACCCCCAGTACGACACTGTTCCTGGCATCGATCGCTCCTTCTTACCCTTTCCCTCCCGTCTGGAGCACTCCGTAATTACTCTTTCCTCGGTCGACATGGGGAAGCCACACATCCCAACATGCCTCACAGAACTAAATGTTATTTCTTCCAAACCCAACCCTCTTGTAGTTTCGACGCGATGGTTTTGTCCATTGTCATAGCCCTCAAGCTAGTGCAGTCAGCGCACAGAGTACTCGTCAGGGTCCAAGTCAGGTCGTTGCCTCCGCGGAGGCAAAATCTCTTGCTTTCGAATATTAATTCCACGGGTGCCGCCGACCATCAACTCTCCGGCAAGCTGGATAAAGCAGACTGGACCACATACGGTTATATTGGATGTTTGAGGTCCAGCTATGATCAACCGCTTGCGTTTGGCGTCTTCCACTCGTCTCATCGTCTCGTCTTCTTCCTAGTCGCTTTGCTAGCCTTTCTTCTCACAGTTGCTTCCATCCCCTTGTCGGACCTTGTTCTCTTTCTTTTCTCTTTTCTCTGATATTTACTTCCTTTTCTGGTTCCCTGACGATTGTCTCTTTGCCTTTTACAACGTCCTTTTTCCCTCCCTCTCCATCCACTCAAACTGCCTCATTACGTGCCGTGTTTATATGGGCTAAACGAAACGGCCCCCCGGTAAGGGGATTTTCAATCTCGTCTGTTGGCCTCGCGATATCCATCAAGCCGCGATTCCGCTCTCCTTGCGTGGTTGTGTTATCTCCCTCCCGTCATTGTTTATTTTAAGCGGTACAGCGACGCTGTGCGTCCATTTATTTTTTGTCATTTCTACAATACCCAGGCGAGCGTGAGACGGACGGGACGTGACAGGACAGGGAGAGAAGAAGAACAAAGGTAGCGGCTGGGCCCTGTATTCGTTGGACCACTTGGAAATTCATATAAAACACCTCAATGGACAGCAGAATGGCAGCAGCGTCGTCGCCGCCTGCATCGTCGGGGGCATCGACAGATTCAGGTGAAAAAGCAGCAGAACTGACGGCGGCAACCCCATCTCGGCTCTCCCGTTATTTCGCGACAAGGCGGAAAAGAAAAATGACGGCCCTCGCTTTTGTCATTCTCGGCATCGTCGCCATTGCCGTCGCTGTGCCGGTGACCGAGCACGCCAAGGTGTCGCACAGAGCGCAGAATACTGTCATCTCTGCAGCATCTGGTGTGACGCTACTCGTTGACAACGACCTTTCTGGTAAGCAATCGTCAACCGGTGTTGGAAAACGTGTCCTGCGCAAACTGCACCCTCTCCCCTCCCCCCCACCGACAACGAGATGCAAACGCCGTGTGACTGACATCGTGATGTTGTAGGCAGTGCATCAACTAGGCCTGCCCTACTGTTGCTGAGCCCACGCAACTATTCCAGCGCCGAAGCGGACTGCAAGGCACTTGGGGAAGAGCTCTGGGGTGCCGGAGACAGCTCAACTGCCGCCGTCAAGAGCATCCAGCCCTTGCTGGACTACCTCGTGTACTTGAGCCAAGCCGGCCCGACCTCCCGCTTTTGGATCAGCGCCACCCAGGATGCTACCGGCAATAGCAGCTCTGCTGCGCCGGCCTCGTGGCGCACCGTCGACGCCAGCGGCAACATTGCCGCCTTTAATGGCAGCGAGGTCGTCGACAGGACCAACGTGACACTCTCAGCGCTGTGCACGCAGTCGGCACCCTATTCGAACCGCTCATCTGTGAACACCGACCCGGCGTGGACCGTCTCTGTTCGGGCCTCGGTCGACCGTCCTGACAATGGCGCCAACGGCGTCGCACAGGTCGTGGGCCTCCGTGATCACAACTCCTTCCGCTTCCTTGGCCTCCGCTATGCGCCCCAGCCAGTGCGGTTCACCTACTCCACGCCATACTGGAACCGCACCACCAGCGCCGCGTTCAACAGCACCTCAACCACAAACAACACTGTGCTGCCCATCGTCAACGCTACGAAGTCCGGTTCGGCGTGCGCGCAGGCGGGTGGCGTGGGTTCTGAGGACTGCTTGTACCTGAATGTGTTCACTCCCTACCTGCCGGCCCCTCAGCATGGATCCCTTTCGTCGCCGGCTGCGTCTGCATCCACACCGGGAGTAGCCCCAGCGTTGCGCCCCGTCATGTTCTGGATGCACGGTGGCGGTCTGACGGGCGGCACTGGCTCGGATCCGACCAACGATGGCGGCAACCTCGCCTCGCGCGGTGACGTCGTCGTTGTGACCATCAACTACCGCCTCTCGACGCTCGGTTACCTGGCTCTGGATAGCGAGCACGGTGGACTCAACGGCAACTACGGCCTCTCGGACCAGATCCTCGCACTCGACTGGGTCCGTGACAACATTGCAGCCTTTGGTGGCGATCCGGAACGCATCACCATCCTCGGCCAGTCCGCTGGGGCCGGCTCCGTGCGCGCCATGTTGGCCTCGCCGCTGGCCCTCGGCAAATTTGCGGCTGCGCTGCTCATGAGCAACCTGGGCGGTCTCAACTATGGCACTTCGTACTCCGAGTACTACACCATTGACAACGTCATGAACGCCTCGAGCAACGCCGTCCTCAAGGCCGCAAACTGCACAACCGGCGGGGCCAACAGCACCACAGCCAACTCCACAGCAGAGGCAATTGTCGATTGTCTGCGCGCCATACCTGCGAAAAAGCTCGTTGGCCTCAGGGCGGTCGCGCGCTTCATTGTCGTTGACGGCACGTATATCCTGTCGGACCAACTGCAGCTCGGCTCAGTCAACACGACCGACAACAACACAACGGCGCCGTACAAGCTCATGATGGGCACCATGCGCGACGACGGCGCCCCTTTTATTGACTTTCCTTCCCAGCAGGCGTCCCTCGCCGATGCCACGAGCGCTGAATCGACGTACCTATCGTCCCAAGGCTACAAGAACATCTCATCCGACCTGTTCCCCATTCCCACGACCAATGTCAACGCCACGCTCGACCTGTATAACATGAGCTCGCGTCTGTCGACCGACGCCGTTTTCCGCTGCGTCGACGAGGCCACTGTCTATGCAGGTCTCCAGAGCGGCATCTTTGACGCAGCCTACTACTACGAGTTTGACCGCTCGTACCAGACCACAGGTTGGCCGGGCACCAACGTCTGCGCACCCGACGCCACCGATGCCCGCCCATTCGGTGATCCCAGCCTGCCGTACTTTCGCTGCCACTCGGGCGAGCTGTACTATGTATTTGGAAACGTTGCGCGCATGGGCCTGCCCTTCCGCGACGACGGCGACCAGCCCTTTTCGCAGTACGTCCTCGATAGCTTTGCCGCCTTCGCCCGCACCTACTCGCCCAATCCGGACGCCGACTTTCTCACGGCCCGCGGCTTCACCAACACGACCGCCATGGTCAAGGCAAGCGGTGCCTGGACCGCCTCGACCCTGGCCAAGGGCGTGTCGGTGCGTCTGCTCGATTGGCCCGCCAGCAGCCAGGCCAAGTTCCGCGAACAGCCGCAGTGCGAGTCGCTGGGTCTTGGTCTGGATTACTACCTATGATGATGATATGATAATGACGGGCAAACGGTCTCGCTCTTTGTACGGGCGAGTTGGAGTTGATTTTTCTGTACTTATAGTTCACACAAGGATTCACAATCGGAGACAAGATATTACAAACCGAAGCGAATCAACGTAAAAGACGGTTGCTATATTTTGAAGTGAGAAGAAGTTGTCTCATCGACACGAGTCACCGTCTCTTGAGGAAGGAGCGAATATGTAGAGGGGTCCTTCCCTCCCTACAAGCAAAACCATTGAAGAGTTTCTTCAGTCGTTCATTTTATGCTCCTTCCGTTAATGTGAATGGTTTCGTCTGGCTGTCTCGTTCCTTCCCTCTGGGGTTATTCCCTCTTTGCGCTCCCTTTTTGTCTTCCTTGTCTTTCTCGTCTTCCCCATCTTTTGCGTCTGTCTGGTTTTCATCTCTTCTCAAGCCCGGCTGTCTGGACATTCACCGTCATCCACCGCCGTTTACATCCGATCGTCGCGGATTTTTGGGCAATACCTGCCATGGACGAGTACAGGATAGGCCGACTCTGTTTGTCCTTGCAGAGCGACATGGAAAGATTTGGCGAGTCTTACACATTGGACTATCGTCCGCCACCACCCACGAGTCCGCCGTATTCCACGCAATAACTGCCTCCCAGATGCTACCGTTGCGAAAGACTGGCTCGACGGCCCCAGCCGTTGTGAGACCACTTGGGAGAGACATGATCTGGAAAAAGGGTTGTTCTTTTCCGGTTTGTTCACAACGAATATGCACAGGCGGCGGAACAGAGGCAAGTTGGCTGCAGAAGATGGTCTGGCAGCGAAACCTTGCTAACCGAGATGGCTTTGTTCTAGGTATCGAGACATTGTGGGGGAACACAAGGAACACGAAGATCCACCACATACCCGTGGGACTCGTCGGCTCGTTTCCCACTGGTCTACTGCACAGGGTACTGTGAAACGGGTCTGCTTTGTTCTGGGAAACCAAAGCCAACACACAAGGAAATGCATGACGGTGCTTGAATACGCGGATAAGCGTGTCTTATCCCATCTTGCCTTTCGCATCTGCCATGATACTGCTGTCGTCTGTCGCTCCTGGCAAATCGCCTGCCAAGGGAGATTCTCAAAAGCTGATAGCGAAACGAAACGCCATTCGCTTCGTCGCTGCCCACATACAATGTATTTTAGCCCAAGACGGCAGCTTACCAACCCGTTCCCTCATTCTCGCAGTGTGCCAATCTTGGTGGAGGGCGCCGCCCGTTGGAATCTCGCATTGCATCCACCCCTGTCGAGCTGAAATGAAACTTTGCACGATGCAGCCAGACTTATGTGCAGCTTCTCATTTCCCCCCACACGGCGAGGGGAATTTTGTCAACCGTTTTTTTCGAGGTCTGCCCTTCGCCGAGACCACATCGCTTTGACTTTTGGAACCATGGGCTGAACATACTGGGGTCCAGGTACAAATTCTGTTTTGTTAGGTCTCCATCACTAGAACTCGCAGTTCTCAGACCCTTGCTTACTGACATCAAAAGTGGTTCAATATGAGATCGAGTTCCTGTGTCTACGCACATCTCGCTGTGCAGGTGGTGAAAGAGAAGACTTTCCGCAAGAAGGGGCTCTCATCGTGTGGAGCCATTGCCTAGTCCCTCTTGTCCTTCTTTCTGCGGCTCGACATACGAAATACTGTAAGATACAACATGCAGGCCTGGGCAGCACACCATGAGCTTTCGGGAGACGAAGCCGGTCCTGACGTTGCGTTCAGTGAGACGAGATGTGTCGCTAGCCCGGATCTAGCCTCCATCCTCTCCACCTTTCTGCAACGGCTATGCCACGCCATCGTCTTTCGAATCATCGCGTCGGCGGACACTCGCCCCTCGTTACGCCGCAGGAACAGTGGAGAGTGCCAATGAGCGTTCCTTGAGGGGCATCGAGCACCGCTAAAGGCAACCTAGCGAAATGCACTGCAGATAATCCATTGCTCTGATTTCCACGACGAGAACTCCTGCTGTACCCACTCGTCTGCACTTCGGACCATGCACATCATCGACGAATGGCAATTGAAAGTGATTCCCAAGTGCAAGCAACGGATGAAGCTAGAATCATGGAGAATATTTTCGAGAGAACGGAGTAAAGAGGACATAAAACAACAACAGCCAAACCACATCGCAGACTGGTTTCATCATGCAGGCCAATATGGTATCCAAGATGCAGTCGACCAGCCGACACTAAAAAGTGCTTTCGAGGAAAAATGCCTAATTGGCCATACAGGGTGGGGGGACAAGAACAGGAGCGTGCATGTGGTAGTGGAAGTTGGGCAACACGACTCCTCCGTATATGCACGGGCCATGGCGACATGGCAGTCTGACATTGGCGTGGAAAGCGCATTTGAACCGGAATCAGTGCGTTGATCGTCTTGTTGATTGCAGTAGGTAAGTTGGTGCCAATATCTTGCCAGCGGCCAACAGCAAATTGCAGACATTGATTATCAACCAGTGTGCACTAGCCGACTCTGAATGGCAGTCGAGTGTTACACCGCCAAACGGGCATTGGACACGAGCAAAAGAAACGCAGCGAATGTTAACAGCAACATGTTTCAACAACTTGTTGTGTGAGCTTCTCGAAAACATCTCGACGCTTGTTCGACATGTCGATAGATTTGACATTCAGGCAATTCGAACCAGCATTCTTGTCCCACCTCCCTTATTTCCCCCGGTTACGACGTATTACACTTTACGGTGCGCTTTGCAAGTTTGTTCTGCAATACCCTAGCTTGCACATAGGCACAAGTAGCTAGCAATGTGGCTCCGAGACACGCGGTGCCCCGATTCGTGTCTGCCACTAGCTTGTGCCATCATCCGTGAGGCAGGGATCCCCAACATCGCAGAAGAGCTCTTTGCTGACGAAAACATATGATAATCAAGAAATCGCCAGACACATCAGTCCCTACCAGTGTCGCAATTTCCACTCCCATCTCGGTTCTCTGAAATAGCGAATAGCCACTGGTTGTCCGCCCCTGCCTCTGATCGACACGATTGACGGGTGGCTTCCGTTAATCCATGGCAAATAATACTCCATACAAAATGAGATCGGTGTAGCACGCCGTCAAGTAATCGCCACACCAACATCCGCCATTCCCTAGTCCAAAAAGCCTCCCACAAAGAGCCAAAGTCTAACAAGATGCGCCAGCCTGTACGTCGTTTGTCGTATGTGGTACGAGACAGTCAAGAGTCGCTGCATAGGAAAACTCTGCCTTTCATGCTGGGTAGCTATCGTTCACCGTGCAATCACTGCGTCGCACATCCTTGTCACTGGCGACCACATCTTTCCCCAACAAGTCCGTGTGGTTGCATCCCCTCCCCGGCACGCCCACTGTTGTGTGCTGCGAAAACGACGGAAATTGTTCGCCAAATGCCCAAGTCCATGGATGGCGTAAGGGACTGAGCACAAGCGCTGCAATGAGACCACTGCACCGTAGTTGTGAGCTTCTGTGTGCTTTCGCCATCGACGGAAACCAGAGACCATTGCTTTCGCACTCTTTTGGACTAAATTCTACTTTGGGCTACTTGCGCTTGTCGTTTTGTTCTCTTGTCTTCCTTCTTCCTTCTTTTTTTTGTGTCATCTGGCTCTCTTTTCTTTTTTGCAAAACAAAAAAATAACACCAAACTTCCCTCTCGGTATTTGCTACGCCTTGCCATCGCTATCGACTGGAGTTTTGCAGCAAGGGAGACATGGAGCGGCGACCTGATTAGATCACCAATGCAGACTGCTTCCCTTCACAAACTCACGACGACGCACATGTGTTTCCGCTGCCCACTTCTCGATCTTCGCCTTACGCCCTGTTATCTCACACATTTCTCCCACTTTGATTCGCCAAAGGTCCTAGGCCACGTCCCGCAGAAATCGCTTGAAGGGATTGCTCTCCGCAATTGGACACCAGCTCATTGATGGAGACACACTGGACAACTGCCGACGACAACAACGCCGTCGCAATCAGCACTGCCACAAGCTCCGCGATGGACTCCCATCCGTATGACGCATCGGTCATGATGGCATCTGGCGCACCTCTGATGAACGGACTGCTGACCAGTGTACCACCTGGTGCTCCTGGCACGCTCAGCGTCCCAGGCGGTCTCACGCAGCCGCATCATCTTCCAAACCAGCCACCGCAACAACATCAACAACACCAACAGCACCAGTCGCTCTCTCAACCTCTCCCGGTGTCGCAAGGGCACCAGATGCAATCCCATCCGGCCCAGCCTCTCCATTCGCAGCCGCTTCAAGCGCAGGCCCTTCAGGCGCCACCGCCCATCCAGACACAGACGCTTTCGGCGCAACCGTTCCAGCAGCAAGCGTTCCAGAGCCAGCAGCAACCTCCGCCACCGCCGACATCCTTGGCCAGTTCCGGGACTACCACCAATACGACAACGCTGACACTCTCCGCCTACGACGATGGCAACGCCAATGCTTCTAACACGAGCCCGAGCGACACGTCGCAGAACACGAGCCAGGAGAACCGCTCGCCCATCGGGCAGCCTTTCACAGCCGTGCCGACAGCCTGTTTAGGATGCGTAAGTTGTTCTACAAAAAAGGAAGATGCAAAGGAGATAGGGACGATGAAACAAGGGCCAACGTTTTTCGCCAGCTAACATTCAATTCTGTACTGTAGCGCAGCAAGCACCTGAAGTGCGACGGACAGGTCCCTTGCTCCCGCTGCAAGATGGCCGAGATGGAGTGTGTCTACATTGCCTCGCGCCGAGGCTACAAAGGGCCACGGAAGTCCAACAAGCGGATGAGGTCGTCATCGCCGCCACCGGGCTCACTGCTGGGTACAAGCATGGCTTCGTCTGCCCCGGACAGCTGCCCCATGCTTCTCGGTGCAGCACCACACACAGCCGCACCCCAGGACTTGGCCACTGTGTCAGCCGCATTTGCACAATCCACTGGAATCGGACCTGCCACGTCAGGATACACCACCGCCAATGCCATCGGTACGCTCCCCCCCGGCACAGTCACGTATTCCGGGACGGTAGCCGGAACATCTGCATCTCTGTCTTCTACGCCGGCAGGGTCTGTGTCCCAACAGCTGAGTCTTTACGGGAACGGATACGGCGCCAACGGCAACGTGGTCCTTACCGGAGGTCACTTGGCACCTGTCGCGCCAATTGAGGACCGCTGCTTCGACGCCTTTTACCACTACTTTTACGGCGGCCACCCGTTTGCGCTGCCCAAGGATGTTATGTTATCGCTTGCCAGGGACAGCTCGTCCAACATCGGCCACCTCATCGCCGCCATGCGGTACATCGGCTCCCTGTACATCAACGCCGGTCCGGCGCGGGCCATGTTCTTTGACGAAGCCAAGCAATTAATCTACCTTCCGTCGTGTCCCAAGGACGGCTTCTTGGTGCAGGCGATGATCATGTTGGTGGTCGGGCTGGATGGTAGCTGCGAACAGGAGCAGGCGCGTGAGATCCTCAGCGACGTCGAGCGGATTGCGCTGGACATTGGCCTGCATGAGCGTGGATTTGCCGTGGCCAACGGACGCGGCAACCCCATTTTCGAAGAGAGCTGGCGGCGCACGTGGTGGGATCTTTTTGTCGTCGACGGCATGGTGGCCGGTGTGCATCGGGTGACCAATTTCGCGCTGTTTGACGTTCCCGCGCAAGTCGCGCTTCCGTGCGAGGAACAGCAGTACCTGTCTGGCAACATTCCGACGCCACTGGCCTACATTGAAGACTTTGATGATCGCTTGTTCAGCGGCGAAGACCGCGAGTTCTCGTCGTTTACGTACCGCATTGCTGCGGCGCGGATCCTCGGTCGCATGATGCGGTGCCCGCCGATCCTGTTCCCTATGGACGAGAATCTCGAGAAGATCGAGGCGATGCTGTCCAACTGGCGGATGCACCTGCCTGCCAGCAAGCGGGACGACCTCAACAAGCACTGTCAACTGGACGAGATGATGTTCCAGGCCCACTTCATCACCCATGCGTAAGTTGGATGGATTTTTGCTTCTGCTTCTGCTTCTGATTCCCTCGTCGTCGTATTGTGCACATTGCTGATCTGACGTGTTGCTTTTCCCAGTTGCTCAATCATGTTGCACCAGCCGCATTCGCAGCTGGACTCGTCGCCCACGCGCAGCGTTACGTCGTGCGCACCGCACAGCCACGTGCCCAGCGGCGATGCCTTCAACACGCACACGCGCCACACCATCACGGCTGCCTGTGAGATTAGCAAGATGGTTACGCAGGCCGTACCGCTGCTGTCGCACACGCATTTCTTTACGTGTGTCATCACGTTGTCGTCGATTGTCCACCTCAGCAAGTGGGCGCTGTACTACATCCAGGACGAGGAGGACCTGCGGGACCAAATCCGTCTGAACATTGGCGCGCTTAACAAGCTCAGCGACGTCTGGAAGGCGGCGAATACGGCAAGTGGGCAGGTCAAGGGTGTTGCTCAGGAGATCTACCGAGCCAAGAAGGCGCAGCAGATCAACCCGGCCTTCTGGGTCGGTTTCACGCAGGAGGAGATGATCAACAGCCTCAACACCGACGAAGGCATCATGAGCGAGTTTGAGACGCTGCTGCCCGTGGCAACGCAATGAGTGGAGCGAGATGGAGATGGGTTCGGTTGGGCTTAACGTTTGCTTTCGGCGTGCGCCGTATTATGTGTCATCATATCTGGGATATGATTCGGAGCGTTTCGTGCGTCGATGTATGTCGATTTCTTGTTCTCGTCGTTACATTTTTCTGCGCTGAGGGCTTCTTGACCCACTTCATGGAGTACCGGGTACACTCTCCTTTACATGTATCACATGTCGTTTTGGGACATCCATATAAAATGAAGTGAACCGACTTCTGCGTCTGTGTGCTGTCTCATCGGGTCGCGAAAAAGAAGAGAGGATTGCCGGGTTGGGCCTTTCCGTCGTGTATATGACACCCTCCTGTCAGTCTGGCGTGTGAAGATGGAAGGACAGCTGGATATATATACTCCGTTCGTGTGCGTGGAGAAACTGTTGTGGTGGGCGAAGAGGAGAGTATCGGCAGGCAATTTACACAAAGCTGCACCGGACTAATCCCGATCTGCCCTCCCCCTGTCTCCAATGCGAAGTTACGAAGCAATACAGAGAACACGCATAAGGACATGTGCTAGGTGCTGTACCTACGAAGTATACGAAGTACAAAGCCGGCCCGTTTGAAGTATCTGCTGCGCAGCATCGGGCTTCCTCTGCTCCTTGCTTTGCAGAACCGGCCAAAATGGTATCATTCTAGCGCCATACAGGGGCTGCTAATGCTGGTTTCTTCTTTTGATAAGAGGCAATTAACGATACAAATGGTGCATAAACGACGACAAAAACCATGCGATGCCGGAATCTCGCTGGCGTTTTTGCTTTTGCCGAGTTGTGCGGAGTAAGACGTTCGTATTGGGGCCCTCACAAGTCAATGTTCGGCGACCTCCCAACTCAGGTGCATGAGGTGGACTGTGGAGTTCCTTGGATAATAGGTTTTGAATTTCGGGCTCCATTCTTTTTAGGGCCCTGAACCGTTACGTCGAAACAAACCCTCGAATCGCACCAGGGAGCATAGAGCATACTCTTACATATTTCCCTACCCTAGCTGCATCAAACGTCGGCGACCATGCAATCATCCATTGTTGGGACGTTTCATCCTGTCTGCAGCAGACTCCATCGGAAAATATCCGCCTTTACAAACGGCCCTTTGCAAACCACCAGTGCAATACCCCGGAGAACTGAATGGACGGCGAACGGGGCATCGGGGATCTGACATGCGCATATGCACTGCCGTATGTCTTGCAAATCTACGCGATGAAATGCACCTTCTAGCTTGCAAGACGGCAAACAAATGGTAAAGCAATGGCATGGTAAATTACCTAGTCTGTACTAGACTGTAAACTGTCCATAGTTTGCAACTGCCCTGAACACCACTCAGCCCTTGCATTTTGTCACGTCCCTCCTCTCAAAACACCTTGTACTTCTTCAAGAAGTTGTCAATTGCCTCGGCGGCGACCGGCTCATTCGTCTCAAGAGCAAAGTGGCCCGTCTTGAGCCACTGCAGCTCGAACCGCTTCACGTCGCGGCGAAACGCCTCGGCACCTGGCGCAATGAAGCACGGGTCGTTCTGGCCCCAGAGCGCTAACACGGGCGTATCCGCCACCCGCAGCAATTCCTGGATCTTCGGATACAAGGCCACGTTGGTCTGGTAGTCGTAGAACAGGTCCAGCTGGTGGTCCTTGATGCCCGGCCGCTCCAGCAGCGCCTGGTCGAGGTGGTACGTCTCGGGCGGCACGTCGCGGCCGCCGTTGGGCGCGCCCTCGACGTACTGGAAGCGCGTAAACGGCAGCGCGAGCGCAGCCTCGCCGAGGGCGGCGCGCGTCGCAGGGTCCGCGTCCTTGGTCGGGCCGGACTGCCAGTAGGCCTTGATCGGCGCCCAGAAGTCACTGCCCAACCCTTCGGTGTAGGCGTTGCCGTTCTGCGTGATGACGGCGCCAATGGCCTTTTTCCGGCCCGCGGCCTTCTCGTTCAGCGCGAAGCGGAACAGCGTCGGCGCGCCGTAGTCAAATATGTAGGCGGCAAACTGGCGATTGTCGGCCGCCAGCTGCAGCGCCTCGACAAACGCGCCAAACGTGGTGGCCAGGCTCGCAAACGTGTACTCGTAGTTGCGCGCGGCCGGCACCTCGGTGAAGCCAAAGGACGGCAGGTCGGGGGCGATGACGCGGTAGCCGCGCTGGGCAAGCAGCGGGATCAGGTGGCGGAACATGAAGGACGACGAGGGAAAGCCGTGGAGCAGCACAATGGTCGGTGCATCCTGGCCGGCCGCCACGTCGTCTGCGGCCACGCCCGCCGGGTTGGCAAAGCGGTAGAAGACCTTGACGCCGTCGGCCTCAACAAACGCCTGGTGGGTGGAGGGGATGGACATGGTGGATATGGTGGGCGTGGATAGCAATTGGATGGTTCCAATGGGGCGGGGCGTGCTGTTTTTGTGTGCTCTGAAAGCCAATGTAGGAGCGGGTGATGGATGGAGATGGAGACGGATGTCCAACAGAGAGTGCTTCGTCGAGAGAGGGCGTCGTTACCTTTATACTTTTGCACTTGAGAGCTTCACCTGGTCACACCAGGCATCGCCTCTGGTTCATGCCGTCATCTGCTTTGTAACAACAGATGGCAACGGAACCGCCTCCTCACACACTATGCCTCTTCTGTGTGGATTGATTTGGCATCGTTGGCCGTGACGTCGGATGGAGAGAAGCAAGGACAAACCAAAGGACGTCGGTTTGGTGGAACGCAATAGGGAAATAGGGAGGCCCTTGCAGCGTTTGGTCATATTAGCAAGTACGAAGAGGATATGTTGTGCGCGGGAAGGTGCGCGATGCGATGTGTTGCGGCTCGACCAAACTTTCCTAATTGGGTAAGGGCTAGCCATTTAGCGGGTTTCCACCAACGACTCGCCGATTCACCTGATTCTCAGCTAATTTTCCTCCTCATATTCCTTAATAATCCACGATTGAATAATCCACGATTGCCTGGACACACATGCTGCACTCTCCGTATATGTCTGCGATGGCCGGACAACACAAGATATGATCAAATTTGCGTTCATGCCTCGGGCAGATGCCGAAATACCAGATGTGGTGTGCCGTTGACAAAGACACGAACAAGGCGTTGATCTCGCCGGATAGATGAATGGGTATTTGCATTTGCTATCTTACATTATGTGTACACCATGTGCGGCCGAGCTGGCAAGAGGCGGCGGAACAGGATGTAACAGATTTGACGACCGTCCAGTGCCTGTTGGTGGCTGCATGTCCTCCATCTCCTGCCCTGCGAGTTGCAGCCGATGTTTGTTCCTTGTCCGCTTGTGACGCTTTTCTGTTGGTCCTCGCCTGGTCCCGTTTCGGTCGCCTCCTTATGATACAACGCACAGAACCTGGCCGCCGACCTTTTTTTCGAGCGCCTCGCGCACCTCCAGGATGCCCCGGTCTGTGCTCACAAACAAACACTCGCCCAACGAGAGGCCCTTGACCATGCCCTTGGGGAACCCGCGCGTCACCGTTTCCAGGTCCTCCAGCGACATCCACACCAGCCGCGATGGCTTTGAGTACAGCTTGAGCTTCTGCAGCACCGGCTCGTTGTTCCAGTACTTGAGCCCCAGCCACAGCCGCCGCGACGCAACGTTGGCCGACGTCACCACCTCTTCCACGTGTGTGCCGGTCAGGATCGCGGCCGGGTCTGGCGGCGTGGGCCCTGCGCGTGTGACGGACGACAGGAATCCTGCGCGGTGCAGTGCCAGCACGAACCGCAGGTTGTACTTGTTGTTGGCAATGGACGTCAGGCCGAGCCGGGCGCGGGACGCGTTCTGCAGATGCGAGCAGGTGTGGGCGATGTGGAGGATACCCATTGTGGCGGTGGGATATGAACGTTGTACGGGAGAAAAGGTGTCGACCAGCAGTGGTCAGGGCGCCGTAGCTGTCGTCGCTGCCGGCGTTTTCGTCGTCGATCGGATCAACTGATTCAATGATCACGAGACAATCTGCCGCGGTTAGTGAGGGCCAGACGATGGGTGGAGGGCGGTCGCATGCGTACAGTAGAGTAAGCGGCCAGTTCACTCGTCGTGGCGCGGGGCGTGGTGTGCGCCGGGTCGTGTCGTGTCGTCGTTTCGTCGTGCCGTCGTGGGTTGACCGTCAACGGAATATTCCACACATCAGGACTTTTTGCTGCTATGAAGTTTTTGACCTGGAACTGTCCGACTAGCAATTAAGCGGGTCCATCACCTGATTGGCCAGTATTTGGTAAGCACGCTTAAAGTGGGTCGTTCTTTTTAGCTCGCTCTTCCCGCCAAACGATCGGCCAGGCACAGAACCGCAATGTGATCAGAATGGCGTCAGGTACGAACTCTGAATCCGGCGTCACGATCGAAATGTTCTCATCTTGCCTTTTTACTTTCTTTCAATTTTTTGCATACTATTTTTTTTTTGTATTTGACGATCTGGAGGAACTTGCGCTTTAACGTTCTTTCGGCCGTCACGTCTTGCAATACAATGGAGATTTGCGAACGAGGTCATGTCTTTGTCGAGACAACCCAGGATCCCATATTCTACTTCTCCCCGCGACCTGTTATGTCATTATCGATTTCGATTCCGATTCCTGCAAGCCGGAGGGTGAGAAGCTGGGTCCCAAAGGAGGAAGTGATGGATGGGCATTCGAGGGAGACTATGCAAGGCGGGTGAACGATTTGTATAGCATCGAGCAGATACGACACATACTGCTAGGTAGGTGATGAACAGATATGGCTAAGCGTTCGTGTCGCGTATGACGGAGCGTTGAAAGAGGATACTTTATGTATAAACATCAAAGATTGTGTAGTATTCACTACTGTATAGAGATTGGTTCATACACCTTGTCGATTGGATGCCTAGCTTTGTTGTGGATGCCATATATAGGGCACATTCTCGTATTTCTCAGTATGAACGTCGACAATGAACAGCGCGTTGCATCTTAGGAAGAGCCCAGGCCAGATGTCGTACAATTCATTCCTTAACACTCCTTCGTCGATGGAGCTCCGCCCCAGCAGGAGCTCCTACCTTTGATCTTCACTCGGACTTCATACCCACTTTTCCCCTCAAGCACTGCTCACCATTGGCCCGTCCCGTGTCTTGTAAGCGCCGAGTTGCCCATTCGGGACAGGACTGCACTCAATTGTCACTGGCCGCCCTGACAGTCCAGCAAATCACATCTCATCACAGCGTTGAAAAGCAGGTGACGGCTGTTCCCAGTGTTGGCCATTCCATGGTGTGATCGGCAGCGTTGTAAACAGCCCAAGGTGGCCTGCGCCAAGTGCCGCGCCAGATTTGCTGTTGGCTGTGACGTGAGTTCACGGTCGTTTCTCCTTAGTCGGCCGTTGGCAAGCGAACTGTACAGAAGTATGCACTGCGGTTATCTCGTCTGTGGGCCGCGACCAGGGGTGGTACAAGAACGGAAGAGAAGGAAGAGGAGACACAGAGATTGGAGGAAGAGGGGAACAGGTCCCGTCATATCGTCACACTTTTTTTTGTTCTTCCGTCTCGCCGCTCTCTTCTTCCTCTCCTTTAAACCTTCCTTTGTCTGCTCATTCTTCTTCCACCAATTACCCTTCTATATACCTCATTTCCTGTCTGCTTTCGCCCTCGCCCACGACCGCAACAATGGCGACGCGACCGGGTGAAGAGAACGTCGCGACGCTGTAAGTTTCTCCCATTTCCCTTCCCGCTCCTCATCCGCCCCCCGCTCTTAACCCGCTCGAAGGTCGCTCACGCATGCAGCTTTGGAGACATACACTACTTTTACGGCCCCGAGACCGACGACCCGCCGCACCACCGCTTTAACAAGGGCTCGTACGTCTATCTCTTTGAGAACGCGCAGGAGGGCCGCGCGCGCATCGAGATTGCCAACCACCCAGGCACTGAGCGACAGGATGCGTTTGACGGCTTCCTCGACGCCACCGCCGTCACCTACTCGTACAAACACAGCTGCATGGTGTCACTCGTCGTCATCGCTGCACCGCCCAACCAAGACGAGTGGCACCTGCCCACGTACGACCCCTCCAACCAGAACATCTACCACTACCAACTGCACGCCGTGGACATTTACTTTTGGACGCACCTCGACGCTCTCAAATTTGTCAATGGCGTTCGCCGGCTGCTGCCGACAAACCAAGTCGACATTCGGGACGAGCCGGCCGTCCCGGCGCCCCCACCCCCGCCGCAGCCGAAGCACTACCCAGCGCCGACGAGCGACACCAACGGCAACAACAGTGCCGGCCCCGTCAGTGGACCGGGCGGCAACAATGGCCTTGCCCATGTCGTGCAGAAGCTCGAGACCGTAGCCATTAATGGTGGCCCCGCAGGTAGTACACCCGCCCCACGGAGCGGGCCGGTCCCGGCTGCCGAGCTCTCGTTTGCGGGACCGCCCACATCTGCTGCGTCGGACGAAAGAGGAGGCTCAACATCGCCTCCGCAGCGGCAGCAGCAGCAGCCGGCGCCCGCTGCCTTTGCCTACAATCCGGCGGCACCCGCCGCCCCAGAGACCATTCGGCCACGCGAGAAGACGCCGCCGCCTGATGACGTCGTGGCCCAAAACCCCCTGCAGCAGAGACTCTACCAAGACGCCGCCACGCCGTTTAGCCCTGGCCTGGTAGTTCCCGCTGGCCTGGGTCCTCTGAGCCCCGGAATCCCCCCGCCGTCGCTGCACGCGTCGCCTGGTGCGCCGTCATTCCCTGCCCCGCCTGCCTACACCAGCACAGCCCCTACGCCCGCAGGCGTTCCACAGCAGCAGCAGCAGCCGCAGCAACAGCAGGCACAGCATCCCGGTCTCGTGCGCGCGGCCACTCTGCCAGTCACCTCGCCCTCGCCCTTCAACCCGGCCGCCAGCTTCCCTGCCTTTTCACCGCCGCCCACGACGGCTACCGCTCCACCGCCCTCGACCACCACTGCTGGTGTGGGTGGTGGTGCTGCCAGTGCAGGCACCCCGGCGGCTCTCTACCAGGCACCGTCCGAGGCCGGTTTCAGCAACTACAATTACGGCAAGGCGGGTGGTAGCGCCGCCGGCACAACCGACTTTTCCATTCACCAACAAATGTACCGGCCGACGCACGGCGAGGCCGTGTCGCATACGCCCAAACAGGATCCACGGGGCAAGCTGGAGGAGACGGCGGGCCGGATAGAAAAGGGCATGACGGGGATGCTCAAGAAGTTTGAGAAGCGGTTTGGGTGAGGTGAGGTGAGCCGGTGGGGAAACGTGAATGTTGTGTTTGGTTGGCCATTATGTTAGTGTCTTGGTTCTTTCCGTGTTTTGTACGTTTCTGTCGCTGTGATCTTTATTTTGAGACTGGAAGCAAAGACGCAAGAGTTCAAGCATGCATTCGGACCCATACAGATGACGTGTCGAGGTCTGTGAGACGAAATCGTCTAACCGGGGAGTTCTCACAGTTTTGCTTTTTGTCTTCTTTGGAGGTCCTCTCACAAAAAGCGTTTGGGGTACATCTTTCAGTTCTCTCTACAGCGAGGTAACGGTGGCAACAAAGTATGCCTCTGAATCTCGAGGAACATCGCAGCCCGACAGCCAGATTTGCCTAGCTCACTCTTTTCTGTTTTCTGGCCGCCATCATTGGTTGCATTCGGTATGGCTCTGGCTCCTAGTGCTGACCGGTTGGTAACTGCTCAAAGTCCGTAATCCTGCCAGCATTGCGCGCAGAGTCGCAGAGACGTTGCCAGTCTGCGCAGGTCTGACGAAAAGTTCCACCGCTGACGGCTGGTTGACCGTGAGACGCCCTTGCCCCAGTGCTCGTTTCCTTTTTCGTCCTTCTCCTCGCCAATTTACTTCTTGTTGTCTTATCGAGTTTGGCTGCCAGTCTCGCCTGGCTGCCGCTCAGATCTGCACCGTCATACGAATTACTGCGTGTGCTCTCGTAATAAGGCGCAGACACGAATATCGCCCCCTGCGACCCCAGGCTGAGTTAAGACCGGTGCCGCGAAAGATCGTTTGCCATGTATCAGAGACTCAGGAGAAGTACACGGGAACAGAACTGCGTAGCAAAATCTCGAATTGTCAACTGTTGACCTCGCAAGCGTTTTCGCCGGTACTTTGATTTTACCGCTGCCACTCTGTAAAGATACTTGTCGCTCCTTCTGCAGGTTCACATACATCGTACATAAGGACAAAGCCCCCGCGCGTGGAAACTCTGCCGTACGTAGTTCGTTTCCTCCCCCATTGTCGCGGTCCTGTGGCGGTGGCTGCCAGAAAATCGCTGCACAGCCTTTGCCCAGCCCCATTGCTCTCTGCCTCCGTCAGTGGTTGCAACTTCACGGAGTAGTTACCAGTTTAGTGGTCACGTCACAATTACAGTACAACATATGGAGCCTTTCGAGGCTGGCTGCCAGGGGTTGCTTTTTTGCGCTTTTTGCCGGCACTGGCAGAGCGCCACGGTGTAGCAATCAACAGCACTTTCGAGGCCGTTGTTTTCACCTTCGTCCCTTCCGTTTTCCTGACCGATGCTCTTCCTATACGACCTTTATTTGAGGACCTCGGAAGGCACGACTGTACCGCATGTATTGCCAAGCTGTCAGGCGCCCGAAACAATTAAATGCAGGTGTGACCTGCGACCAACAACCAACTGCAAAAGTCAAGCACCAGCTAATTACCGCGCTTGCCCTGGCCTGGCCCGCCCGACCGGCCACCGCTTGAATGGCCGCCCTACTGTAGCGCCAGCAATCAGAGACAATTGAAGCCGTTGAGGGAAGGAACGCCCGCCAACTCTCCACCGTTGAACACGCAATAATCGCCAATGAGATTCCCAAAGCGGCCTAGTTTACCGTAAAACAGCCCTAGTAGCTCCCGCCCTGCCCCAGTTCTTCCATCGTACATCGTAGCCTACTCTGGTGTACTTTGCGTCTGAACGGTCCTGGTCAATGGTCCATTTCGCGTGCTTTTTGTTTCCGTCGTTCGAGCATGTTACCAGCACGCGCCTACGCGCAGGGAAATGGTGAAAGTCGGCTGAGAAACGGACCTTTGCATCGTCAGAGACGTGGTGTTCTGTCTCCATTTGGCAGGAAGTCCCTGGTCTTCAGCCGCTCGCACTTGCCAGACTTGTTCTGCATCTCACCTCGACCCGTCACTCTTTCCAGCCCAGGCCCAGTTTGGTCCAGGCCGACGAGTAGGCCCCGCTGTACCTGCCTTCTCTGTCGCAACTCTCCTTCCTCCTGGCCCCCTGTCGGACAACACCCATTCCTTCCCTTCGTCGACTTCGTGTCTGGATCTCACCTGCCGTCGCTTTATTTTCCTCTTTCCTTCCGCCTGCGTTTTATGCCTTCCTCCTTTTGCTGTTTCCATCCCTCTCCCTTTCTCTCCAGCATCTTCGGTTTGTCGTTCGTGACAGCTCCCATCTCGGATTTCTTTCCCTCGCACACGCTCCGCACCACCACCTTTCCCGTCCCTCCTCCCAGCCCCTTCGTTTCGCCTCATCAATCCGGTTTGCGGTGCTGATCCTTACACCCCAGCAACCTGCTCTCGTTTGCCCACGCTGCACTCGCCGCTCGCTTCCGAGGAATTCCCAACGGCTCACTGCTGACGACGACAAACATCTCTCGAAAGATTCTTCTCACCCATTTTGTCTCGCTCTCGTCCAATTTACGTTCTTTTGCATCCTCGATTTCACTTGGCAGTTGTAGCGACATCGAATCGTCAATAGTAGCGTCACAGGAGAGCAACCAAACAGCAAAGTTTCAGGCGACCAAAGAGGGACGAAACAAGCGGATTTCAATCTTGACGCAACCCACAGCGACAGCACGAGGAACGAGACTGCGTTGTCGATTTCGACCACCTCGGCCTCGTTGCGCCATGCATTAACCGCTCTCGAGCGGCACCCAACACCGTTGTCGACTTTTACTTGTATCCTCTCTCGTGTCCCACGGATTCGACTTGTTCAATCAGTCCGACTGTCGTGACCAGCGTGTCCAACTCACCGCGCTGCCCCAACTTCCCAATTTTCTCCCACGATGCGCATACGACACGACGTTCGCGTTGGGGCAACGCTCCACTTTCGAGATGATTCAAATCATACCCCAAATCGCAAACCTGCGATTGTAAGTAGAAACGTTTTGGGGAGAGTTGTGGTGGCGGCGGCGGCGGCTCGAGAGCAACGCGAACAATTTCAAACGCTCGCAATACGTGATCTGTATCATTATAGTGGCTAACACAAAAGCTAGATCATTGCCGGCATTGTCGGTGCTTTGGTCGTCGCAGGCTTTTCCTGGCTTCTCTTTTCTCGGTGGCGCAAACGACGAACGGCAAAGTACTCGCGATCAGGGCGCGACGACAATGACCACAGCGAAGCAGCAGATGGCCCCGCGACCTCCGAAACGACAAATGCCGCCTCGGCGACTAGCAACAATGCCTCCACAGTTGACCGAAATACAAGTGTACGCTCTGTGATGACGTTGCCGCCGTACCGCCCGAAGCCGCTGGAGAACGAGTCGGTGCTCGGCCGCGAAGGCGAGCGGGACGGCATCGATGTCGTGATTGAGATGCCCACAATCGAGGATGAGGAGGTATTGCGGGAAAATGAGATGGACGCCCTGTACCAGATCCGCGTCGCCCGTCGACGCCAGATTGACGAACGCGAAGCTCGCCGGGTTGCCCGGCGCGAGGCTCGTGCACAAAACGACCAGGCCGCGCTGCAGGAGATCCGAGAGCAGGCGCGTGCGGCATCGTTGAACAACACGCAAGAGATTGAGAACCTGCGGGAGGACCACACGCGGGCAAAGGAGACCCGAGTGCGTGCCGTTAGTAGTGTCAGCTACGCCGACCTGGGTGTGGCCCGTCATGACGGTACACGCATTCGGGCGAACAGCTCGGAGAGCGAACGCGTTGGCTTGCTTAGTGACATGGCCAGTGTAGGCACCACGTCGGCCCAGTCCCCGTCTGCCGCGGCAGAGAACTTCCCTCGGGCCTCCATGCACGAGCGCGGCCGCAGCGGCAGCTCGCTGTTGACCCTTGTCACGACGCGCAGCAGCGATGAGCAACCATCCGCGCTGCACCTGCAGCAGACGCTGACAACAGGGACGACGCGGTCGAGAGCGAGCTCGACCGGCCCGCGTGACCGGGCAGGATCGAGCCCCGAGCTGATTGATGCGTCCGAAGCGGCCGGCCTTGCCGATGCAAACGACAGCAGTCAGCAACCCACCGGCGCGCCGCCACAGTCGCCACCGAGCTACGACGAGGTGTCGCTCAACGACCTGACGCCGGCGCAGTCCCGCGCCGAGAGCCCGTACCCAGAGCCGCCGCCCGACTACCCCGGTCCGGGTCCGGGTCCCACAGAGATGAGGAACCGGCGGGTGTCTGCACACGCGGCGGATCTGGCCGCCGAGTCGTCTGCAGCGGACCGTGGTCAGGCGTCGTCGACAGTGGTTCCGTCGCCCGAGAGCACGGCCCGCAGCAGCAGCCATGGCAGCGACGACAGCGCCAACCGCCGCGTGTCCCGCAACAGCAGCGTCCTCCCACAGCTGCCCAGCCTGCGCCTGCGGCAACTGCCGCAGATTGTCATCGAGCCATCGAGTGCGGCGCCACAAGAGCCGCATCCGTAATCTCGGAGACTGTTGTGGCATTCGACATGAATTCTCTGCTCTGTATCGTCTGCGACGGTTGTGACGGACGTGACAGACGTGACGGACGGGCCATGCGACTACGCGACATGATGATTGGGACAAATATACGGCAATGTACCAATGAAGTACATATTTCGGTATTCATTTAGATATTCTGCTTTGGAACGAGCGGTTCCTTGGGCTAGTATGGCGTTTTCCATTGGAGCATCTTGTTCTGGTTTGTTTCAAGTTTGTTGTCTTCTGTTTTATCCCCCCTTCCTTTATGCATTTGCGTCTATTGCTTCATACACATTCTGGCTCCCTCCCACCAAGCCTTGTACACGGCGTCAGGAGTCGATCGACAGAGAAATCGGTCCGTGGTCGTGCTCGTTATTCCCCCCTTTCTTTGTTGCACGACGGGAACGACAGAAAACCTTCCCACGATTAATACAACATCCATGAATATATCACCATCCTAAATAAACTCTCGGTGCAGATCCAGATACGTGACCATATAAAATTCAAAAGCCTGTTCATAGTGTCGAGGTCTTTAAGATATTTCATAAGCTTAGTGGAGACCGTCGAACGGATGCTGCGGGCAGGCCCGCACTGCCAGTTCAGAGAGTCCTGGCCAAGACTCCATGGATATTTTAGTGGGCAAGGTTAGGCGGGGTCAGGCTGCTGATGAGTGCGTTGGTGAGTTGCTTATGCGCTGTTGGCGGGGCGCTAACGAAAAATTACAAACGTCATAAAGACTTTGCAGGGACGAGAGTGTCGCGATACAGACTCTACGCCAACGCTCAACTGCACCCATTCCGTCTTTTACGTTGGCATTGTATGCTTCCTTTTCCTACGGAATCTTTCCCACAATGCATCAACGGCCTCTGGCGGACCCCAACAGCAAGGACGACCTCCTCGTGCCGGCCGACGTTTCCTTTGCGACAATGATGACGAACCGCACCGGTTCTCCTGCGGCCGATGTCAGCGCGTTTGTCGCACCGGATCCGGTGGACGCGGGTGCTGTCTACCACGGCGATGCTTTTGGCAGTGGTGAGAACCATGGCGCCAATGAAAGTGGAGGCCGTATCGAGACGACGGCGGAGGGTCGCAGTGCCGTCGAGTTTTTTGACGATGTCTTTGGCTCATCGCCAGACGATCACCATCGCGGGCCCCGACCACCGTCCGGTGCGGCCACCGCGTCGTTGCCGACCATTCCTGCGCCCATTGTGCCCACTGTCTACCAAGACAGCCACCGCCACCCATCCGACATGAACCGCCTCGAGCAGGAGCACAGCACGTCCGGCTACCGCGACGGCCTCAGCGCGGGCAAGAACGCCACGCTCCAAGCCGGCTTCGACGAGGGCTACTCGCTGGGTGCGGCGATCGGCGGCGTCGTAGGTGAGCTCCTGGGCCTGCTGGAAGCGTTGGTCGTGTCGGGTGGCGAGGACGACGAGGAGACAACATCCACCGCCTCCACAGCCCCCACAACCACAGAGGATGCAACTGGTGCACATGACACAGATCCTTTGCCGGTCCTCCTCGGCCGCGCCCGTCGTGACTTGACGGCGCCGTCCATCTTCTCGCCCTGCTACTTTGCAGCCGACGGCACGTGGATATACGATGTGGAGGCCAGTGAGCCTGCTGGGGCAGACACAGCCGAGGCCGGTGCGGCCGTCCACACGACCATCTTTGACGTTGCCAACGCGCATCCGCTCGTCAAGACGTGGCGCGGCATCGTGGACCGGCAGCTCGAGCGTCGGCGCATCCGCTGGGGCAAGGCCGGGGACGAGGCAGCCTTGGCCACGGCACTGGGCCTCAAGGACGAGGACGAGAGCCATGGCGGTGCTGGCGGTGCTGGCGGTGCTGGCGAGACGTCGGCGACCGACGCAGCGCCTACAGCCACACCACGGGCCCCGGCCAACGACGCCTCGGCCCTGGATTGGTGAAAGGCACCCTTGCGGATACAGAGACCTACAAATACAACGACTGCTGCGTCAGGCACAACGCTACGACGCGACGGGCCAGGCATGCTGCTGGACCTCTCAGACGAAGGCCCTTCTTCCTGCTCTGTCCTCCGAGACGAGCGGGCCGAGATGCACCGCCGGCCAGTCGTCATCACCCGCAGAGCCAGTCATTCCGTCATTCGGCTGCTGGTAACTGGCCTAGAGGGTTCGGCGAGGCCAGACAGCCCTCGAGGGCCATGCATTCCTCGGTTGGCCATCGTGGCAGGCTCTGTTTGTTCGGTGGTCTGATTTGCAGACACAATGCCACTGATGAACAAGAGGCAAAGGCGCGCACGCGACCTCGATGGCCCATCGTTGCGACCCGTCGACTCCGGACACGCTCGCATTTTAATGCCAGCTTGACGTTTGGGCCGAGGCTAGGGACAGATGCGCACACTCAGCCCACGGGCTTAGTCCAGTTCTCGCCGGCCTGGGAGGAGGACTGCGTTGAGATATTACAGCGTAGAATTGCTCTAGTCGCAACTAAGATTTAGTGTCTCGCACTTTCCTTTCGCAAAGCACGAGCTTCGCATGGCCCAACTGGTGCTTGGCAATTGGGGGTTCTGCAGGGGTAACAGCTCCACTGGGGCCTAGAACCATTTACGACGGCAGGTCCTAAGCTCTGTGTTTAGAGTTTTGAAGGGAAGGAACAAGGAAAGGGGAAGGACTAGGGGGAATGGAATAAAGGGAAAGAGGAAAGAGGGAAGAGGAACGAGGAAAGAGGAACAAGGAAAGAGGTAACGAGGAAAGATCAACAAGGGAAGAGAGCAACAAGGGAAAGAGCAACAAGGGAAAGTGCACGGCAAGGCTTATTGCACAATTCAGGAAATGCTTGTTTAACACAGCCGGCAAATGAAATCAGGCACCAATTGATTGGGCTTCCAGTAGGATATATGAAGGTACGCCATGTAACAAAAACACGACTCTTGTCCTTTCGACGACGTAAGATGCTCTGCCGCGTTTTGTGTTTTCTCCAAATTGTCTCGTTGCATACGCGCATTGACGTCATACGTACAACGGGCGAGGCAGGCGCAATCCATCAACCTTCCAAACCGTATAAAGGAGCAAGTGTCTCATTACAATGCAACTGGCAACCAATTGGGCAGGAAGGTGCATTCAAGACAATGCATTATTGACGCACGCGACGCTCGGAAAGAAGAAGCATTTCAGTCTGTTCTTGCCGTTTACAAAACGAAGCGAAGGAAGCAACGATCGAGCTTTAGCACACAAATCAGGCTACGTCGCAGACAAGTCTAGACCAAGGAAGCTCCGCACCTTCCGCCACACAACTAAAAACATCGAGCCTGATATCGCCTAGTGCTTCGCGGTTTCGGCAGGTGCAGGTGCAACTCAACCTTTGCGGGCCTCTTGGTCTGTCCACTACTTTCCTTACTTTTCCTCCTCTGCGATGTTCTCCATTTCTCCCCTGTCACGTCGCCCATTTCTTCCATTTGCCTTTTCGCTTTGCAGAATCTCATCAGCGCCACCACACATTTAGTTGATTAGTCCACTTCTTCCGCACTGGCGCTCGTCATCAGCTGCCGAGGGAACAGCACTTGGAGTGGCCGTAACGCTCGAAAAACCTGGCAAGCCGAAAAAAGAGGAAAAAAGATAACGAAAACGAAACGAAACGAAAACGAAAGCAATCCACTCAAAACGCTCGCTCCAACACAAACATTTGAGACACCTTCATTCCAGTCCTCCCCTCAACCACCACCAGGACCAGACTGCCAAACTCCAGAATCCCCAGCTCCCCGGCTGCGGTGGCAAAGTCTTAGCTCTACTTGATCGGCGGTTCGAAAAGTACTCGCAAAGCGCCAAGACACAAAGGAGCAAGAAGAGAGAAGAGGGCCGATGGGAACGATCCTCCCATTCCCGGCACCATTTTCTTCGTTTAGACAATGGCCGATCTGTACAAGAACGGCGGCGTCGCGCGGGGGCAAGCTGATGGCTCACGTCCACTAAGCGGCCACATCCCAAATACCTCGCCAGATAAATCAGCGGCGGCAGAAGCAGGAGCAACAACAACGACAAAACGAGGAAACACAGACACAGAAACATTGTCACGACCTTCGCTGGCACCCATTGACCAACGACGGCCTCACTCGCTGCTCCCGCCGGACCAGCGTCGCCTACACCGTCCGAGCCACGAACGTCTCTTCAGCAAGATGCACGAGGACGACTCCCTTCACTATGATCCTGTCAACCGCGAAGGCCGTTCGGCCAGCGTCGTGCGCAATGACGACGGCTTCATCGCCTACCCGTCGCTGATCCCGCCCCCTGTTGAGTCACCAGGCGCCTCTGTCAGCAACATCAACAACAATGTCGGGCCCCGCAACGACTACCTAGAGGCCTATCCGCGGCCATCAGGCACGTTTGAAGGCCGGCCGAAAGCCATCTCCGACCCGCCGAACCCCGAGACCGTGGCCGCGGCCGGTGACAGCGGTGGCGCACCGCTGGCTACCGCAAGCACCGCCATTGCCTCCTCCGCCGTCACACCCGGCGCCAGGAAGACAAAGAGCCATGGCTCCAGCGGAACGCGGCCGTCCAGGCAGCGCTCATCCACTCTCCCCATGCCACCCACACGCCGCAATTCCAATGTCGCGCTCGTCCAGGAACTGCGGAGGACGTCCTTGCTGCATTGGGGTGATCTCCTAGAGGCCCCGGCCTACGCGGACGAGCCTACGGCTGGCGCAGCATCACAAAATGCATATGAAGGGGGTCCCAACCTCGAAGCGCAGCATCAGTCCTCGTTGGCTGCATCGAGCCAGGCATCAGGGCCCAAATCATCCGCGTTTTGGAGACGAGGGAAGAAGAGCAAGCTGGCCCCCTTTCGTCCCGCCTCGCTCACCTTCCTCAACTCCCAATCCGCCAAGCGCGATGGCCGCCTGCCCATCTCCGTCAAGGACACAAGCCACACTGGCGTCCTCGCCAAGGCTGTCGGCGCTGCCGTGCGTCGCATCACACCGGGCGACAGCAGTGGCAGCGAAGAGCAAAAGAGCGAATCGGAGATTGACGAAATCGATGAGCCCGACGACGCGGCCTACACTGCCGCTCAGACCAGGGCCGGCATGTCATTGGCGGCCGCCGAGTTCAGCCGTGTCTCCCGCAGCCTCGCTCACAAAAAAGCCCCCAGGCTCAATGTTGTCATCATGGTTATTGGCTCCCGTGGCGACATTCAGCCCTTCCTCAAGATCGGCAAGGTCCTCAAGGAAAAGTATGGCCATCGCGTCCGCGTTGCCACCCATCCAGCCTTCCGCGAGTTTATCGAAAAGGGTGCTGGCCTCGAGTTCTTCTCCGCGGGCGGCGACCCGGCTGAGCTCATGGCCTTTATGGTCAAGAACCCCGGCATGATCCCCAGCCTGGCGACCGTCCGGTCCGGTGACATTGGCCGCCGTCGTGACGCCATGGCCGAGATGTTCGAGGGCTTCTGGCGTGCCTGTGTCGATTCGACCGACGACCCCAACGATGTGCGCAACCTCAAGCTCGTTGGCGACAAGGAGCCCTTCGTTGCCGACGCCATCATTGCCAACCCACCGAGCTACGCTCACATCCACTGTGCCGAAGCCCTCGGCGTCCCCCTCCACCTCATGTTCACCTTCCCCTACACGCCCACTCAGGCCTTCCCGCACCCCCTGGCCAATATCAAAAAGTCCGCCGTCGACCCAGGCTACACCAACTTCATCTCGTATCCCCTCGTCGACATGATGGTGTGGCAGGGGCTGGGTGACCTCATCAACAACTTCCGCGTCAAGACCCTCGACCTCGAGCCCATCTCCACAATCTGGGCCCCCGGCGCCGTGTACCGTATGCACGTGCCCTTCACCTACCTCTGGAGCCCCGGCCTTGTTCCTAAGCCCGCCGACTGGGGCCCGGAGATTGACATTGGTGGTTTTGTCTTCCTGGAGCTCGCGTCGTCGTTCAAACCACCCGCCAGCCTCGAAGCTTTCTTGGCCGCCAGCGAGGAGCCCCCCATTTACATTGGTTTCGGCTCGATTGTCGTCGACAATGCCGACAAGTTTACCGAGATGATCTTTGAGGCCGTGCGCATGTCTGGTGTGCGCGCGCTCGTCTCCAAAGGCTGGGGTGGCTTCGGAGGCAAGGGCGACAACATCCCCGACAACATCTACATGCTCGAAAACACGCCGCACGACTGGTTGTTCCCCAAGGTCCGTGCTTGCGTCATCCACGGCGGTGCTGGCACCACTGCCATTGCCCTCAAGTGCGGCCTGCCCACTATGGTGGTGCCCTTCTTTGGCGACCAGTTCTTCTGGGGCTCCATGATTGAAAAGTCCAACGTCGGCCCCAAACCCGTCCCCTACAAGCGCCTGACCGCCGAGAGCCTGGCCGACGGCATCAAGTACCTACTCTGCCAAGAAGCCCGCGACGCCGCGCAGGCCATTGCCGAGTCCATTGAATTAGAGGGCGACGGCGCCGACAATGCCTGCACGTCCTTCTTGCGCACCCTCGAGCTCGAAGGCCACGGCTCCATACGCTGTGCCATCTTCCCCGACAAAGTCGCCGTTTGGCAGCGCAAAGGTTCCAACATCAAGCTTAGTGCGCTGGCTGCTGAGGCCCTGGTCGAAAAGGGCTACATGTCCTACAAAAACCTGCGTCTGTTGCGCCACACCGAATGGAACGACTTTGAAGGCCCCGGTGAGCCCATCACCGCCATGTTCGGCTCCCTGGCCCGCTCCTCCCGCGCCATCATCAGCGGCCCTTTCTCAGCTGCCAGCCAGATCATCCGTGGTGGTAAGAAGAAAAGGAAGGACGCCAAGGAAAAAACGGCCCAAAAGAAAGCCCAAAAGGAGGTTGCCAAGCAGGAACAGGTCCATGATGCCGACAGCGATACACTCGCCGACGACGACTCAAGCTCGTTTCAGGGTACGGGAAAAGCCGAGGAGGGCTCTTTTGAAGTCGTATTTGCTGCCGTTGGACAGAACATCGGCCGATCTGCCAAGGCTCTTGTCATGGCGCCCATCGACGTGTACTTTTCGCTCTGCCAGGGCTTCCACAATGCGCCTCGTCTGTACGGCGACGACACAGTGCGGCGGCCCGCCCATGTCACAGGCATCAAGAGCGGCCTCAAGGCGGCTGGCAACGAGTTCATCTTTGGCATATACGATGGCGTCACCGGCATCGTGCGTCTTCCTATCCGCTTTGCGCGCAAAGGCGGCGGGATCCACGGCTTCGTGCGGGGTGTCGGCATGGGAATCATGGGGTTTGTCCTCAAGGACATTTCTGCCATCATCAGCCCTTTTGGCTACGCCCTCAAAGGTCTAGCCAGACAGGCCGAGCGTGGCAAACAGCCCTTGCTGTACCTGCGCCGCAACCGCATAATGGAGGCCCAGCGGGATGTGCGTTCCATGGATGCGCAAGAGTGGAAAATGCACTTGCAGAGGGCTTCGGCCGGCTGGGAAGCGATGCACGAGCTGTACAGGACGGTGCAGCAGGGTGGCAGCAGCGAGCTCGCCAAGCGGCACGCCCAGAAGGGCCCGAATGCCAACAGTGCCGCCGACGGTGCTAATGGCGCCAGCTCCCACGGCGCCGTGGCCATCCACACGCTCGCGCCCAGGCGCGGCAGCGCCGACAGCGTGTTCCAGCACCATCACTACCACCCTGTCGGCAGCAGCGCGCGCCAGAGCCTCGAGGACTTGGATTCGGCACTCGAAAGCGCCGATCTTGCTGCCATCGTGCTGGCGGCCATGCGCCGTGGCGAGACGCTGGAGAGTGTCGTGCGTGGTCGCTACGTCGGTCCTCGACCGTATAAGAAGCGGCCCTGTCACCGGGACTGCCGGCCGAAAGGCGGTCTCAAGGCGGCCTGCCGCGGTCAGCTAGCCGGGCAGGACAAGAAGGGGCGTGATGAGGAGCTTGAGTGCAAACCTGCCGCTATCGGTTCATGTGATGACGATGACAACAGTTCCGCAGGGGAGGAGGACCCCGAGGAGTACGCATCAAGAGCCCGAGCGGTGGACATTGTGCTGGCGCAGTTGGGTCCGGACGCAGGGACGGCGCGCGGCCGTGTCGACAAAGAGTCGCACAAGATGGAGAGGCTCAGAATTCTACAAAAGGTGCGCGACGAAATGGGCGACCCGGGCAAGATAAAAGCGCCCGCGGCGTCGACGACGACCACATCTACAGCAATCTAAGGAAGCAGATTGCCCAAAGATGCCGAAAAAGAGAGAAAAGAAAAAAAGAAGAAAAAAAATCAAATAAAGCCTGAAAACAATAGAAAGAAAGATACCCAACCTGGCAACAGAAAAGAAAAACTACACGTTACATGTTTTGGATTTTCTCGGCACATCCTCGGAGGCTTGCGTCGCTTCATTTTGTTTTGGCCGCGTTGGGATGTTGCTACATCACCTTTGTATTATCTCATTTGTTTTGCTTGTATTGTTTGCATGGAGTTATTTACAGCTATTTTCTAGAATTTGCCATGGTCATATTTAATATCCCAGCAATTGTAATTTTCGTTCATCTCGGGCTTCTTTATTTCAATTATCATATTCACAAGAATAGTCAAAAGAAGACTTGCATTTTCTATGTCGAAAACAAAGAACAAAAACGAGAACAATAGGGGTAAAACTCTACAAAGCAGACGACAAAAAACGAGAATATAAAATAAAAGAAAATCTGACATCCAACACAAAGTCTCACCGTCGCCCTCTCAGCCTCCGTCCCCTCTCTATCTCTGCCCTGGTAACGGCCTCGGGCCGACAATCTGGCGCCGCCCTGCACCGATCCCCTGGCTGCCGCGGTTCTGGCCGTCTCCGCCCGTATAGCCGCTCCATTGGTTGACGTCCCAGTGGCCATCGATGCCGTCGACGTTGTTCGCCTGGCGCGGTGCCGCCGCCGTCACCTTTTGGGCTTCTTCCCACTCGCGCTGGCGCTGGCGCTCCAGTTCCATCTCACGCTCCAGCAGCGACTTGCCCGCTCCAGGGCGACCGCCACCACCCGAACCCGAGGCAGGGCTGCTGCTGCTGTTATTGTTGTTCGCAGGAGGCGCGTTCCTAAACGGCTGCCTCTGCTTCATGAGCGGCTGCTGCTGCTGCAACGGGTTGTACGCCTGCTGGCGGCGGCGACGGTCTTCGGCATCGTGCTCGGCCACACCTCCACCGAGCAGCTCGCGCGCATACGTCGGCTGCGGCGGTTGTTGCTGGAGGGGCTGTTGTCGTTGTTGCTGCTGTTGCTGCTGACGGGGCGGCAGGGTAGGCTGCTGGGGTGCAGACGCGTAGGATGACGGGTCGGGCAGCGGGCGGCCGTGGCTCTTAGTCAGTTTGTTGGGCCCTTCGCCGGTCCGCTGGGCACGCAGCGGGCTGCTGGCGCCCGAATTGTTTATGTTCTCGTTCGACGGCGGGTTCTTCTCGCCGGTACGGTGGGTCCGGATCTTTTGGAAGAAGCCGGTGGGACCCGACTGCTGTTGCTGTTGCTGCTGCTGAGGCGGCGGCGGTTGCTGGTACTGTTGCTGGCGCTCCCCTGTCCTTTGGTTCTGGAGGCGAGGCGGCAGCTGCGGCTGCGGTTGTTGCTGCTGCTGTTGCTGCTGCTGTTGCTGCTGCTGTTGATGCTGCTGTTGCTGCTGGTAGTGTGACCGCGGATCGGGCAGTGGCCGAGGCGACTTGGATGGTGGTGGTGCGTGTGGGTTGCTCTGCTGGTGGTAGGATTGCGGTCCAGAGCGAGGCATAATGTCGTCGTCGCCGTCGCCATGGTGCTGCGGTGGACTCAAGTCAGATTCTGGCTGCTGTTGCGGCTCTGCATCGGCAAACCGGTGTCGACTCTGGCTGCGTGGTGTCCGCAGAACTTCCTTGTCGTTCTTCGACCACGACTCTTGGCGAACGGGGGGGCTGACCTGGAGGTTTGGGTTGGCAGCCCGTGGCCGGCTGCGTGAACGAGCCCCGCGCGACTTGGAGCGGGCACGGTCGTCGTCGTATCCGCCTGCGGCCGGCCGGCCGGAGGAGCGTCCCTGGCGCTCCTGCTCGTAGGCTTGCTCGCGCTGGCGTGCCAGCTCCAGCTCCTTTTCGAGTTCGCGTACGCGGTTGCTGTAGGCGTCGGGGGCGGTGTCCTGTGCCTGGTCGGCTTGGTACTGGCTGAGGAACTGGCCGTGCAGGCGCGGGTCGCCGGCGCCGCCAGGCCTGCCGCCGCTTGCGCTCTTGTTGCTGTTGCTGTTGCGCAGACGCTGCTCCCGCTCCTCGGCCAGGCGTGCCTCAGCCTCTTCCTCTTCACGCAGGCGTGCCTCTTCGGTCAGCTTCCACTGACGCTCCTCCTCTTCCCACTTGCGCTTTTCCTCCTCGGCCTTGCGCTTCTTCTCCTGGCGCTGGCGGCGCGTCTCCTCTTCCCAGCGCAGCTGCTCTTCTTGGCGCGCGCGCTCCTCCTCGGCCTCCTGCTCGGCGCGCTGGCGCTCTTCCTCCTCTTCCTTCAGGCGCACCTCTTCGGCCTCCTTCTCTCGACGCAAGCGTTCCTTTTCGGCCGCGTTGGGCACAGACGGACCGGCGCTCGTAATCTGGCGGCGGCCGCCAAAGGAGATGCCCAAATTGCCCTGGCTAGCGCCGCCCATGTAGCCATACTGAGCAATGTTCCAGGCGGGCGCGGTCGATCCCTCGAGTTCCCGCTTGCTCCAGCTGCTCGTGTTCGTCGGGCTCTTGCCGGGACTGGTGCTGCGTTCACGGTTCGACGAGTCGTTGGACTTGGTAGGGCTCCAGCGGCCGGCCACCGAGCCCTCGCCGGTGCGGGTGGGCGCAAGCGGAGTGCGACCCGTGTAGATGGAGGACATGGGGCGGCCGCTCGTGGGTGTCGTGCCGCGCCCGGGCGGGCTGGCGGGTGTCGTTCCCGAGGCGCCGTAGCCTGTGTTCTGCGGGCTCGAGACACTGTTGCGGTTGGCGGCGTTGCCTGAGCGAGGGCCGATGGCGGTCGGGAAGGCGGAGGGGTTGACGCGGTTGGCGGCGCGGCTAAAGGCACCGAGACACTGCAGCACCTGGGCGGGATCCTTGGCCTCGTACAGGTCGACGGTCAGGAAGCAGTCGTGCTGTTGTAGATTGAGCGGCGGCGCCTGGCAGGCGCGTAGGAAATGGGAGATGTTCTCCATCTGCACAAAAGGCATAGCGGACTGCTTAAAGCGGATGCCGGGCGGCGGGATGGCCAGGTTGGCGAGGCGGCAGAGGGCGGTGCCGTCTTTGAGCGCATCGAGCAGGTCCCCGGCGGCCAGCTGCTCGCCGAGAACACCCTCGATCCAAGAACGAGCCTCACGCGCGGCGCCTGGCGTGTATTTGTCGAGGCGCATTTTGCGCAGGTCGCCGTCCAGGGACGTGACAGACGCCATTGTGAGAGGACGGGGTGTCGGGGGGTGGTCGATAAGTTCGGGCTCGTCTGCTGTTGTTTGATACCACGCGTTGGTGTCGCGGGCAATTGAGAGGCTCAAGAGTGTGCTGTGTTCGTCTTTGCAATTGTCTCGTCTGAAATTGAAATGGAACCTTGGATCTCGCCGTATATTGGTGGAAAGCTGGTGCCTACGGGGCAAGGCGATGAAAGGGGCGCGGTTCTCGTAGCTCGCCCTAGTTCGGAACGCCGGTGCGGCGTCGTGGAGTCTTGGGATCGCTCACTCGATTGAGGGGGGGATTGGGTTGGGCGCCGTATTGGTTGTAGAGTTGAGGTTTTGTTTCGGAGGACTTCAGTGGTGGCGATGTTTAGAAGTGGGTTTGGGAGTAGGGACAGAGAGAGGAAGGAGCGGAGGAGCAGAAGGAAAAAGAAAAGAAAGCAGTCGTCGCCGGCAGGAGTGTCCGCCGTTGCGCCTTCCCTCGTTTCTTGGTTCTGCGCACGAGGAAGGCGAGCTTGGACTGCACCGCTAGGAATGGGTCGTCAGGCAAGAGCCTGCAAAGCGAACAGGAAGCAGCGTTGGGTTGCGCGCCGAGGGACCGCCCGCAGAGCCCACCCCAGACGCTGTCGCTCTTTCCCCGCTCTGCTGGAAGCCACACCCGAGTGACGTGGTTGGCGGCCACAGTGGGGGTGATGGGAGTACATGCAAAAGCAAGGAAAATGGCGGGGATCAAGGTACCCGTTAGCGCCGGTTGTCCCAGCCACATCAGGCAAAAGTAAACAAATAATAAAAAAGGGAGAAATAAAACGTAGAAACCATACATCAGACAAAGATGGTCGCGACATTTTGGTTGCATTTTTGAGACTCCTGTGGGATTCTGCCCTCCCTAGTCGAGCCTTATGTTGACGACAACCGTGGAAACCGCCCGCCTGGATGGCATTGTGAGGCCGATCTGTTGTCGAGGTGTGTAAACAAAATAAGAAATGGAGATTCACGAACAAGTTATAAGTCAAAGACGATATTGTTTGTCTTGTTTTTCTTCACTTTCACTCTCCTTTGCTTCGTTGCTTCTTACATGCACTCTGCAATGAAATGCCTCTGTGTGAGTCCCTATATCTCGCGAGCAACCTTATTCTTCGGTGCAGAAGTCAAATCTTGTGGAAGATAAGATACATTATGTTCCATAGAAAACACTTGGTAAATTATGTGCAGCTATTCAACCGGATAAGCACTAGGTACGGTGGAATCGAATAGGTGCGAGAGTGTTGAATTTGCAAAGTGTGTGTTTCTTTACAATTGAACGAAAACGATAGAAACACAGCTTGGAAATACACGGTGTTTTTGTTTGACTTCAATAAAATAAGATCAACAATCGCACAGAGACAGTGACATAATGCACAGATAGATAATAAACGAGGGACGTGACGGAACCTTGTTCGAGTGAAGGAAAATTAATGCAAGAATGAGCAGAGACAAAGTGATGGAGGCTGCGTATTGGAAGCATCTTACGGCAAGGTGAAGGAAACACAGTATGCCACCAACCGTTAGCTCTACCCGTCTTACTATGAGGCCCCATCGCGACGCACAATATTATAATATTTTATAAAAAACAGATTCGTGGTGGGTGAGCTATGAGAAAGTGATATAAACTGGTGGGAGAGGCTGAATGAAATGCGTAAATCTCACTCAAGTGCACGGAGTTCACTTACAGCGCTTTTACAGCATAGTCTAGGCACTGCATGCCTGGAACAAACACTAGGATGAAGACACTTGCAGGCCATTCCGCTGCTGCAATGGACGATAGGTCCCCTGGCGCACGTTCTGTGGCGGATTTTTAGAGGAAATGCCACGTGCGCTAGTCCCACCTAGGCAATCGTGTTGCTGCATCGAAACGCTTTTTTCAACATCAAGTGATTTGTCGTCACAGTCTTCCCCGTCGTTTGGTCCCCTTGACCGTCTCCATCCTCCACCTCACACAACACACTCTGCCAAATGTCTGGCAAATTCTCTCCGTTCTGGAACACATGGTACCATTGGAAGGCCCTGCGCCTACCATGGCGGAAGCAATTCATGGCCGGTACGTCGTTTTGTTTTGTCGTCGTCTTTGTCGTCTATCTCGACCGTGCGCTAACAACTGCAGGCCGCGACCTGGAGGGCAACACGTACTGGGAGTTCAACGACGTGCGGCACAGCCAGTCGGCAGCCATGGCCAATGCGCGCCCGGGCGACGGCATCCGCATGCGGCGGATCGTCAAGTACCCGCGGGGCACGCACCCAGGATCGGTGCAGGTGTCGCCGCAGTGGCACCAGTGGCTGCGGCATGTGCGGGACGACGCGCCATCGCTGCTTGAGCAGCAGCGGGAGGTGGCGCGCCAGGAGCAGATGAAGGTGCTGGCCGCGCGGGCGGATGCGCGGTGGGCGGGTGCCCAGCGCGTGGATGGGCCGGTCGAGGCGGACGCGCTCGGCGCAGCGGCGGCGGCGGCCACGCAGGAACTCGGCGCGTCCGCGCCAGCAGCAACGACCACGTTGCCGGCCGCCGACCAGCCGGCGGCACCGTCGTCGACCGATGCAAAAGCAGATGCAAAAGCACAAGCCGAACCGGCCCACGCGCATGCCACACAGACACAACAGACACAAGAGACACCGCGACGGCCGCAGCAGCAAGTAGCGCCGGCAGACGACCCGTGGAAGCGGGAACAGCTGGCGCACGGCGCCCTAGGCGAGTCGTGGCAGCCAGCTCCATGGTCCCCACCATTGAAGAAGCGGTGAGAGAGGGTGGTTTGCTGTATGATTGTACCATAATAGTTTCTTATTCATTATCTATCTCATAAATTCATAGGCTGCGTTTGCTGTGATACCCCTTCGGAACAGTACAACGCCCAGCGTTTTCGTTCTCTTCACACCTACAAGTCCCCCGTCACTATTTCGGGTTCACCGGCGTCCATGCGGGCCAGCTGGACCATGGCCAGCAGACGGCGACCGGAGCGCTGCAGCAGGTCGCGGCCGTAGGCCTCGACAGCGAGGGCCGATTTTCGTTTTGTCGAGGTGGCCGAGGACGACGTCGTGGCGCTGCGGACCCGGTTCTCGCGCGCCCGCACACCGGTCTCGGCGGCCACTTGTAGAGCAGGAGACCAGAGATCGTCTCTGCTGCATGCATTGTAGGAATCGGCGGCCTGTGGGAGCGGCAACGACGGCTGCTGCTGCCACACGAGCCGAAACAGACTCTCGAGAGCCAGGGCCATGCGCACATTCGCACTCAGCAGCACCGTGTTGGCGGCAAACGGTAGGAAGCAGCGCTCAAGGACGCACGGGGAGACGGCAGCCACGGCCGACGCCGCTTGAGAGGCGACGGGGTCGACAATGTGCGGCTTGGGCACCGAGGCGGGGAGGTACGTGAAGAGAATGTGGCGCAGGAGGCCGACAAAGACGTCGTCGGGGGAGGGCGACGGCACGGTGCCGGTCGACGGGGCGACGGACGAGGCTGGCGGGGCAGGCGGCGGCGAGGCGACAAAGGCGGCAAAGACGGAGATCTCGGTCTCGCGCAGGACCTCGGCAAACGAGCGGTAGACGGCGTCGGCGGTGGCAAAGGCAGAGGAGAAATGGACAGACCCGAGGGCCATGAGATAGAAGAGCCGGCGACGCAGCGGCAGCGACTCGAGGAAGCCAGGATGCGAGCCGATGGCATCGGCGCTGGCCTCGAGCGTTTCGGAGGACACGCCGCGTTTTCTCGTCTTTCCGGAAGCCGGCTTGGCCTTGTTCCTGTTGAAGGGAGACGGTGAGGGCGAAGGCGAGGGCGAAGGCGAAGGCGCGGCAGACGACTCGGGCGTCGAGGGCGCAGACTCCTCATCGTCGCTGTAGTCTCCAAACTTGTCATTGTCGAGATCGAGAACACGTTTGGGCCGGGTGTAGGTCGAAGTCGAGGCGGACGCTGCGGTTGTATTCGCTGTCGCAGTGGAAGCCGCGCCGGTCAGGACGGTCTCCTTGTCAAAGACTTCGCGGGCCAGTGCCGGCGGCGACCCGTCAGCCAATATGGCCGCGGCGATGCGGCGCAGGTGTGACGTGCTGTGTCCCCCGGCCCCCCCGCCGGCCCCGTCTTCGCTCAGATACTGGAACAAAAGCGAGTCGTACAGGTCGCCGTCGTCGTCGTCATCGTCGCCGCCGTCGTCGGCCAGGCGCTCGGCCAGGTCGGCCTCGATGACGTCGACCATGAACGTCAGCCAGGGCCGCCACGTGCGCCAGCGAGCGGGTTCGCGGACGCTGCAGCCCAGCGCCCAGGCGGTGACGCGCCAAAAGCTTTCGCCACGCATCCAGATGCCATCGCGCGTCGCCATGCGGCCACTGACGGCGTCTTCGTCGTTGTCTTGGGCGTCATAGTCGTCATGGTCGTCATAGTGGTCCTCCTCGGCGTTGTGTGCGTCAGCGTTGTTGTTTTTGTCGCCACCGCCACTGCCACGCCCCCTTTGGTCGCCCATGTCCATGTCGTCGTTGCCACGGACTCGATCGCCGCCGCCGCCAGCGCCACGTCGCCGACTGCCGCTTTTGCTTTTCCGCTTCTTTTTGCCGGCCCCTGCACCCCAGCCGCCATTGCCGTCATCGTCGTCGCTCCACGACATGGTCTGGCTGTCGACGTACTCGCCCTTGTTCAGCGAGGCCCGTCCTACCGAGGCACGCAGCTGTCGTCGTGGCCGGCCAGTCCTGCCGCGGCTGTCACCCGCAGCTCGTGCTCCGGCCCTTGCTCGAGCGGCTGCCGTAGCCGCTGTCGACGTCGGTTGTCCCTGAGCATCCCGATACGCAAAGGCCGTCGCCATCTCGGCGCCCACTGGCCCGGCCACGCGCAAGACATGGTGCAAATACTGCATCGCATGGCCGGCCACGCGCAAGTCCGTGCCGTCCTGTGGGCGGGTTGTGTAGGCTGGATGGACGGCAAGCGAGGCCAGGACGGCCAAATGGCTGGGTGGGGGAAGCCAGATAGGTGTGGGAGTGGCCTGGGCGGCGGTCGCCTTTGTCATTGTCGTCGTCATTGTCGTCGTCGTCGTCGTCGTTGCTGGCAACAGACTCTGGCCATCAGAGCCCCCAGCGGCCGCGAGGCTCGTCAGGAGCTGGATTGCCTCGCCGTCTCGGCTGTTAGTGGGCGAGCAACGCCGAAAGCACAAGGGATACAAGAGACACAAACATACACATCTTCTCTTCTAAAAACACGCGGATGTGGTCCCGCAGCTGGTACGGAATGTCTCGCACCGGGCGGTAGGGCGAGGACGATTTCGACGCATCATCGGGCGTGCGGTCCTTGTCATTGTTTGGATCGGGCGGTTCCTTTGCCTTTTCGTGTGGGCTGCCTTGTTGTGCTGTGCGAAACGACGCCGTCGAGTCTGTCGGAGAGGCCATGCTGTGGGCTGGGATGCTGGTCTGTTGCTCATGCTGGCGTCCAACTAGGAGCTGAATGCAGCTGAAGGTAACTGTAGATGCCTGCGACAGCAGACGCGGGGCTGACGCTTCGCGTAGCTCTTGACGCGTTCCAATGGGACGTGGTCAGGTGACTCTAATTAGTGTGGCAGCCACTGGAAGACAAGGCGTTAGCGCTTTACATGCAGTGTCGGCCCCTGTAAGTGGAATGCCATGTCAAGAATTGCATCTTCGCAGCAAGAATCCCATCTCCGTCTCCCTGCCTACCAACTTTGGGAGGCGCGCCTTCTCGTTTCCGCGTTCCTTCCGATCCGGTACTTTGTCCTCGTTACCGACGTTCCTTCTTTTTCCTGCTTTGTCGTTCTGCGCCTTCCTCGCTTCCACTTGTTCCGTCCCCATTTCCGTCAGCCCTATCAAAGCGGCACGAACCTGCCTTGTAGCAGGCAGACTATTGGTAGACAGCATCGTCAATTTCTATGGGAACTGCAACATCCACCTGCTGTGATGTACGGCCACGATTTCGTCGACGCAATTGTGTCACGCCAGCCAAAATCAAACGGACACTCACTACTCTACGGATTACGCCGTACATCGTTCCTTTTATTTGGCGGAGTACTCCCTGACTTGTGCCCTCCTTGGCGCCAATTACACGACAGATGCCAAGATCTGCAGTGACGATGACCAGAGTACAAAGTGAAACATAGGCCGGGCCCAGGCTGGGGACGTGTGAGGCGGCGACAAGAGTAATGCGACTATCAAGCTTCAGTCAATCTACAGACCATCTACGACGCCCCCCGTACAGAAGCTTTCTCAAGATGGCTGCATCCGGGTCACGCCCTAACAATGCTTGTGTACATTTCTGGAACCTGTAATTACGCGGCAACGTGCCAAGAAAGGGGGGAGCCAAGCCGTCGTACATACATCTTGTATGCTGACTTTGTGCAGAGACGGTGAGTCGGATGAAAGAGAGAAACGGAATCAAGACGAGCGAATTTGCGTGCGGGATGAACATCGTCGCCCAGTGAAGGTCTGGGTCATCGCCCCTTTGTCCTACCAAGTAGAGACGATCTATGCTTGGCATGTGGCCTTGGCGGAAAAGAAAAAACTACATGGAGGTAAGGAGGCACATCGACGGTGACGCAGGAGAAACAAGCCTCGTGAGGAAGGACGACAGGGGACGAGGAAACCAGTCGCAGCCCACTGGCTGCGTGAGACAGGCGTCGTACTCGGTCACTGCGGCAGCTCGTGCTTCGGCTTCCGCGGCGTTTCCTTTATTATCAATAGTTTTCCCTTGGATTCTTCCGCGCGACGGAAGGGGGGGCAAGATGCCCGAGTCAGAAGCATGATGCGTCCGCGTGAAGAAAGTGTTGGCCCACAGCGCGTGGGGAGACAATAGTAAAGCGAGAGCCAACATGAGAGGACAGTCAACCGGATTTGAAATTTGTATTACGGAGGTAATGCTGGGTAGACGATGGTGGTGAATAATAGGAGAGAACGGGTGGGAGTAAGGGTGAGAGAGACCAAAAAAAAAGAAAGAAATGTGACCCCCATGGATTTTGGCCCAAATTGTCCGAGTGTTGTCCCGTGCTTCTTTTCCTTTCAGTCTCATCGCCCCGCCATAGCGGTTTTGTATTTCTGCAGTTTGCTCAGGGTCGGCGCATTAACCGCGATGTTGCATTTATATGCCCAATGTGTTAACTTGGTCGAATGCGTCGTCTGCGCCGGTGAATCCGAAACGGAGCAAACAACATAACGGTGAGCGGTGGGTGAATGGGGATAATAAAGGTGCAAGCGCAAAATCGTCTACGCGCGTCATGTCGGACTGTTCTTGAACTGCCGCTCGTTGCCTTGTGTCTCTCTTGATCATCGGCCCTTTCTTATCTGTTATCCGTTTTCTCGCCCGCCAAGAGGAAGTACCCCTTTGACTGTATGAAAAGAGTAAGAAGGCGCCGCACATCCATATCACAGACATGTCGGATAAGGAAGAGAGTAGCGTAAGACGAGAAGGCCTCCAGGGCATATATTTCAGATGCGAGCGAAGTGCCAGACCCTGTCGCGACAAGAGACTCGCGGCCATGCCTTGCTCGGGCAATGTTGTATTGTGTAATGTGTAATACGAATGTGAAATGTGAAATTTGCAAACTGCCAATGTGTATCAGTCTCTCTTCTTGTCCACCGGAACCCTTCACGGCGATAATTATGATCATGAACTCGTTAATCGGGAAAAATATGTCACGCAAACGCAACCATAGAGAAGAGCAATGCAGTTGATGCCAACAGAATAGAAAAGCAATGAAAAGCAAATGAGAGCAAAGGCAAAGCAAACGCAAGGTCAAAGCAACACAACAATGCCAAAACAACAAAAACGCGCCTCTGGGGGACAATGGTGTCTGGTCCTCCCGACCCTTTTCTTCCCTAAATCCCAAACTTCCCAAAGAAAACACTTTTTTCTTGCAATACTCCAATTCTTTTATTTTTATTTTTTTGACCTTACGTACTTTCGGGTTGGTCGGTGTTTGTGTTATCCTTGAACAGCTTACTCAAAGACAACCTCGTGCCAGTCGTGCTTGCTCTCGTCGAGATGCTCGCCCCAGTGAACAGGACCCAGCTTGAGGATCCGAACGCCCGTCGATGTCGAGTTGCTGCCCGAGCTGCTCAGGCTCGAGCTGCGGCGCTGCTTAGCATCGACCACGGCAGACGCAGACTCCGTGGGTGCAGCGACTGTGGCAGCAACCGGGGCAGCATCCGTCTCGGGGACCGACGCCTTGCGCTGCGGGTACGAGCTGGACGTGGCAGGGGCAAGCGAGAGGAAGAACGACGGCTGGCGGTCGCCAGCGGGCGCAACGGTCTTGGCCTGGCCGGCCAGGACCGTGATATCTTCGGGCGACGAAGACATTGAATTTGTGTGAGAGTGTGAGAGTGTGTGAGTTTGTTGTGGTGTTGTGTTGTGTTGTTCTAAGAGGAACAAGACGGACAGCGGTGAGGAGTTCACAGGTCAAAGCTGAAAGATGAAATTGGAAGTTGAGTGAACAATGTTGTTTGGCTGTAAAGAAGAAAGAAGTAAAGACAAAGAGGAATATATAAAAGTGCGGCGGCGGACAAAAGGGACGGACAGCAGTTATAAACAAAACGTGTGGGCACAGGCCGTCAGACGATCGTTTGTATCCTCAGCCCTGGTTATAGCGTCAGCCTAGTCTGGCAGTGCTTTGGGGTCGTGAAAAGGGCCTTGGTCTGGGAAAGAAAAAAGGCAAGTGATGTGCAAAAGAAAAAAGGAAAATAATATCCTGCACAAGAACGGAGTGACGAGAGACAAAGACGGTCGGCCACTGATGAGCACTCAATAACTAGTGCTTCCGCAATTCAGCCCTTTATTCTTAGACACCTCTCACCCTTGTCACATTTTATCTCCTTTCGTCGTTCTCTTTCTGTCTTTTCGTCATTATTTTCCACGGTAGTGACGGGGAGGACCTTCTGTCTCACTGCACTTGACAGAGAACGAGAGACGGAGAGGGAATGACGAGCAAAGTGACGGATGGGTTGCTGACAGAACCCGCGAACCCCTAGCCGTCCGGTCTAACGGTGCCAAAACGGGCCAAACTATTCTGTAGGTCAGACAGCATCCAGTAACCGAGCAAACAAAATGGCTGGTCAGGGGACGATGGAGCTCCGTTCCTTTTTGCTGTGCTATCAAAAAGGACGGGCAAAGCTGCTGAGTTTTGCCGACCTCGTCTTTGTGTGGAACGTGGTACATTCCACCGCACTCTGTTTCTCGCCCTCAACACCCTGTAAAAGACTCTGTTGAGAGAGGACACTTTGCAACCACGAAAATGATGTACCTCAACCGACGTTCGCTTTCACATGCAGGTGGGTTGCCGAGACAGATTGCAATGGCGACGTTAAGAGGCCGTGTGTGCGGAGCCACAATCCTCTCGCCCATCACTTGACATTCCGTTCGTTTTGGTACACCACCAAGGCAGCTGTCCGTTTGCAAAATCGAAACGGGCTGGCCTAATAAGTTCGACGCAGACAAGACACGACAGCCCTGGACAGGAGGGATACGATGGATAGCCACGCAGCTCAGGGCTAGGGAGACACGAGAGCTCCAGCGGCCGAACAAAATCACACGTGCGGCTGCCATTGGCAGGAGCCACTTGGCCACCCACCGAAAGTGACAAACGAAACCTGATAGCGCCAGCAACATTACGCAGATTGACGAGCCTGTACACTAGTTTTGTAAAATTAGAACAGAAAATTGACAACCGACACAGAAGAGGCCATCGAAGCAAGAGGCCATCGAAGCAACAAGTTGAATGCCATCGTTAGCCGCGTTCACCGCTCGCTGTTTGGTGACCCCCGCGAGGGAGGTAGATGGAGTGATGGAGCCAGACGATTAAGCAAATGCAACGAAGTGAATCAAAGTGAACGTGAGAAAAATGAAAATAAAATTAAACGATAAAATGAAGACTCTGCAGGCAAGCAAATAGGCTGTGCATAAGCAAGGGCAGAACAAGAGGGGCAAAGAACGCGAATGTTTGGAACTTCCTTACCTCAATGAGCGAGTCCAGTCTCCTTGTGGAGGTATCTTACGTTGTTACCTGCAAACCTCCGTTCTTACACGCCGCAAACATGGGTATGCATGTTGTATCTCGTGTCCCTGATGCGCTTCGCAAAACTCGTTGTTTTCGTAAATTGCCAGATATGTCGTCCTTGTGGAGAAGGGGCACACAGCACCAGTGCAAAGCCTTGGTTTAGTCCATCTGCCTGCGATTTTCAACACCTCGGTTCTATCCATCTCATCAACAAGATGCTTGATTGGGCATCTCGGTACAAGAAGAAGATTTCCCGGGAGCAATGGGAAGGTACAGGTCTCGAAGCTCCTGCGCGTGCATTGTAGCTGTAAGTTGGCGGTTTGGGACAGAAAACTACCCGGCCTGCCAGCAATACCAGTCTGCACAGGTTTCCAGCAGCCACCTTTTGCGGGGTATTACCAGGGGAGCCAGGTGTCCTGGGCGTCGTCTGGACCTGGAGGAATGACGAGCTACGGCCAAAACGAGCCTTAGGTAGACCACCGCATGATCTTTGCTGTCATGGGGGCACTTTCTCAGATGGGGACCACAGGGATGTGTCGTCTGGGGTGTCTGGGCCTAAGGCGATGGTTTTGATTTTCCTGTTCGGCCGTCTTGCTCTATATTTATTGTTTCCTTTCGGATCCGTCTTTCTTCGACTCATTCGTTTTCGTTGTCGGCGCATACTGACGCCTGAAACACTCTGAAGAGGCGTTGACAAGAGAAAGTTCCGAGGCTAGCCGGTAAACTAGGACATAGATGGCAGGAATAAGCACCGTGAAATCCAGGGCTGTCATTAACCGTGAAATGTCGCGGAGAAAACAACACCGGCCTATGATGAGGGTTTGTCGAGTCCACCGAAAAGAAAAGAGGACTGGCAGAAGTCGCCGACATTGTGTA